TGAGTAATTTCCACTGCCACTTCCTACCAGGAGCCTTATCTCACACCCCCACCCCTATGCGCTGTCCCTTGATGTGGCTTCTCCCCTGTAACTTCCCTCACTGCTGAAGATTTACAATTCCTTGTTTGATTATTATACCAGCACCCACCCCCCTCACCCCCACCCTAACCACCACTCTACCACCTTAGACTAAAAGCATGACAAAGGCAGGCCTGATGACTCCCTTGAGTGCACCACCAATGTAAGCCCAGGCCTAGCCCAGGCCCTGGCATACAAGAGGAGCTTAGCACACAACAGAGTTTAGCAAACACCTAGACTGAACAAGCGAGCAAATGAAGGAGTGATGCTCCAAGAGAGAAAAGAGTCACAGTGCCCCACATCCTGAAGGAAAAGCAGAACACTAAATAAAGCTATAATGAGGAAAGTGAACTTGTGGGCGATTGGTCAGAAGTCTGGTGATGCCCCCTCCCGTCAAGGACAGGCAATTTAAGCTGATTTGAGGTTTGAAGCAGGGATTATTAGTCAGGAAAGATAAGTGGGGGGCTGGGGAGAGCAAGTTTCCAAGGAGGAGCCATAGCTCAGGGAGCACACACAGCAGAGGGTGAGGGAGAGAGCAGTGGGGCTGTGGAAGGCACCTCACCTCCTACACATTCATTCAACAAACATCACTGAACACCTACCATGTGCAAGGGCTTAAACTGTAGAAGCATGAGGAAGCACCAAAGAGCTTCAGCAGGGGCTCACCTGGCACTGGTAAGTGACCAATCCCCTGCTGTGGGCTCTGTGGGCAAAACGAGGAGGGGGACCCACTGTGCAGTCTGGAATTAGCACGAATGGCCACTAACTAGATCTGGGTGGTGAGGGAGGGTGAGCTGACAGGGCTGGGGGGGGTGGGCGGGAACTGGGTGTCAGGCCTGAGCAGCTGGGGGGCTGGACACACCATTCCCACATTGGGGGAGGGTGGGGGAGCAGGGCATACTTGAAAACAGAGATGAAACTCTCCCCCTGGGGGGCTGGACTCTGGAGGCCCCACCGAGTCAGGTGAGTTCATGCAGGGGTCCCAACACCTGCTGACACCATGTGCAATGGGAGAGTCAAGAACTAGCTGGTGGCAATCAAGTCCTAGTTTATGCAAGTGGAGTTCTGAAGGACTCCGGAATAAAATTGCGGGACCTGGCTTATTAGGAAACCAATCTCGGTGCAAATGGGACAAGTTAGGGCCACCTGGTTGGCTCAGTGGTTTAGCACTGCCTTCAGCCCAGGGTGTGATCCTGGAGACCTGGGATCGAGTCCCACGTCAGGCTCCCTGCATGGAGCCTGCTTCTCCCTCTGCCTGTGTCTCTGCCTCTCTCTCTCTCTCTCTCTCTCATAAATAAAATTTAAAAAAATGAGATAGTTTGGGTGTTTAACATGGTCCAGCCTTGGGTTTCCCTCCAACAGCTGGCAGTGACCTTATCGGTTTCCTTTTCAAGTAGATTTTCCTGCCCAAGCACATCTGTCTTCCTTCCACACAGATCATGCAAAACATGCAGCTAGAAACACAACCCTAGGGCAGCCTGAGTGGCTCAGCAGTTTAGCGCCGCCTTCAGTCCAGGGCGTGATCCTGGAGACCCGGGATCGAGTCCTGTGTCAGGTTCCCTGCATGGAGCCTGCTTCTCCCTCTGCCTGTGTCTCTGCCTCTCTCTCTTTCTCTGTGTCTCTCATGAATAAATAAATCTTAAAAAAACAAAAACAAAAACACAACCCTGGGAAGGAAGGACGGTCCAGACAGTGGCCGGGGGATAAGCATGCATATATGTAAGTGCGTGAGTGTGAACACGTGTGAACACGTGAGCGTGAGCACGTGGGAGAGCATGAGTGCCTGAGTGTGAACGCATGTGGGAGTATGAGCGCATGTATGAGTGTGAGCGTGAGTGCAGAAGCGGCACAAGAGCCCCACGTGTGTCCTCACCTGCTGCCAGAAGCAGCCCGGCGGGGGTTCTGCCTGAAGGGGCCCCACCTAGTCTGCAGGGCAGGGATGCGCCAGCGGGATCCTGAGGTCCCTCACATTTATGCACTAGATAGACGCACTGGGTGTATTTCCAGGCTGAGGGAGGCGGTCCCCAGGAGCAGAGGAGTCAGCGCCTGGAGAGAAGAGTAAGAACCACGTGTGCTGGGGAACAACGCGCAGAGGGACCCTCGAGCAGTACATGGGGCCGAGCACAACACAGGTCACTTTTCGACCTTTACAGTTAACTGGAAAATCTAATGCTTCTGACTAAACTGCCTATTTTAAATGTTCTCACCTGTAAAAATATAATAATAACCAGCACTCTCCTGGATGGCGAAGCACACCTACGGTGGTTGCTGCAATTGTGGGGCGCCACCAGGAGGCCAGTCCTGGAGGGGCAGCGGCCAGCCAGGCCAGAGGACAGACTGGTGTCCCTCAGCCCTGGTGGAGGGTGGATGGGCCAGAGGACAAGCTGGCATGCCTCAGTTCTGGCGGGGGGAGGGGGGGCGGGGAGTCGATGAGCCAGAGGACAGACTGGTGTCCCTTGGTCCTGGGGGGTGTCAATGGGCCAGAGGACAGGCTGGTGTCCCTCAGTCCTGGGGGGAGGGCCAATGGGCCAGAGGACAGACTGGTGTCCCTCAGCCCTGGGGGAGGGTCGATGGGCCAGAGGACAAGCTGGCGTGCCTCAGTCCTGGGGGAGGGGAGTCAATGAGCCAGAGGACAGACTGGTGTCCCTCAGTCCTGGGGTGTGTTGAGCCAGAGGACAAGCTGGTGTCCCTCAGTCCTGGGGGGCGGGGGGGAGGGCCAATGGGCCAAAGGACAGGTTGGTGTCCCTCAGTCCTGGGGGGGTGCCAATGGGTCAGTGGACAGACTGGTGTCCCTCAGACCTGGAGTGGGGTGGTGATGGACCAGAGGCCAGACTAGTGTCCCTCAGTGTTGGGGGGTTCGATGAGCCAGAGGACAGAACTGGTGTCCCTTAGTCCTGGGGTGGGGTAGCAATAGGCCAGAGGAAGAGCTGGTGTCCCTAAGCCCTGGTGGGGGAGTGAGGGGGTCAATGGGCCAGAGGACAGTGTTCCTCAGTGTTGGGAGGGGTCGATGGGCGAGAGGACAGACAGGTATCCCTCAGTGTTTGCGGAGTCGATGGGCCTGAGGACAGGCTGCTGTCCCTCAGTGTTGTAGGAGGTCAATGGGCCAGAGGACAGACAAGTGTCCCTCAGTGTTTGAGGGGTCGATGGGCCAGAAGACGGACAGGTGTCCCTCAGGGTTGGGGGGGTGGATGGGACAGAGGACAGACAGGTATCCTTCAGTGTTGGCGGGGTCAATGGGCCAGAGGACAGACAGGTGTCCCTCAGTGTTGGGAAGGTCGATGGGCCAGAGGACGAAGCTGGTGTCCCTCAGTCCTGGCGGGTCAATGGGCCAGACACAGAGCTGGTGTCCCTCCGGGTTAGAGGGGTGGATGGGCCAGAGGACAGACAGATGTCCCTCAGTGTTGGGGGGGGGTCGATGGACCAGAGGACAGACAGGTGTCCCTCAGTATTGGGGGGGGATGGGCCAGAGGACAGACAGGTGTCCCTCAGTGTTGGGGGGGGTCGATGGGCCAGAGGACAGACAGGTGTCCCTCAGTGTTGGGGGGTCAATAGGCCAGAGGACAGGTGTCCCTCAGTGTTGGGCAGGGGGATGGGCCAGAGGACAGACAGGTGTCCCTCAGTGTTGGGGGGGTCGATAGGCCAGAGGACAGACAGGTGTCGCTCAGTGTTGGGGGCCTGGATAGGCCAGAGAACAGGCAGGTGTCCCTCAGTATTGGGGGGGATGGGACAGAGGACACACAGGCGTCCCTCAGTGTTGGAGGGATGGATGGGCCAGAGGACAGACAGGTGTCCCTCAGTCCTGGGGGATCAATGGCCTGAGGAGGGACAGATGTCCTTCAGTCCTGGGGTTCGATGGCCTGAGGACGGAAAGGGGTCCCTCAATCCTAGCAGGTCGATGGCCCGAGGATGGACAGGCCCCCTCGGCTGGGTGCTCCCGAGCACGGACAGGCCCCTCGGCTGGGTGCTCCCGAGCACGGACAGGCCCCTCGGCTGGGTGCTCCCGAGCACGGACAGGCCCCTCGGCTGGGTGCTCCCGAGCACGGACAGGCCCCCCCGGCTGGGTGCTCCCGAGCACGGACAGGCCCCTCGGCTGGGTGCTCCCGAGGACGGACAGGCCCCCTCGGCTGGGTGCTCCCGAGCACGGACAGGCCCCCTCGGCTGGGTGCTCCCGAGGACCGCGCGGCCCTCAGTCCGCGGGGAGGCGGGCGGGCGGTGCAGCCCCGCGTCTCCATGCAGCAGTCCTCGCCCTCAGCGCTGGGCCTGGGCGTCCGAGCGAGCCTGGGTTCGTCCGTCTAAACTCTGGGAGGCGTCCCTGGGCTCGTCGGGTCCCCGCGCCGCCCGGAGGCCGGGCGCTGGCCGGGGCCGCGGAGGAGCCGCCCGCCGGGTGACCCGGAAGGAAGCGCCGTCAGAGGCCGTCAGAGGCCGTCCGAGGCCGTCCGCGCCCGGGGGGAAGGGCCAGCTGCGGTCTCCGCAGCGGTCAAGCCCGGCCCGGTCGTGTAGTCCCTGCCGCCGACCTGGAGGAAGAAGCCCGCACGACTCGCCAGCCAGCAGCCCCCGGGCCGGGCACTCCCGCGCTGCCGCGACGCGCATACTCCAGGGACCGGAGCCCAGAAGCCCGCCCCCCGCGAGAACGTGAGAGAGACCGCCCTCCGGCGGACGACCACTTCCCGCCTTACTCCAGACACGCGGCCGGCGCCCAAGGCGGTGCCCCTCACAAACATGGCCGCCTTTTCCGCCTCCCCCCCATGCTGTGACCTCGGAGGCGCCCCTCACAAACATGGCCGCCGCCCCTCTTAAGTCCTGTGACTACAGCGGAAGCCCGGCGGGTGCCCCTCACAAACATGACCGCCGCCCCGCCCGCTGCGCACAGCGCCGACTTTGTTGGGTCACGTGCCGAGGACGCCGGGCTGTGATTGGCCGAGCTGCTGCTGTCGTCAGACGCCGGGGGCGCGGGCCGAGCACCGCGGGGCTGCGGCTCCTCTGAGAAGCGTTAGGTCGGGACGCGGGGTTCTGGGGCGGTGCTGGGGGCGGCAGTGCGCCGCTCACACTCATGAGGAGCCGGAAGGTGAGGGGCCTAGGCCGTGCAGGAGCTGCGCCAAGGCGGCTGGGGCCCCGGCCACCCGTTGTCTGGGAGCCGAGGAGAGGCCGCGGGACGCCCGGGGCCGAGGGGCGGCCTCTGGTCGGCACCCCCTGGGCCGTCCCCGGGTCAGGGCCTCCCAGACCTGCCGTTGGGTGGGGGAGTACCCTGGGTCACGCCCCCCCGGGTCGGGGTCTCCCAGGCCAACCCGGGGAGGGGGGCGGGGCGGTCCTCGGGGGCACGTACCCCGGGTCGGGGTCTCCCTGACCAGCCACGGGGGGGGGGCGGGGCGGTCCTCAGGGTCCCGTACCCCGGGTCGGGGTCTCCCCTGGAACCAGCCGGGAGCCCTGAGCGCTGCCGCCGCCCCTGAAGCCACTTGGTTTTTCAGCAGGTGACCTCAGCTTGGCCGAGGAGGGTGGAGGCGACTGCGCGCGCGCCGGGCCCTGGCCCTGGCCCTGGCCCTGGCCCTGGGCACCTGGTGTGGACCGGGTCCCGGGGAGGGGCGGAGTCTTTATGGGCGTCCTCATTCATTCATTCTTAACGCCGAGGGAAGGGCAGAGGGAGAGGGGTTCCCCGCTGAGCACACACCCGGTTCGGGGCCTCCATCCCAGGACCCTGAGATGCTGACCGGAGCCCAAGGCAGCCGCCTCACCCTCTGAGCCACCAGGCGCGCCCCCACAGTTCACGTTAAAGTCGGACCCCCGTTTTACCATTCTGTCATTTTTTGTTTTCTTTAAATACGTTTGGTTTCTTCTGTTCCTTGTTTAAATGCATTAAAATGAATATTTTCTAATGTAGCATTTTAATCATTCACTTTTTTAATTTTTTTTATTTTTATTTTTTTATTTATTTATGATAGTCACACAGAGAGAGAGAGAGAGAGGCAGAGACACAGGCAGAGGGAGAAGCAGGCTCCATGCACCGGGAGCCCGACGTGGGATTCGATCCCGGGTCTCCAGGATCGCGCCCTGGGCCAAAGGCAGGCACCGAACCGCTGCGCCACCCAGGGATCCCAATTATTCACTTTTTTATAACATTTTTCTCCCAGCAGTTGCTCTAGGTTTTGCCGTGTCCCGTAACTTAGTGGAATCAGCTTACGTCCAGTGAGATATAAAAGTGGACCTTCCCTTTACCTGTGTTGGAGGGTTGTGCCTGTTCCCTCCTCCATCCTTTCTCGTTAGAAACGCGGCAGTCCTGCTCTCATGGTCTCTCCATCTGCAGGCCTTTCCTCTGCGCAGGTCGGCCGTGCCTCCACTCCGTCCGCTGTGCTGTTGCTGCCAAACACAGCACCTTCCTTTATACGCCATCAGCTGCTGCTCAAATCCGTGAAGACAGAAAGGAGGTACTAGCGCAGGGACTTGGTGCTTGTTCTATGACCGTGAACTCCCATCCCGGATCACAGAACCTCCCTGAGGATTCCTGTAAGGCGGCTCTGCTGGCCACCAGTTCTCTGGTACCTGGGAGTGTCTTGCTGTCATCCAGAAGGATAGCTTTCCAGATGGACGATGCTTCGTTGGCAGATTTTTTTCTTTGAGAACTTGGGATGTGTTTGACGAGACCCATTGTTTCTGCTAAGTTAACGGTTTGTCTATGCAGCTCCCTTGTAGTGAGGAGTTGTTTTCTCCCGCCGTTTTCAGGGTTTCTCTTGTCTTTGCCTCTCAGCAGTGTCTCTTTATGGAGCTCCTTGCATTTCTCCTACTGGGAGTTCAGTTCTTGGAGATTCCTGTGTGTTGCTGATGGTTTTTCAATACATTGGGAAGTCTGAGCCATTATTTCTCTGCATATCTTTTCTGCCCCTTTCCTTCCTCAGGCTCCCATTACACATATGTTGGTGCCCTTAATTGTGTCCAGTGTGTTCTTGATTCTTTTTTCTCTATCCAGTGCTTTAGTTGTGGTGCCCGAGGACGGACAGGCACCCCTCAGCCTGCCCCTCAGCTTTAGTTGTGGTTTTTTAGCTCTTGAACGTGTTTGTAATGGGTACTTTTAAGGCTTTGTCTGATAACCTCAACCCTGGTCACTCTCACAGGCACTTCTGTTGGTGGCCTTTATTCCAGTGCAGGGGCCTGCTTTCCTGCTTCCTTGTGTGCTCCATAATTTGTAGTTGAAACTGGGCATTTCAGATAATGTAGCAATTCTGGGTTCCTGTCTCCCACCCCCACTCCGTGGCTTCTTGTCAGGCTTTGTTTAGTGACCAGGGAGATTCTCCTCTTGGACTCACCCCCCACCCTACCCTCACCTGGCAAAGGTTGGACCTGCCCTCCAGGGCCACACTGGGCAGCCCTCCACCCTGGGATGGATAAAGCCAGCTTCCTCTCCTTCCCCTACCACACCTGGCTGTTAAACTCCCATTGAATGCCATTTGATTGCTCAGTTGTTTTCCACAGTAGCCCGGGGCATAAATTGCTCAATTGACTATCTGGCCTGAAGTTGGTCTTGATTCTCCACCTAACTGTGTCTCTCCACAGTCTTCTGTTCTAGAGCGCCGCCTTAGGCATGACTTTCTCCACAACTCTCACAAATGAAGTCAGTTCCTTTGGGAAGAGATTAAGAGTTTCTCTGTTTTAGTGTCTGCCTTTTCCTCAGGCATTCTCTGAATCTGCTCCGTCTGGGACAATGACAGGCTTCACTGTATGACACTTCTGATTCTGAATGCTCTGGGAGAGGGGGTGCTGGCAGCAGCCCGAGATCCCCTCGGCTTGCTTTTCCTGGTCTGGAACCACCTCCACAAGCAAGGGCAAGGGTGATGGGGTCCCAGTCTTAGTGCTCAGCCCAGGGTGGAGCCTCTACCCACAGCTGGGGTCGGGGCAGAATGAGAAAGGCTGACATCCTGCCCCGTGTGGGAGGAAACCTTTCTGCCTGGGAATGGGAGGGCACCTGTGTTCTCAGCACTGGCAGTCTAGAGTTCAAATACCACTGAGTTATAGGTGGTCTTGAGTGATTGTTCATCTGCTCTTTGCCCACAGAACCATCTCCAAAAGTCTTAAATGATTTTTCATCCCTCTTGCCAGTTTTATGGGGGGTCAACAGGGCTCTGTCCTGCCCTTTTGGGAAGCCACATTTTTGCCTTTGACATCCCAGTTTTTAAGCAGTCTGCTCGGAAGGCAGAAGACCTCAACAACGAGAAGTTTCTCATTTGGGGATTAAGTGGAAGCAACCAGCTCTCAGAGACAAGAAACTGCTCCATCCTTAACCAAGAGTGGGAGCTTGTACCTTGGGGGAGGAGGCAGCTATGACTGCATTCAAGCCAGCAAGCTGCCAGACTTGACTGCAGCTCTCACGTGGATGGCAGGTGGTACCCAGAACAACCACAGCTCCTGAGTGTCTGCCCAGAGCCCCCAAGTTTGCCTCTTCAAGGGGGCCTGGAAAGTCGAAGGTGAACAAGCCCCCTCGGGGAGCCTAGTGCACCCCCGGCTACAGTCCCTGCCTTGGGGACGAAGAGGGAAGGATAAGAGCCAGGACAGCCACTCCCCTGCCCAGCCCGTGCGGAGTAGCCAAGCAGCTGCATGCTGGCAGCTCTTAGAGCTCATAGATGGGAGAGCCCTGTGACATGATGCAGGGCAAGAAGGACTTTGAGGCCACATGTCACTTGGGTCACCTCAAACAGGCTCCTCACTGGAGCCATCTTCACTCTAAAGTGGGAAGGCTGCTTTGTCAGTCCTCTGTCAGACCTCAGTGACGCTGGCAGCTATAGTCAGGGCCAGTCCCGCACCCCCAGCTAAGCAGTCACATGGGACAGTGTTGGGAGTAGGACTTAGAACAGGGAAGAGAAGACAGGTGGTGGCCTGGGACTAACGTGGCCACTCCCTCCTTGGAGGGGAAAGGGCTGCAGGAGGTGTGCTGGTACAGGGCAGGGAGGAGGACACCTCCGGCACCTCTGCGGGCTCTGCTTCCTGCACATGGCTGACCCCACTGCTGCCGGGCTTCAGCAGACCCTGCTCTTGACACGATGTGGGCCCAGACCCAGGTGCACACACCCAGAAGGCCCTTTACCTGGCCTGGAGCACCTTGTCCCCACTGTGCACAGCTGAAAGGGTGCCCTGTCCTTCCACAGGCCTCTGCCTTTCCTTTTCCTTACATTTTGAATGTTCTCCAGTATCTCACAGCCTGGGTGAGCTGCCACCTTCCAGGACTTCTGGAAACCTCTAGGGCTGTAGGTGAGAGTGGGCAGGATGACACAGTAGAGATTTCTAAGCTAGCTCATTTCTTTTTTGATTGGTTTCCTCTTCTGTCGAGCATGCTGCCCTTCTCTGGGCCCCAGGGCCCCCAGTTCTGGGGACTGCTGTGATGAGAGCCCTCGGGCCTCCCGCCTGCATGCCCACCCATGCTCACTCGCTGCTCTGTGTGACTCACCTTTATTGTCAGGTTTCAAATTGATCTTTAAGGGCACTGTTTTTTAAGTGCATTTGGTATCCATTCCAGAACAGAGAATTAGTGAAAAAACTGGTAAAATTCAAATCCAGTCTAGTTTAGTGAATAGAGGAGGGCTTCACCAATGTGGATTTGTTTTGCCAGATACACCATGGGTTATAAGGTTGATTCTTAGTTCATTCCTTGTTGTCATCAGAAGACTGTCTTGCATTCAGAATAAAGTGGACGCAGACCAATAAATTTTTAAGATTAGCCAGAAGTTAATTGCTTTAAACTGACACCTATAATTTGAGGGAGGGTGGGATGGGGTGGCTTTTGTTTTTTATGTCACCTTTTATCAGGAACTTGGACACCAGGGATGCCTGGGTGGCTCAACAGTTGAGCATCTGCCTTGGGCTCAGGACATGACCCTGGGGTTCTAGGATCGAGTCCCACATCGGGCTCCCTGCATGGAGCCTGCTTCTCCTCTGCCTAGGTCTCTGCCTCTCCCTGTGTGTCTCTCGTGAATAAATAAAATCTTAAAAAAAAAAAAAAAGATGGGGATCCCTGGGTGGCTCAGCAGTTTAGCGCCTGCCTTTGGCCCAGGGCGCAATCCTGGAGTCCCGGAATCGAGTCCCACGTCAGGCTCCCAGCATGGAGCCTGCTTCTCCCTCTGCCTATGTCTCTGCCTCTCTCTCTCTCTCTCTTTCTCTCTCTCTCTCTCTCTCTCTCTCTCTCTCTGTCTATCATAAATAAATAAAATAAATCTTTTTTAAAAAATTAAAAAAAAAAAACTTGGACACCATGTAAAAAGTTGGAGAACCTTCTGAGGAAGGGTATGTGCTGCTGAGCACATTTGAAGTTAATGTAACATCTACTAACTGCCAAATGGAGGTTCCTAGAAATGTATAAAGTGAAGGGGGCAAACTGAAATTTCCAAGACTACAGGAAAGAGTAGACCTGCACCTTAAACCCAAAATAGTTTTGTTTGAATTTGCACAAAGCCACAGGTGTTTTCTGGAAAGATGATGGAGACGGGGGTGGGAGGGACTCTCCAGCGTTTCCTTCAGTCAGGAAATCCCTATTTCCATGCTCACGACTCCTAAAAGCACTTTCTGACACTATGGGACCCTGTCTAGCTCACAGGTGCAGTGCGGTCTTCAGCGCGCCTGCGAGCCCGCCGTTGCTCAGCCAGGTTGGCCTCTGCTCGGGAAGCCAGCACCGCTGCGTCTGCCAGGACAGTGTGTCAGGTGAGCCTTTTTACCACGAAGATGCCTGGACTTGATTGCCTGACAAGTGTCCTACTAAAACAGAATTGTGTTGCTTATACCCCAGAGAGGAGACAGCAGTGCCTTTACTGCCTTCAGAGAGCACTGCGTGCTCTGGTCCGGGGCAGTGCTTTTGGAGTGCTCACCCCTCCTGGGCCTACGTGCCTCGCACTTGGTCTTCACACGCACCTCTCCTAGTCAGTCTTGGAATGCAGCCTTCCTCGTGATGCCAGTAGGCATGCTGCAGGCCCCCTTTCCCCTAAAGTCTTTAGAGAAAGGTTTGCCCGCATCTGCCGTACAGTTGCCAAGAGCCTGAGTGCCCAGGGTTGCAGTAGGGTTGACCTCCCTCACACACGCCCAAAGGTCTGGTTGGGACTTGGTTTCTCTCCTGAGCATTGTTCTAAAAACTGTGAAGTCCATTTAACAAATATTTGCTGAGCACCTGCTCTGTTCCGTAAAACAGATCCTGCCTTCATGCAGCTTAGGTTCTAGCAGAGATGCCTGGAAAACGGAGTGTTTGGTTATAATTTTATAATATGTCAGTACCTGCTTCTGAAGTTCCCTCAGGAACTTCACCAGCCCTGGGGGAGCAGCGGTGGGCGTGTGTCTAGATTCTCTAAACTCTGTCCCCTTGGAGGCAGACAGTGATGTAACCCTGTTGTACAAGCTGTGGTAACAACATCTGTATTGTGTAAGGTGTGAGAAGGAATACTAGCCTCTGGGACTGAGACATTCTTAATGTTGCCCTCTGCCTTGTAATCCTAGATGTACCTGGTTTTCTCTTGACAGACGTCACACAAAGCTGCCGACAGACGAACGTCCAAGAAGTTCAAATGTGACAAAGGTCACCTGGTGAAATCAGAATTACAGAAACTAGCCCCTCAGAGTGACCGTGTTGCTGTGCCCAGAATACCACCCGAGAGCCCTGGTAACAGTGAGCCTCTGGGGTTTGCCAAAGAGCACGCGCTGCCCCCAGGAAAGGGGGCTGGAGCTCCTGCACAGCCAGAGGCCGCGGGGTGCCCCCTCAGGCACGCCACAGCTGTGGGTGACATTTGCCCAGCAGAGACGGAGGACAGCCTGGCCCTGCCAGCACACACACCTCTGGCTGGGGAGGAGCCTCACAGCAGCCGCTCAGCACAGGGTGGGTCCACACTGCACACCGAGCAGGCCACAAGACCTCTGCTGCAGACGGATGACAGCATCTTTCTGGATGAGGACAGCAACCAGCCAATGCCCGTGGGCCGGTTCTTCGGGAATGTGGAGCTCATGCAGGTAAGACTGGTGCCTCCTGCCCCATGGCCACCTCCATGCTCGGTCAGCACTGGGCGGCACCCCCCTCCCACCGCATGTTGGCACTGCCTTGGCACAGACTCCAGTCCCCAGGAGGAGAAGCAAGATCATCGCTAACTGGGAACGACCCCACCTTGTCCTGAGCAGAGAATCGTTGCCAGGGCACCAGCTACTGCTGGGAGGCCTCTCCTTCCTTGCTGGGCCTTCGGGTGTGGGCTGGGTGGCCTGCTGGGTGACTCTTAGCCTCCCCACACAGTTGTGGGCGGGGAGCCAGCCCTCCCCTGGAGTGCTGACCAGTGCTGTGGGCTGGTCGTGGCTAAAATGAGTGTTTTCTTCCTCCAAGGACCTTCCACCAGCTTCTTCGTCTTGTCCTTCAATGAGCAGACGAGAATTCAGGAAAATGCATTTCAGAGCCAAAGATGATGAAGACGATGATGATGGTGCAGAAATGTAGAGAATAAAGTATACACAGTGATTTCCTTGCATATTTAATACAGTTAATAGTTGGACAGTTTAGCAAGTGATGAGATGTATATCAAGTTTATCTCCCAAGAAACCATATTCTTAACCAAATGTTGAAGCTGACCCGTAAAAGTCCTCATGCAGAACAAGTACCTGGAGCGCTTACACTTGTCATCCAGAACCATCTCTGAGACTGCACAGCCACTGCTCCCACACCCATGCATTTTCTTGTGTTTGTGTGTAAATGACATAGTTTGGGTCCCCCGGGGGGCTCGGGACTCAGTGGGAGAGATCTTTCTAAAGAAACTCCCCACTAAACTCTAGTTTTGATAATACATGAGTTTATTTTCCATTATCTAAATTTGATCATTCTTGTGATTGAGTCAATGCCAGTTCTTAAAGAACTCTCCTTTATCTCTGTATATGAAGCTAATGTTTACCCTGGAAATTTTGCAAAATGCATATGAGAAAGAAATAAAATATATTTTGAAAATATTTTTAAGGAAATCTCTATGTTCCTAAAACTCTTCCTTTCTAAAATGTTGAGAGCCAAGTGGAGAAAATTACTCCTCTCTTCTATTTGTAAGGCTGGATCAACCTTTGTACCCGTTCACCCAAAGATGGGGGTGGAGGGCACCTGGAGTACAGAGCTGAGGCCGGGCAGTCTTCACCCCACGTGGTGACAAGGCCAGCTGTCCCCATGGGCTGTGCGCACCCACATGGTGGAGCAGCTTATGGAGCACTGGGGAGAAGGACCAGCAGGAGGGAGCCATCTATAGCTCAAGAAGACAGGGTTATTCACGAGGAGCCACCATCTCTTCTTGAGCTGTGGTTACCCCCCCACCGCGGGTCGGAAGCAAGTGTCCTCCCTATGTCGGCTTCATTAAGGTCGGCGGAAGTAGCCCAACGCTGTCCCCCACCTTTATCTCAGCACATAGCCATTCACCATGTCACAGCCTCCCAGGAAGAAGGGTGAATGCAGGCCAGGAGAGCACGAGATCGGGTCACCTAGCATCACAGCAGTGCATTGCTGAGAGTCCTCTGTGTCACTCTTCCCTTCCTGTGTGTCATTTATGGTTATGCTTGATCACAGGTGTGTGTACAGGAGAAGGGTTGGCACATAGAGGGTCAGTACCAGCCATACCTCCAGGCACCCAGTGGGGGTCTCAGAAGGGACCCTCCCCCTGCCCCCATAATGGACATTTCTGGCTTAGTTATGACAGCAGCTGGATTTAACCCTGTAAAAATGCCCTGTGAGGCCCAGAGGTACCTTACCTGAAGCATGGTTTGGGGGCAAGTAACTGAGGTGCCCTGGAAGCAGTTTCAGCTCCTCCAAACACCCACCCAAGAGACCTTTCCCTGCAGCCCCTCTGCTTCCAGTGTCATCATCTTCCCATTAGTAGCTGTGACCTCCACCTACGCCAGATAATTGTATGGTTTATTGATCAAGAAATGACTCTATTTAATACTTTGAAATTGTTACTCATAAAGGCATTTTGACGGTAGCCAGGGAAAACAGCTAACTACTTGAGATTACTGCAGAAATAACAAGTGATCACAGCACGTGGGCTCGTGGTGACCAGGCTGCCTCACATTCCCGGAGTCTTTGTGTCCTACACACGCTTCTAGGAGAAACATCGGCACACCTGCAGAAGACGTGTGGCCATGTTCCCACCAAAATGCAAAACAAAAACCATGCCCGCTCCTGGGGGCTGACTCCTGCTCACATCAGTGTAATCTCCTGGGGTTGGGAAGGTGGCAGAGGTGGCACATGTGTGTTCCTGCTGGTTACTCCAAGGTGAGACACAGTGTCCCCTGTAGAGCCAGCACAGACCGTGGGGAGCTGGGGAGACACACTGCTCATGTGCCATGGGACAGCACAGCAGAAACGTCACCCGGAGGGCCTGCAAAGGATGACTTCAGCAACACCGAAGAAGTGGCCCAGAGCCTTGGGACAAGATCAAGTTTCAGGAAGCATATTAACACAGCTGCTAAAATGACTTTAGTTATGAGTTCTTGGTGATCGATCCTGCCTCGGTTGTCTGCCAGCATTTAAAATAATTGCCGGGTCCTGGCGCTATTAAGAGTGTGAACTTCTGGAATCACTCCCTGAGGTTGGTCTTCACAAAATGACCTACACGTGGCTGGGTGAGCAGTGTAGAGACTAGTAGAGCCGTCCTGCCACCCTGACTTCAGCACCCCTTGTGCAGAGGACCTTTAGACCAGTATCAGGCCTGATGCTCCCCACCACTCCCAGAACTCAGGAAAGAAGCCACTATACTCAGTCCTGCTTATCACAGGGAAAGGACACGCAGGGCAAAGTGCGAGGGGAAAAGCCTCCAGCGACAGCTTCATTCTGCAGCCACCTGGAAGCTAACCTGGGCCGTACTAGGGTCAGTCACACAGGCAACTCAAGTCCCAGCCCCACCCAGGTCCCCTGCCACTGAGGGGTCTCCTGTGCACAGACCCCCACTCCCCCCGCCGGCCCAGGGCAGGGTGGTTCCAAGCCACAGCCCTGGCTCTCCATCCCGGCACCCTCTTCCCCTCCTCAGCTGCCATCTGAGGCCGATGGCCACTGCCCCACTCCTGTAAGCTGCAGGACCAGGGTCTGGAGGTCATCTTGCGGCCTTGCTGACCAAAGAGCCTGGCCCACGGCAAGTGGATGGCCCGCCAGTACAAAGGACCTCCTGCCTGGGTGTCACGGCAGTCCTGCGCCCACAGATCACCGGACTCTGCTCCCAGCTCCTCAATTTTTCCTCCCAACTGCACCAACCTGGGAATCTAAGGGTGACACAACTCCTGCCTGGGAACACCACTCCCATCTGTAACAGTCACCCAGCATCCAGTCTGAGGGCCCCAAAACAAGCAAACTCAACCACATCACAACCAGGAGAGCCTTGCAGCTCTTGCTCCAAGTCTGCTCTGTGTCACCAAAGACTGAATTCCTGGTGTCCAGCCTCCCAGGGGGATGAAAGTGCCAATCTGAAAGGTGAGCAGGACTGGCTCCCTGCAGTAGGAGTCTGCTTCTCCCTCTTCCTCTGCCCCCCTAACCCCCCAACTCGTGCTCCCTCCCTCTCTCTCAAATAAATACAAATTTTTAGAAAGGTAAGCAGGAGCTTGTGTGGGAGCGGAGGGCAGTGGGGGAGACAGCGAAGTCCTAGCCGATCAAATCTCAAAGCCCAGCCAGGTGGGTGGCACCTGCAGTGCTCTGGGCTGGAAGAAGGTGGGCGGCCTGACAGATCAGCAAAGACAGCACCAGGGGCACTTCCCGACAGCCCCACTGGTGACACTATCCTGTGGGGCCAGGTGAATACCAGGTGCTGACAGGCACTGCTATGGCCCCACTCGCAAGACTGGCTCATTCCAAGATACTGCTATTTCAGTGAAGAAAATGGAATGATTTGGGGCACCTGATGAGCATCTGCCTTCGGCTCAGGTTGTGATCCCAGGGGTTCTGGGATCGAGTCCCATATCAAGCTCCTGCAGGAAGCCTGCTTCTCCCTCTGTCTATGTCTCTGCCTCTCTCTCTGTGTGTCTCTCATGAATAAATAAATAAGTAAACCTTTTTAAAAAGAAAGAAAAAAAAAAAAGAAGGAAAATGGAATGATTTGCATCATTTTTTTAAAAATCACCCTTTATTTTTATCCTTATTATCATCCCCAGACAGTGCAAACTTTTTTTGGTGTCTACTTATGAAAATCTTTTATTACTTTTTATGATTATACAAATATAAAAATTCAAATATTACAATCTGCATGACTGTAAAAAGTATTTTAAAAGATTATGAAATAAAGGCTTATTTCAAAAACTTCAAGTTTTATAAAATACATGATTTAGAAAATTAGCCCTTAAAAAAAAAATAAAGAAAATTAGCCCTTTGTAATCCAGCACGTCCCCACCACGTCCCCAGGGTTACTGCTGTCCAGACAGTGTGTTTCCTTGCAGATTCCTGCATGCACTAACACACTAGTGTGACACACATGCACAGCCAGTTACAAACCTGCAGGTCACACTGCATGGTAAAGTCACTGGCTGCCTCATGTGCCTGACACACAGCCCCTGTTTTGTACATAAAAACACAAAACGGCTACACGGCTTCACATGATGTCGATGGGTAAGACTGAGTCATGACATCGGACCACTTCCGATTCACAACAACAGCAACTTCCAGTGGGTTCAACACAATACCACAGTCAGCCTGTCCCCTACAGACACACACAGGGAGGGTTTCCTGCTCTCTGAATCATAAACGACACGATAGCACGTGTCTTTGCTCAAGCTTTATGGAATACAAACATTTTACCCCAAATGAGCTGGAGCAATCAGAAATGTCCAGACACTAGAGCTCCACATCCGCCGTGGAGCGGAGATTGGCGGAGACATCTGGCCTGATGCCGTGTCAGTGTAGAGGCCACTCTGTGCGTGCATAGCCACAGGACTTCAGGGCAGGTGGGCCCCTGCACTGAGGAGTGTGGCTCGTCACTGCCAACCCACACGTGCCCCCTGCAGTGCACCAAACTTGTCCCTGGGCGCTTGGGCTCTCAGAGGTGCAGAAACTGATTCAGAAACATGAGGTCAAAGTCTGTGGCCCCTGAAGGTTTCCTAGGAACCTCTGGGATCGTGCACAGGCCAGGGCAGGAGGCACCTGCAGCCCGTCACTGGCACTTCCGGGCTGGCCGCCGCCTCTTGGACTTCGTCGGCAGTTTGTAGATCCTGTGTGGGTCACAGCTGAGCTTGTGGGTGGTTTTCTTATGGCAGGCGATGTGGACCAACTTCAGGTTCTCAGAGGTGAAGAGCAGGCTGTAAAAGTACTCCCAGGCCACTTCTCTGCCATCTCGCTCTGTAACGGCCTCCGCCAGTGCAGGGACCACTGTGCGCTTCTTTTCTATTCTGCAAAGGAAGGGAGAGCCGGTCACTGTGTGCTGTCCCATGGCACCTGCCAGGACGCCTGCTGTTACAGCACAGAGACACTTCCATCAGCTTCTGCTCGGCCACTGCCGCTGAAATGGGAACCACCATGAGGGGGCTTACAGGATAAGACACAGCACAGCGGTTCAGAATTCAGAAGGCACCACACCCAGAAACACCCCGAAGGAACAGCACAGCAGGGACACCTCGTCTGGCTGTCCGCAGGAGGAGGCCTGGGGGACAGTCCTTCACAGGGTCCTCACCGCATGTGGCCATGCCTGCTGGCCCAGCCTAGGACCCACAGAACAGCTGGGACCATGCACACCTTCCAGTCCTGGCAAGTACACAGGAGGAGAGGAGTCAAGCCCGGGGTCCTCGCCGTGAGGCAGGAGCGCCTCCTCAACAGCTGCAGAAATGAAGCTGAGCCACCCCATCCTCCCTGGAGAGAGTCACTGGAAGGGCTGAGGTCTCTTCCAACCCAAGCCTGGTGCTTGTGTGTGTCCATGCTGCTTTGTGCAAATCTGTTTCACTTATAAACAAACTACTCAAAGGCCCATGTACTGGGGCACCTGGGTGGCTCAGTTGGTGAAGCATCTGCCTTTAGCTCAGGTTGTGATCTCCGGTCCTGGGATCGAGTCCTGCATCCATCAGGCTCCCTGCTCAGGGGGAGTCTGGTCCTCACTTTCCCTCTGACCTGCCCCACTGCTCATTCTCTCTCTCTAATAAGTAGATGAAATCTTTAAAAAAAAAAAAAAAACGCCATGTACTAACAGGTACAGAGGCTTGTAGACCGACAAGAAAGAACCAGAAATAATACCACAGCTAGGAGGGCTGCCAGGAGCGTGGCGGACCAGACCACAGAGACTCATGTCCCTACAGCACAGAGGAACGCTGAATAAATGGGAAAAGAAGTACATACATAAGATCACAAGAAAGAAGGGGACCCCCACTGCCAGAAGCAGAGATGCCCACACTTGATCTTTAGGGGCGAGCCACCCTCCTGCATCCTACCAAGACTGAGTCTAGAAGGGGCTCAAAGGGAGAGCCGGAGAGGTAAGACGGAGACCCCACTCCAGCCATCAGTGCAGGAAGGGAAGTGGCAGGGAGCCCAGAGCTCTGGAGACGGAGAACAAGCCACCCCATCAGCCCCCTCCTGTGGCATACCCAGCCCTGGGGCAGTGGCTTCTGGGGGTTGGTGTGGCAGGGCTCCTGCTGACCCTGACCACTCCATGGCTGTGCTGGCTAGAGGGCTGGCTGGGGGCCAGGCTCCCCCTGGGCACCTCTCACCCTCAAGGAACCAAGTCAGGCCCCTCCCTGGTGATGGCAGCGCCCAAAACAACAAGACCCCTGAGCAAGCATCCTGTCTGCTGGCCTCAAGTGGCCGGGCCTTCTTCAGTAAGGGGAGGGGTGGGGAGGACACACAGCTTCAGGCACCAGGAGGCTAGATTCGGGGAGCAACAACAGCATGACCGTTTCCATGGTCACCCAGAAAACCAGGACCCTAGGCTCACCCTTGACACTGCCACATGGAGCAGCAGCCAAACAAGGAATCAATACTCCATTGTTTCAGAGCCACTGAAAGCCCAGTGTCCTGTAGAAACAGAGACAAAACCAGTCTTTGGGGACAGGACGAGCCAGTGCACCCAGGACGCCAACCGAAAACAATTCCCATGGAGGACGAACTCAGAATCCAGGCACACCGTCACCAGGAGCTCACAGCAACAGGCAAGGGGGTTACAGCCATGGACGGCCCTGAGAAAGCCAGGGTACAGCACCCTGAGACACACCACTGAGAGGTTAGGGAGAGGTCTCCAGACCACCCCCTCCTGACACCCACTGTAAAGGGCAGGGCCCCCCGAGACCTCCCACCTCTGCTCCCTTGTCTGCACTCTGCTCCAGGCTGGCCTGCTCCCCCCCTTTCAAGCTGGGACTGACCTCTAGATGGATGTCCCCATGCCCCAGCCCGTCATGGAAAGTAGCAGACAGTAGCAGTGGTAGGAGAGCCCAGATGTCATCTTGTGGTGCTCAGGGCCAGACAGAAGGGGTGAGACCCCGGACCCTCCCCAGAGGGGATCTCTGCCCCCCAGCTCTGCCACCAGGAAAGCCCTTCTCACCTGGGTGTGCACCCCCATCCCCGTGCCCCAGTAATGGTGGGCAGGGCCCAAGAATCTGCCTTCCTGATCATCCCCAGCTACTGCTGCCAGTCCATGGACCACATCTATGTGGCCTAGAACCGGATACCACGCAGCTTAGCCCTGAACCGGCACGAACCCCAGGTGGTCTTATAACTGGAAATCAGACCAGAAATGCCTACCAGTTCAGAAATGCAGATGCAAATGACATTCTAGTCACAGAATGAAGCACTCTGCACCTGGGAAACAAGCACCCCAGCCCTACGAACGCATCACAGGATGAATAAGCACAGTGCAGTGTCACCACTGGTGACCCTATCATGTCCATTTTCATGAATGAAAGGTCTGTACCAACAGGTATCAGAAGAAGACGTACGAACATCAGAAGAGAGGTTCCTGGGTGTCAAAGGGGATGGACACGGAGAGGTAGGAAGGCAGCCTCGACTGTCCCAGTGACCCCTGGATGCATCCAGTCCCATCTGATTCCCAAAAGTGGTTTAGCCACTTGAAGGGCATCAAAGATGTTTGTCTTCATAAAGCAGAGACAAGAACACCATTATATTCCAGGAAAGCACCTCAGCTAACATAACAGTTTTATTTCTGCTCTTAGAATGAGCTCATATACATAGAACAATCCTGCTGGCCCTCACTCATCCAGGTGAAAGCCAGAGATGCCCTACACACGAGAACAACCCGGAGCACCTGCTCTGAGCTCATCCTGGCTGAGGCGGAGATGGCCCCAGAGTGCAACGCCATGACAGCACCCACTGGGCCCCACAGATGGGAGCCGGACGGGAGAGGGGCACATGCGCCACGTCTCGATCAGCTCCTGTCACAGCCACCATGCTGAAGGACACATCACACAGGTGAGGAGCCTGCACCTGGCACCTCATCCACCCCACACATCCAGAACATCTCTGAGTCCATAACCCACAGCTCAGCACATGAAACATGACGCAGCCGGCAAGCCACGGATGCCACGGCTGGGAGAGGCCCCCACAGGCACTCTTTCGGTCTGTGGATATAGTTCTGACCTCAACAGAATGCGTACTCACATGTGGTCCAAGTTCCACGTGCTGAAGAGGACCCGGCTCTCCCGGTTACCATAGGGATTGATGGAGTGTTTGGATGCACAGCTGTCCACGTCAAAAGGACCCTAGGCCAAAAGACAACAGTGAAGTCCACGAAGCAAGCTCAGCTCTCACTGCTGGTCTCATATCAAGCTGAGAAGAAGGTCCTACCCCATGGGAGATTCAGTCCTGGTAAATGGCGAGCTGTCTGGGGCAATTAGGAATTCTGTCCTTGGAATGGCAGCCCCCTTTCCCTCGTTACCCCCAGTACGATACTCCGCAGTGGCTGGGGGGCAGGCTGGCTCCTGCCATTGTTAGGAATGCCAGCTTTCCAACCGTGCGCCTCCTGGGTCTCCACCCAGACAGACCCACTGTCTCCAGCCCACTCCACATGCCTGCAGGCACACGCCATCCCCTTCCTCCATGGCATGGCCCACGCACTGGCTGCTTCCTTTCTGTCTGCCCCACGAGCCCTTCCCAATATTTCCCTACAATCCCAACACAGAGGCTGGGCGTCAGAGACATCAGTCTGGACTGCACAGCTTCGGTTTCCCCTTGGCTGGCGTTCCTGGCCATTCTGCAGCTTCAGTCACTCCTTTGCAGATATCTGCTGAGCACACGCCACGAGCCATGGCCCCCACCCGCCGTCTGATGCGTCAGTCACCCCCAAAGTGTGCAGCTCTCCAACAGAGCCCACTGCCCCCACTCCCCTACCCTCATCCCCTTGCAGGGTCACCTGTCCACTCCCACATCCTTCAACCTGGCTTTAAAGTGTCACTCCCTCCCTGAAGTCTCCAGCTCACCCTACTGAGGACTGTCCTGTCCCCTGAGGCCTGCACAGCCTCCCAGCTCCAAGCCCACTGCCCTCACTCACTTACAGACCTCAGAGCCTCAAGCCTCCCAAAGTCAGGGTGAAGCTTTTCATCTTTGCCCCTCCCCCATGAAACACCTGGGCTCAGGTGATGCTCACGGAGAGTACTGCAGTCATTAGGAGGCTAATATACAGTTGGTTGGGAAGAAGGGGTGTCCTGCTAGTCAGGACCCATCACCCACAGAAGGAACCGCCCAGGCAGAAGCATAGGGAGCCCATCTGTCGGAGAGAGGCCATGCCCACCTCCAGGGCCTGCTCTGTACCCTCAGTGGCAATACAAACACCATCAGTGCAGGGAGGAAATGCAAAGGGGCCCAGATACTTGCTGAAGCCCAGGAGGCCAGGAAGAAGGAGAGGGCGGCAGGACAGCCCCTGCCAGTCCTTGCAAAGACCACCAGCTCCAAGCCCCTAAACTTGTGACCCAGGTCGGTACCACCTGTTGGGAAGTGGTGCCTCTGTAATTTCTCCAAGTGTCCAGGAGGAAGCCCAGAACACTGCTTCCAGCTGGGGTGACCCCACCAGGTCACATCTGGCCACAAATCCTGACATCTGCATTGCCATCCAGAAAGCTTCCCCAGGGACACACCGCTTTTCAGAGGCTGTGAAACTGTCCTTATCGCCCAGTACCCTCCTCTCAAGGGAAGACTCCACTCCTGGTGCAGCTGTGCACTCCTGACCTCATCAGCAGCACCCCAGGGAAGCCATCAGAGGGCCTGCCAAACCAGCCACTGGGGGCCGAGGGGCATCTTACACCGACCATCCGGTGGGGAGGTAGGGGTTCAAATGCCAGAGATTGGAGATCCAATGGCTGAGCTGACCCTCCCATCAGGCCAAGGCCCAGAGGGCTGCCAGAGAAGAAGCCACAGGAGGCTGGCTCAGCATCCCCTGGGTGGCCCCAGATCCATGGCCCACGGCGCACCTGGCAGCAGAACCAGCCTTCTGGGGTGCAGAGCCGGAGGCCTGCCCTGGCTCCTCTGTCAAAGTAGCTGCCATTGTATTGCACCGCCCTCAGCTTCTGGCACATGAGATCAACGATGCGGGTATACTCCCCCTGGGCCTCCTCGCCGACAGTGGGGGCATACGAGTTCACCTGCAGCAAATCAAAGGACAGGGCTTGACACAGGCGCACAAGGTCCCCAGGCCCACAAGGTCCCCAGGCCCACAGTCTGGTGGGCTCCCACATCCACCTACCTCTCTCAGGTAGCTCCGGATCCGGCTCTCGCAGCTGTACCTCAGGTACCCAGACTTACTCTGGAATCGAGACTCTAAGCCTGGAACCAGAGAAGACAAGACAGCTCTGGAGTCCATGGCCAAGCGCTCCCGGCAGCAGGCCGTGCATACCGCCAGCCTCAGCTGAGAAACGTGCTGTGTTCTGCTCACAGACTCTGGTTCTTTTTGCCTGGGGAGGGTCCCCTGAGCCCCCTGCGTGGGCATCCAAGTCCAAGGGGCTGCAGACTCACAGGGCCTCTCCGGCAGGCTTCAAGGCAAGCCCCGAGGTGACGCACCACGGCCAGGTGATGGACAAGCAAGTGCGGTCCAGCCACACAGGGGAGCTGGAGCCAGCCTGAAGAAGGGAGAAGCCCTTCAGGGGATCATTCAGGGGATTGAGGTCCCATGCCACATGGGACCCCTGAGAGCAGCCAGGCTCAGGAACACCCCCCCCCCCCCGTGTGATCCCGTCTGAGGCCCTAGGGGAGTCAGAGCAGAGACAGGCGCCAAGGGCCACAGTGAGGACCCGGGGGGGGGGGGCAGTGCCGAATAGGCACACGGTCTCAGGGGAGGAACCTGAGAAAGTTCTGGAGACAGACAGTGGTGATGGCGGCACACCACGGCAAATGTGCTCAACTCCATTAAACTACACACTCACGGTAGTTAAAGTGGAAAATTTTATGTTACACACACTTTTCCACAGTGAAGAAATGAAAAGGCCGGTGCCAGGGCTGAGAGCAGAGGGACCCGGGGAGCCCCTGGCCCGGGAACTGGGATGGGATCTGGTGGTCTCCACGCGGCGGCGGCTCCAAGCAAGCCCTCCCACTCCCAGCATCCCCGCTACCTTCGAACCATGGTGGGTCCTCAGCCCTGGTCTCGGCCGCGATGTTCTCGCTGATGGTGTGCAGGAGGTCGGCCAGCAGCTTCTGCCGCAGTGGGGCCCGCTCGTCCGAGAGCAGCTGCCGAGCGGCCTGGATGAGCCCCGCGGACGGCCTGTGGAACGCGCTGAGGAAGCCACTGATGTCACTCACATCTGCCAGCAGGAGGAGGACCAGATAGAAGAGCCAGTTCCCGGGTGCTGCCGCAGGAAGACAGGGAGCTGCCAGCTACGAGAACCGGCTCTCCGCACATCCAGCACCGCCTTGCTTCTGGAACTGCTAAACCTCAGGGCTGCCCTGGGCCCCAATCCTCGCCCAGACACCAGCCAGCCACCTCACCCCCACCTTGGGGCCTGGGCCCCGCTGCCTGCCCCTCAGGTGGTATGGGGTCGGACAAGGAGGGGATGGCACTCAAGCAAGTCTCTGCCCTTCTCTTCCCCAAATGAAACCTCCTGCATCCTGGGGCCTCCTTCTAGACCTTCCTCCAGATCTGCCCGCCATGGTGCTGCCTGCGGCTGAGCAAGCGCTGAGCAGCCAGCAAAGCCAGAGTCTTCCACGAGCCCCCACGACACCTCAGCCAGCAGCAGGGGCAGTGTGCACAAGGACCCCACGGCCCAGGGGGGTCGTCCCAGGGACAAGAGGCTGGTCAGTGCTCGAAAATCAATCAGTATGATTGGCCCTCAATGGCTAAAGACAAAAAGTCCCATGATCATATCCACTGATGCAGAAAGACTGGGGAGAAACTCTTCCAGGCCGAGGGCTTAGTGAGAAGTTTCCAGACAACGTGGGGAGCATGAGCACAAGAGGAAAGCTCAGACAACATGGGCTGCATCCAAATGGAAAACATCCACTCCCTGAAACAGCCTGCTCCAGGGATGCAAAGACAAGCGACAAGGCAGGAGATGCCCGTGAGCCACACATCTCACAGAAGACTCGTATCCAGAACACATCGTGAGAGAAACCCTGAAACCCAATAGTTAAAAACTCCAATGAGAAGACAGACAAGACAAATGGATAAAGAACAGACTCCTCCCCAGGGAGGAGAGGCGGCCAGCCAACCAGCCCAGGGACAGACAGCGGGCCGTGCCCCTACAGGGGTGCAAAGCTGCCCGCACAGAGATGGCCCCACACACCCATCAGGGTGGCTGGGGCAGAAGACAACCTTCCAGCCCGCCCAGCCATAGAACGAGCGTCACCACTCCAAGACACAGTCTGTTTCTCTGTTTTATTTTTTTTAAGATTTTATTTATTTATTAGAGAGAGAGAGAGAGAGAGAGAGGCAGAGATACAGGCAGAGGGAGAAGCAGGCTCCATGCAGGGAGCCCGATGCGGGACTCAATCCCGGGTCTCCAGGATCACACCCTGGGCTGAAGTCCCTGGGCTAAACCGCTGAGCCACCGGGGCTGCCGTTTCTGTTTTAAAACACACACACACACACTCCCCACTTTATTGAGAAGTGACCCCCACACTTCATAATTCGCCCAATGGAAAGGCACACCCCGTGTTCCCTAGTATGTTCACAGAGCTGTGCCCCCATCTGCACGTCCCACTCAGCACATCTGCATCACCTCAGAAACAAGTCCTGCACCTGTCAGCTGGATCCCTCTCCCTGCATTCCCTGCCCCCAGCCCGAAACAACCACTGGTCACTTCCAGCCTCTGTAGACATCTCTATTCCAGACATTTCAATACGGACATTTCAATACGAACAGACCATACGATACATGATCTGTAGTTGCCTCCCTTCCCCTGGTGTGATGCGTGCAGGGGTCGTCCACACAGGGGCAGCGTCAGCACCCGGTCCCTTTCCCTGTCAGTTTACAGCCCATGGGGCTAATGCACCACACTGTTCATCCATGTGTCTCTCTGTGGACACTGCGGCACTTCCACCTTTTGGCCATTAGGAACAAAGCGTCTGTGAATAATCACGCGCAAGTCTTCGTGTGGAAATGGCTTTTGTCTCTCTGGGGTGTACCCTAGCGGTGGGACTGCAGGGTCACAGCTGATTCTATTCAGTTGCAGGAACCACCCACCTGGCCCCTGCGGCAGTGCATCTTACACCCTCCAGCAGCACACTAGTGTCCCAGTTCCCCCCTTGCCCTCACCAGCATGTTACTGGCCCAGCAGGTGTGAGGTGGGGCCTCACTGTGGGTGTGGTTGGCATTCCCCAATGACTAATGATATTGAGCATCTTCCCATGGGCTTATTTGCCACCTGAATATCTTCCTTGGAGAAATGTCTATTCAGAACCTTTGCCCGGTTTTATATTAGGTTCCTCTACTGCTGGATTATTTATTCTAGACAAGTCCCTTACCAGATACATGATTTGCAAATTTCTTGTCCCATTCTGTGGGTTGTCTTTTCACCTTCTTGATGGCAGCACAAAAGCCTTACACTCGAAAGTCAAATTTACTTACTTACTTTCTTTAGTGGTTCTTGTCATATCTAAGAATCCTTAATCAAATTCAAGGTCATGAAGACTGACTACTGTGTTTTCTGCTAAGGGTTTTATATTTTAAGTCTTGCATTTAGGTCATTTACCCATTTTGAGTTGATTGGGTGCCAGCTGAGGGTCCAGTCCATCCTTTGGCATGTGGATGTCCTGTTGTTCCAGCACCACTTATTAAAGAGATTATCCTTTCCCCTACTGGATGGTCTCAGCACCCTTGTCACCATCAGCTGATCACAGATGCATGAGTTCATTGCTGGACTATCTTCTAGTCCAATATCTTGACGGCTGCTACTTTGAAGTAAGTTCTTAAATTAGGAGGTGTGGGGATCCCTGGGTGGCTCAGTGGTTTGGTGCCTGCCTTCGGCCCAGGGCATGATCCTGTTGTCCCGGGATTGAGTCCCACATCTGAGTTCCTTGCATGAAGGCTGCTTCTCCCTCTGCCTATGTCTCTCCCTCTCTCTCTCTCTCTTTCTCTCTCTCTCTCTGTGTGTGTCTCTCGTGAATAAAAAAATAAAATCTTTAAATAGATAGATAGGGGATCCCTGGGTGGTGCAGCGGTTTGGCGCCTGCCTTTGGCCCAGGGCGCGATCCTGGAGACCCGGGATCGAATCCCACATCGGGCTCCCGGTGCATGGAGCCTGCTTCTCCTTCTGCCTGTGTCTCTGCCTCTCTCTCTCTCTCTCTCTCTCTGTAACTATCATAAATAAATAAAAATTTTAAAAAAATTAAAAATAAATAAATAGATAGATAGATAGATAGATAGATAAGGAAGGGTGAGTGCTCTTCCTATGTTCTTTCTCAAGATTACATATGTATCATGGATTAGAATCAGCTTTCTGGAAGAGAACCAGCTGGAATTCCAATAGGGACTGGTTTGATCTGCAGGTCAATTTGAGAAATGCTGACATCCTAACAGCATTAAACCTTCTGACCCACAAACATAGTATGTTTTCCCATATACTCAAATCCTTATTTTCCGGCACCCTGGTGGCTCAGCAGTTTGGCGCCTGCCTTCGGCCTAGGGTGTGATCCTGGGGACCCTGAATCGATTCCCACATCGAGCTCCCTGCATGGAGCCTGCTTCTCCCTCTGCCTGTATCTCCGCCTCTCTCTCTGTGTCTCTCATAAATAAATAAATAAAATATATTTTTTAAAAATCCTTATTATCTTGGAACAATATTTTATAGTTTTCAGAATAGAAGTTTTGGACTTCTTTTGTTACATTTATTCCTAAGTATTGTATTCTTTTTTCATCTTTATGTTATTCATTGCAAGCGTATAGGAACAAGGTTGGGTTTTTCATATTGATCCTGTATCCTGCAACGTTACTGAACTCACTGATCAGTCATAATAGTTTTTTAGTGGACTCCTTAGAATGTTCTATACACGAGACCACAGTGTCTGGATGCCCTTATTTTTCTTGACTAACTGCCCTGTGTAAAACCTATAGTACAATGTTAAATAGAAGTGACAAGCACAGACATCCTTGTCTTTAAAAACTAAACATATACTTACAGCACCCAGCATTTGTACTCCTAGACATTTATTCCGAAGAAATGCAAACTTCCGCCCACACGAAAACCTGTAGGCAACTGGCCCCATGGGCTTTAAACATAATACCCCAAAACTGGAAGCTAAAACGTCTCTCAGTAGGTGAATGGGTAAACAAATGGAGGCACGGCTATGTCTTAAAATGATGAAGTGATGAAGAGGAACACACACTACTTAGATGGATCTCAGCAGCTTACTGTGAGTGAGAAAAGCCCATCTCAAAAGATTATAGTGTGATTCCATTTCCCTAATGTTCTTGAAATGACAACATTACAGAGATGGAGAACACATCAGTGGTCGCCAAGGTTGAGGAATGGCATGATTATAAAGGGGCAGCATGCAGGAGAACTTTGTGGTAGCAGATGGGACACCTCTGCAATGCTGACGGCAGCGGCAAACACATAAACCCACATGGTGATAAATGACACAGAGCACATGTCCTGGACCAGTGTCAGCCTCCTGATTTGGATGTTGTATTACAACTATATCAACTGCACCTTTTAGGGGACACTGTCTTTGTAACTTCCTATGAATCCATCACTGTTTCAAAATAAGCAATTTAAACTTTTTTTTCCAAATAAGTTTACCAAGTGAAAGGACTAGTGGTCTCAGTGGAGAGAGAGGGATAAAGTGCCAGAGACAGACAGAGGAAGGGGGGCGGGGGCAGGGGGGAAGGACGGAGGGAGACAAGGAGGGGTAGGTGGGAGTAGGGATGGGAGCAGCCCAGCCTGGTCTGCTCTCAACTACACCATGAAATGGGAAAGAGTAGGAACAAAGATTCTGAGGACCACAACTCTGTACTGCCCAGCCCCACCTCCTGCACGGGACCATCCCAGGTGGCATCAAGCTGACTCTGCTTTCTGGCTCTTCCTCTAGAAGGACAAGGCCCCACAGAGCAAGAGCACTTGCAACCTCAGAGCACACACCAGACATCTCACCCCACACTGCTGGCAGCAGAGTCCCAACCGCAGGGCAGAGCCACACACACACTTCTCTAGGGCTTCCTTCTGCCCCTTAGGCTGAAGAGGCAGATATCTCCATCCTCAGGGCTCCCGCTTCCTTCCTGGGGCACCAGAAACATCTCCTGAAATGTAAGCCACTTTGCAAAAGAGCCATAACAACCCTCCTAGGAGGAGAGCACACACACTTTGCCACCGACCTGCAGATCCAGTATGGAGCTCATCATCCTGCAGACACCCACAGAGAATCATCCCTGGAAACCATGGCTCTGCTAAGGCCCCAATGTGACAGCATGTCAGCAAACAGCACGAGAGAACAGACAGTGAGCACAACCCGAGCCACCGCCCCTTCCATCAGAGCCACAGGGCCCAATGGCACAGAACAGGGCCACTCTCTGGCTCTGCCTTACCACAAACCCCTGCGGGTCCCAACCCCCAAGCCCCTCCCTTTTGCCCTCAGGAGTTATGAGTATATCTCAGAAGAACATAAAATTTAAATAACTTAGAAAAGAAAAGAAAACACCTAAAATCCCCAGCTGGGCTCCTGGGCAAGAGGAGAGGCAGCTCCACCATCTAAGCGTGCTCCTTGATGCTGGGGGCTTGCCCCTCCAGAGTTGTGAGCAGAAAGACCCTCTCCTTCCCAGGCGGCTGTCCACAGCACCTCCAGCACCTCCAAAGCCAGTGCAGCTTCACTGCTGCCCTCCCACGTCTCCGCCACTTACAGCCTTGCCAGGTCTGGCCCGAGGTGAGAAGCACCAGCTCCGAGTTGTCAGGCACACTCCAGAAGTAATCTCCAGTTAGCTCTGTACCGTCTTCGTAGAGGCACAGACGGGAGCCGGCGACAGGGAGCTGCGGAGAGGGAGAGCAGGGCAGGATGCTTAGGCACTGGGTCTCTGGCAGGCCCACCCTGGGAGTGGTAACCTGAGGCCTTTCCACCTGCGGTCCTCACAAACAGCAAGAACAAAGTACATTTTTCTCAGGATGCCGTCTGCATTCTACAGGTGGAGAGTGCTGGGGTCTAAGGTACGCACGTGTCATAACAGACACCTACTACACAGGTTGCTCTAAACAGTGACAAGTCACGTGAACATACATACATAGTGGTGACTACTGTGCAAGACTCACCACACAGACCCTTTCAAAATTGGCTCCTTAAGGGCACTTAAAAGCCAAGCCTGTTTCAGAAAATAATGCCTGACTGCTTCCACTAAGCCCATAAACACATCCCCATCGTGAGGGCACAGCACCTGACTGGCGTCAGGACACACCCACTGAGGGCACTCTGTTATCTTGGGCAATGATTAATTAAGGAGAACATCTTACTGAAAATGACTCATCGCCTCTCTCTGACAAAGCGTAACCAGCACACAGTGCCACTACTTTGCAGGCACTTGCTAGACATTGATCAGCTTTATGAACGTTTATGGCAACTCCTCATGCACCTGCACCTCACACATACACACACCCACAACCAGCAATGCTCCAAGTCCAAGTCCAGTCAAGAAAACAAATGCAGTTAAGAATCCAGTAAGAATGATGACTGAAATCCCTGGAACAATAGTGCTAGCAGGGCCTTTAGTGCCCTCTGAGCACAAATCCTTCATTTTACAGAAACGGATACTGAGGCCCAGAGAGGCCAGGTGGGCTGTGCCCTGGAACCCAGAGCAAATTAGCGGGTATGTGCTAGAACCTCAGGCCAGACCTGCCATGATCCTCATAGTCAGAAGAGGGAGGTCCCAGATCCCTCCACAAATTCCTGCTGAAGGGGGCTTGAGTAACTAGAGGAAAAAGTCTGAGGAGGCACCAGGTCCCCGGAACCCAGCCCCACACCTCCAAGTGGAGGCATCCGGTCCCAGCCCACAGTCCTGCACTTCCAGGTGGAAGCACCTGGTCCTGGACCCCAGCCTCTCGCACCTCCAGATGGAGGCATCTGGTCCCAGACCCCAGCCTCCCGTACCTGCAGGTGGAGGCACGGGGTCCCCGGACCCCAGCCTCTTGCACCTCCAGGTGGAAGGACCCAGTCCTGGACCCCAGCCTCTCGCACCTCCAGGTGGCAGCACCCGGTCCTGGACCCCAGCCTCTCGCACCTCCAGGTGGAGGCATCTGGTCCCAGATCCCAGCCTCCCGCACCTCCAGGTGGAAGCACCCGGTCCCCGGACCCCAGTCCAGGTGGAAGCACCCGGTCCTGGCCCCCAGCCTCTCGCACCTCCAGGTGGAGGCATCTGGTCCCAGATCCCAGCCTCCCGCACCTGCAGGTGGAGGCATCCGGTCCCCGGACTCCAGTCCTGCACTTCCAGGTGGAAGCACCCGGTCCTGGACCCCAGCCTCTCGCACCTGCAGGTGGAAGCACCCGGTCCCCGGACCCCAGCCCGGCACCTGCAGGTGGAGGCACCCCTTCTTCAGCACCTCCTGGCAGCTCCTCCCCGCCACCCCAAACTTCTTCTGGCTGTGCAGAGCCCGCAGCTTGAACGTCTTGGGCTTCCGGAACACCGCAAACATCCTCAGGGCCTCAGACCCCGCCGGAGGCACCTGCTTGTCGGGCCGCTCAGCCTAGTTCTCGCCCGGGCCGCAGACACCAGCTGAGCGACCGGGATCCTGCGCCCGGGTGGGCTCTGCGGCGGGCACCAAGGCCGCGCGGAGTTCCCGGGAAACTCCATTACCCAGAAGGCCCGGGGACGCGGAGGCGCGGCCCCGCCTTGTGCGCAGGCGCCGTCCCCCGGAGACTCCATTACCCAGAAGGCCCCGGGAGGCGGAAGCGCGGCCCCGCCTTGTGCGCAGGCGCAGCCCGGCCGGGCCCGCCTGGTTGTCATGAGAGCGGCGGCCGCGGCCCTAGCGCTGGGCGCAGGCGGCCGCGGCTGCTCCTCGGCGGCCACCGCCGCTGCGGCTCGGGGGTGCGGGCCGGCCGGGGACGGCGGAGGAGGCGCCGCCTGAGCTCCGGGAGGTGCGGAGGGCCCTGGGGGTCGTGCACGCGCCGAGGTCCGGGCGGGCCTTCCGCTCTGACAGGTACGGGGCAGCGGGGCCTGGCGGGTGTGGGCGCGGCCGGGGGTCCGGGGCTGCGGGGCCTGCAGAGGTGGGCGCGGCCTGGGGTGGTGGGGAGGGCTGCAGAGGTGGGCGCGGCCGGGGGTCCGGGGTCGGGGGGGCCTGCAGAGGTGGGCGCGGCCGGGGGTGGTGGGGAGGGCTGCAGAGGTGGGCGCGGCCGGGGGTCCAGGGCTGCGGGGCCTGCAGAGGTGGGCGCGGCCTGGGGTGGTGGGGAGGGCTGCAGAGGTGGGCGCGGCCGGGGGTCCGGGGTCGGGGGTCCTGCAGAGGTGGGCGCGGCCTGGGTGGTGGGGAGGGCTGCAGAGGTGGGCGCGGCCGGGGGTCCGGGGTCGGGGGTCCTGCAGAGGTGGGCGCGGCCTGGGGTGGTGGGGAGGGCTGCAGAGGTGGGCGCGGCCGGGGGTCCAGGGCTGCGGGGCCTGCAGAGGTGGGCGCGGCCTGGGGTGGTGGGGAGGGCTGCAGAGGTGAGCGCGGCCGGGGGTCCAGGGCTGCGGGGCCTGCAGAGGTGGGCGCGGCCTGGGGTGGTGGGGAGGGCTGCAGAGGTGAGCGCGGCCGGGGGTCCAGGGCTGCGGGGGCCTGCAGAGGTGGGCGCGGCCGGGGGTGGTGGGGAGGGCTGCAGAGGTGGGCGCGGCCGGGGGTCCGGGGTCGGGGGTCCTGCAGAGGTGGGCGCGGCCTGGGGTGGTGGGGAGGGCTGCAGAGGTGGGCGCGGCCGGGGGTCCGGGGTCAGGGGGGCCTGCAGAGGTGGGCGCGGCCTGGGGTGGTGGGGAGGGCTGCAGAGGTGGGCGCGGCCTGGGGTGGTGGGGAGGGCTGCAGAGGTGAGCGCGGCCGGGGGTCCAGGGCTGCGGGGCCTGCAGAGGTGGGCGCGGCCTGGGGTGGTGGGGAGGGCTGCAGAGGTGGGCGCGGCCGGGGGGTCCGGGGTCAGGGGGGCCTGCAGAGGTGGGCGCGGCCGGGGGTCGGGGCCTGGGGCTGGGCCCGGGGTTGGGGGGGCGCCTGTCGAGGTGGCGCGGTCGGAGGACCGGGGTCCCGGCCGCGGGCGGGGAGCTCGCCCCCAGGGGGTGCCCTTGCCGGAGCGGACACCGCCAGCCACAACCCGAGGTCTGGTCTGCGGTGGCCTCGAGCTGGCGCCGGACTTAGCTGACGGTGACCCGGAACCCCGACTGACCCGAGTGAAAGGAGAGCGCGGCCGCGCCCCTGTGCGGGCTCAGCGCTGCTCTGCACGCCCACCCCCTCCGTTTGGTGCGAATTCGGCTTGGGATACGCTCTGCGGCACTTTCAGGCTTTAGGATTACTTGACCAAACATTATCTGCACTTGTAACGTTTAAGTTTCCCTAAAAAGAGAAGTGGAAACAAGGTTTATCTCCTAGTCTTGTAGCAAAATGTTGGGAAGTTGCCGGATTGTTTCAGTTTACTTTCTAGATGTCAACAATCCTGATACACAGTTGGAAAGGTACGTGCTGATAGCCGCAGTGAAGGAGCGGCGGAGCTACCCTCGTCCCTGCAGGCACCGGCGTGGTAGCAAGGGAACCCAGGACAGCAGTTGCTGCTTGCGGCCCTGCGTGCTAATGGCTAAGTTTCAACAGAGCTTTGATTTTTGTCAAAATGTTAGCGGTGGTTTTTATAGTCTGATAGCAGCATCCTTTAGTGACACCTCCAGTATCACGTAACACTCTCAAAGGTTTCCACAAAGAGGACCCTGGGGTACGAGGTGGAAGGGCTTTGGAAGAGAGTGGCCATAAAGGAATGCTTTCCAATACTTAAAGCGAGGTGATGTCTACAGTGCCAGGGCATTCCTCCTACCTGATTCCTACACACCGGTACTTTGTTTGGGATTTATTGAGGCAATATAGTATAGTGGACATAACCCCTATTTGGATTTCAAAGGTCCTATTTTAAGTCTTAGAACCTTTGCAGAGGGTATTGGCCAAGATCAGAGACTCTGGAACACAACCAGCTAAAATCACTCTGCCTACATGGCTTGCTAGTCTTATAGCCTTGAGCAAGGGCTCCCTGTACCTCGATTTCACATCTCTAAAGTTGGTATGACGACAAACCTGTCAGAGTCGTTATGAAGGCACGCGTATGTGTCTAGTGTTGAGGTCGGCCCTTGGCACACAATAAGTGCATTAAAGGTAGTGTCTATCTGCAAGCGAGAGTGCTCTGTAAAGGAATATACGTGGGGCAATATGCATGGTGTTTCAAATTTTAGAATTTCAAGAAATATAATCACATTCAGTTGAAAATATTTAGTAGATACCTACTAATTTCAAGGTGGAATAGGGCGTAATGGTCCCTGCTCTTAAAGATGACAGAAAAATTTGAGAAATTCAGAACAGAGAGAGAGATAACTGATTTTTAGTTAAGCTTGCCTGGACTTTAGAATGCGTGACAAGAACTGAGGGTTTGAACAGCAGATTGGGTCAGGACACAGTTGACCCTTCCGCCCTGGACAGGGAGCACATGAAGAGCTCTGAGGTAGGACACAGATACTGATGACCCCAGTTGGGCTTGAGAAGGAACACAGTATAGCTGGGAGCAGGGGGAGTGCTCCAGGTGGGGAGACCTGGCCACAGTCCACTGTCATCCTGTAGAAGAGACAGTGGGGTGGAGAAGAGTGGATTCGGCCATAGTCTATCACCTGAAAGGCAGGACCAATAAGACTTGGCACTTGAGGATGGGGAGTAGGACAGAGGGTAAGTCTGCTAAGAGCCCAAGGCTGTGGAAGACAAATCCCACTCCGGTGGGAATGCAGGTGGGGCTCTATAGCACACCCTGTGTATAATTGCACTCATTCAGTTTTTGTGCTTGGTTTCCTTTATTTTCTGAGTGAGTTTACTTTAGCATTCCTCTGCTGTACTGTGACATCCTTCATTGTCAAAAATTACAATCTTTAATAGTGGTTTATTCTATTTCTAATGCTTGTGTTCATATATTCTAAGAGGATTGGCAAGTAGCAGTTAATAATTTATTGATGTAGGCCTTTTGTTTTTTTGTTTTGTTTTGTTTTTAAAGATCGTATTTATTCGTGGGAGACAGAGAAAGAGACACAGGCAGAGGGAGAAGCAGACTCCACGCAGGGGGACCCAAGGTGGGACTCAGTCCCAGGACTCTAGGATCATGCCCCAGGCCAAAGGCAGGCGCCGAACCCCTGAGCCACCCAGGGATCCCCTGATGTAGGCCTTTTGAGGTTCTAAATGAAAGTAAAAGAAAGATCTAGATCATGTATCAAACATATTAAAATAAGCAAAATTTCATTTAGGATATATCTATATGTTACTTGCTATTCAGAATTTCAATTGACAGTATGTCCTATCCCAGAGAACATTCTGGAGAATTCTTTGTTTTCTCTTAGTGAGGATGGGGTTTCATGTTGCAGATACTTAAACCTAGTTCACATTGGCTTACTGTAGGGGAATTTGATTGGCTCCAGAACTGGAAAATAAGCAGAAGTTCATGAGTAGTTTGGGTCTTAAATGTGGCTGAACCTCAGGGTTCCCAAGACAGCTGTTTCCCCATGTCTGCCTGTTCTTTGGCAGAACCTCCTCACTGGTGGCTGTCACTAGCTCCTGGAAATATCTTAAAATATATATATATTTTATTTATTTATTCATGATAGACATAGAGAGAGAGAGGCAGAGACACAGGCAGAGGGAGAAGCAGGCTCCATGCCGGGAGCACAATGCAGGACTCGATCCCTGGACTCCAGGATCGTGCCCTGGGCCAAAGGCAGGCGCCAAACCGCTGAGCCACCCAGGGATCCCCTCCCGGAAATATTCTGAGCCTGCAGCCCCAGCAAAAAAGCTTCTCTTTCCCGGTAGCCCCAGCAGAGGCCCGGGATAGAGTCACATCAGTCCAGTTTGGGTCCTGCTCTCATGTTGCCATCCCTGAACCAGCTGCTGTGGTTCAGGAACCCACAGTCTGACCAAGCCTGGGAGCGGTGCAGGTAGAAACTGCAATTGAGGTGCTGTTTCCAAACCAGGATAGGATGGATGCTGAGCAGGCATGACCAGACATCACAACACCCACCCTCAAAATGATATTCAACTATGAGCAGTTCCCTAAACAATGACATAAAAAGTTCATCCAACCAATATTTAAATATCTCCTCAAGCAGGCCCCAGGTGTACTTTCTGCACCTGGCATATCTCCCTGTAGTCCTGCCTTCCTTGCTTGAGCCATACATTTGCATTCAGCAGTGGTCATGATGTTGATTAACCCACCCTTTCCTCCCGTATTTTTGTGTAACTTATTAACACACTGGTTATATTAGTTTCTTAACTAATATAAAAAACTTGATGTTTTTATCTTAACAAAACTCTTTGTTTTTGCTATAACAAACTGCCACAAACCAGATGACTTAGAAGCCCGCAGTCAGGGTGTCTGCAGGGCCATGCTCCTTGTAAAGGCTCCACAGGAGGATCATCCCATCTTCTGGTGCTGACAGCACCCCTGGGTCCTCCTTGGCTTCTGCTCCGATCTCTTGATCTTCGCCTTGGCTGTGTGCGTGTCTGTGCCTCTCAGATGGACACCAGTGCTTCTGTATCAGGGCCCACCGTCCTCCAGCATGACCTCGTTTTCACCTTATTACATCTGTAGAGACCTTATTTCCAATAAAGGTCATATTCACAGGTCCTGGGAGTTAGGACTTCATCCTATTTTGGGGGGAGACACAATTCAACCCACAGCACTTGTCAAATTTTTAAGACATACTTTTAGAAAAAGTGAAGAAAAATGGTACCTTAAATAGAGTTAGAGGCTCCCATGAGAAATACTTAAAACCTAGATTCCTTCAGAGATGGGAAAATTCTGACATGTTGTGAATTATTTTGTCTATGAGCAAGGCATGAGCTAATACGTTCAATGTGATAAAACGTTCCCAAGTTCCTTTATCTTAAAGAAGTCTTTCCTGTCCTTATAAACAGCCCCAGCGTCCAGGATGCCCCACAAGATTGGCTTCGTTGTGGTCAGCTCCTCTGGACATGAAGATGGCTTCAGTGCCCGGGAACTAATGATCCACGCACCAACCGTCAGCGGGTGGAGGTCACCGAGGTGGGCCAGACTGGGTCTGTGGGCTAGGGTGGTAGGCTCCTTTCATTGGACACTTCTGCTTGTATTAATGACTCAAGCCTCAGAACCATGTGGTGGTTAGCATGCTGCAGTGCCGTCTGTGCAGTGATGGCATGGGTTTTTTCCTTAGGTTTTTAAAGAAAATTTGTTGGACCCTTTCCCCTAATAACATTTACTGACATTCACCTAAGAAATGTGCAAGTAGGGTGCCCTGGCGCGGGTGAGGAGGGGATGAATGAGAAAGCTGTGCTGGTGGCCATAGACAGCTCCTATGTGATGTTTGCCAAGGGCAGCCAAGTGGTGGCTTGGTTGCTGAGAAGGATGTGGGGTCACAGGAGGGGTTTCTTAAAATGGGGGCGGAGGGGTGGGTTCCAGAGTGTGTTTGTGTGTTGATGGGAGTGATGGGGAGAGAAAAGCCAGGGTGGGGACAGGCTGGCCCTGGTGCAGTTTGGGGTGGGGGATGATGCCCCAGCAGGGATGCTGTTCCATTTGGGGAGCAGTAGGAAGAGCCCCATGTGAGGCTCCTGCTTTCTCAACAGTGGTGTGTAGGGCTGCTAGGAGAGGTGGTGGAGAAGGGAGGGAGCATGGCCAGGAGGCAGGAGTGGGCTCACCCAGGAGACCACTGGGTCCTGTCCAGCTGTTCCATCCTTTGTTGCTTCCCCCTGCCCAGGCCTTGGACGCCCCAGTGTCTTAGTAATCCAGTGCTTACCAGCCCAGCGTATGTAGTATCTACTGTCTGGGGCACTGTGCTCTGTTGCTAAGTCATGATCAGCTCCTGCAGTGTGAGGTCTTTGTCAACACTGGTTCTCCAGCTCCTTCTCATGTAGATTTTTAACGTGCTCTGTCACTTACTAAGCAAAAGTAGAAGTTCCACTGTGGGCAGTTGTAGGCTTCTCCTGCAGACTGCCAAGCACACATTATAGGCACACGTCCCTCAGGATTCTCTAAGCAGGTGGCTTTCCTGAAGCATTTGGGTTCCTGTGGAAAAATCCTTTGGCTCTTTCTTGCCCACTAGTACAGCCTCTTACGACTGATGTTGTTTATCTCGTGTTGAACTTCATTTCAAATGGTTTTCCCACTACCAGAAGCATGATTCACATAAGGCAGCAGGCAGATGCAGTCTGCACTGGAGCTTCAGCTCCAACACAGGCAGGTCTCAGACACAGCACTCGCAGCCCACCTCGCTGCTTGCAGAGCACCGCACATGCAGCCAGAACCCGCGCATGTGAAAAACCAAATGTGTTTGCTTTCAGATTTTGCCAGTTTCCACAAGAAATTGTTCTTCAGATGGTGGAGAGGTGTCGAATCAGGAAACTGCAACTGCTTGCCCACCAGTACATGATCCCCAGTAAAGTGGAGTTCTACATCAGTGAGAGCCTGCCCGAGTACTTCGTGCCCTACCAGGCTGAGCGCTTTCGAAGACTTGGGTAAGGGTGAGAGTGAAGGCTCGTGTTGGGAACTTTAACCTGACTCTCCCTGTGTCAGAGCCGTGGGAATGAAGGGACCACCCCTTGCTTTTGGTCCTGGGTCACAGACTCCCATGTGCTCAAGCACATTTCTGAGCAGCTGCCACACCGAGATGTGCTCTATTAGCAGTGCTGTCCATCTGTTGCTAGCATTTGTCTCTGCTTTTCAGACGCAGAACTCATTTTAAGAAAACTGGTTAGAATACAGTTTCTGGGCTTCTCCCTAGGTTTTCCCTTCAGACTTTGATTTAAACTTTGATTTAAACCCGTTGAGCTCAGTAGGAGCAGAGGCCAGTTTCATTGCACACACATTTCCTGTCATCATGGTTCCAGCGTGTGCTCTCTCTTTCAGCTATGTTTCTCTCTGTGACAACGAGAAGACAGGCTGTAAAGCCCGGGAGCTGAAGTCAGTGTACGTGGATGCAGTAGGACAGTTTCTTAAGCTGATTTTTCATGAGAACCATGTCAACAAGTACAACATATACAATCAGGTGAGACACGTGCCCTCACCTAGACTGCTCCCTATCTTCTTGCAACATTATAGGGGCCCGCACCCCTGGGCAAAGGTATTTCAAATCTTTTTTTAAGATAGTAACTTTTATAGAAGAATATTAAGCTCTTCTGGAGCTGTGCTATGCGATCAGGAGCTGCTGCCCCACACCACAGATACACACTGGGAGCCTGGCCAACCCAAGTACGATGGGCCCACTCAGGCTAACTGGATACTCGAACTCAAAGACTTTGTGTGGGTAATGGAATCAGTTATAGAGTGAAATGATAAATTGTGGTGATCTTGGGTTTAAAATTAACATCATCTGCTTTTTACAAAATTTTACTGTGTCCACTAGAAAAATTATCCATGTGGCTTGCATGGTTTCTGTTAGGTGACACTCTTCTGGATAAACCTATAAACCTTTAAGAGATAAGTCCCCTGGTAGAACTTGGGGGTATGATTTCATGGTACAGGCAGCCCAGCTCTAAGTCCTCATTCTTAATCTCTCCCTCCCTCCCCTTGTCTTTCTGTTCCTTTTTCTTGTCTTTTAGTTTTGTTTTGGATTTGGCATGATTGATGTAGTAGAAATCAGTTGTGTCCAAAGCAGACTCATAATTAGCATGGATATTGACAGCACTCCCTGCTCCCTCCAAGAGGAGTGGAAACATTCCTTCCACCAAATCAGAGTTTTAAACCCAGCAAGTAGGTTGAGGAGAGCTCTGAGATGCAGTTCCATTGCTTGGTCTGCTGCAACAGTGCTTGACTGTAAACCTGAAGATTGATCGCTAATGTGCTTCTACCTCAGCCCACCAGCAATACCCTGTCACTCAGTTCCACTGCAGTGATGTTCAAGGAAGGGAGGGTGTCAGGTGGAGCCACTGGCCCAGACAAACTGAGCTGTGCTAATGCAGGCCTTCAGTCCATTGTCTAGATTACCAAGATTGAGTAGATGGAACCCCATACTGGACTGTGAGTGGATGGTTTGGTGTGGCGCTGTGTTAAAACTGTGGAGGTTTTTAGCCATTATTGTTTTAATGTACTTTAGATATTAAAATAGCCACTTGAGGGATGCCTGAGGGACTCAGCCAGTTAAACATCTGCCTTTGGCTCAGGTCATGATCCCGAGGTCCTGAGATCAAGCCCCAGGTCAGGTTCCCTGGTCTTTGAAGAGCCTGCTTCTCCCTCTCCCTCTGCCTCCTCCCCCTGCTTGTGCTCTCTCGCATGAGCACTTTCTCTCTTAAATAGGTAAAATCTTTTTAAAAAATTAAACAGCCACTTGATTAGGTGTTAGAATACTACCTTGTATAATTTATAGGAATTAGTAATAATAATTCTATAGCTTGACATTTTACAGTTAATATACTTTGGTGTACATCATCCCTCTTGATGACAGTATAGTATGAACAAGCAGATTGTAATAAAGGGGATAAGTCATTGCCAAAATTTTATTCTTAATTTCTATTGGTTAACTCTTTCTTAGGTTGCTCTGGTTGCAGTAAATATCATTGGAGACCCTGCAGATTTCGGTGATGAAAGCAATATTGTAAGTTTGGGAGGTTTCATTCTCAAAGAAGAAAATGTATCTCTAACAAGCAGGATTGATTATTTTTGTCACAAAAAGTGTCACCTTGGAAAATCTTTATTAAATTGTCTCTTGAATAGCTAGCAGATAATTTTTGGCAGCTATAGTATATTAAACTCTCTCTTTTCCTCAAGAATTTTAACCGTCCTTCCAAAAACCTAGGATCCTCAAAGCCCACTGACATCTCTATATCATATCTCTTAGTTAAGGTTTCATGTTGTTCCTGTTTTCCTCTGAAACGCTAAGCAGAACTCTTTGCTCCCAAAGACCTCTAGAGAGAAACTGATTGATCATTACCTGGGCCAGCACAGCAGTGAGGACCCAGCTCTGGAAGGAACCTGTACTGGGTAAGAGTTCTCCCCCAGACCCTCAGCTCCTAGGACTTTCTTCAGGATTGTCAAGGTGTGAGTCACTTCCAGAGGACTAGGACTTTGAGAGCCACTAAATTCAGTTCTGAGCTAGATAAGCCACTGATGAGATTGACTCAAATATACTTAAAGATTAAGGTCACTGTTCTCCTTAGCACATCTTCATTTATCGCCCTTCAGAGACAACTCTGTTTCTTGTGTATTCAGGTGTTACTAGAAAGTTCCTACAATGAGTGCAGATAGATCTATCGGCCGTACTTTGGTATTTTACTAGCACAGGCAACTTCATAGGTAAAAATTAAAGGAATTCATTGACCCAGATTATCCATTACTAGAGCCTTCATCTTATGTTTGCTTTGAGCCCTCCCCACTCTCATCCATCCCATGAACATACAGCTCTGCCTCCCGCAGGCTGGGGACCCAGGGGAGGCTCCACTGGGCGCAAGGCTCACTGTCCACTGGTGCATACACTTAGCACAGCAAGTGGCTCCTGGGTGACCGCAGAGAGAATCTCCATATTTTATGCAAGCACAAGAGCCTGGCTTAAGAAGGAATTACTTTGTGTCAGTGTTTGGACTGCCTTGCTTTCTGTGGAGTCTTCCTGGGCCTGCAGCCTGGCTATCAACTGGTGGATGATGTCAGTAGGGAGTGCTTAAAAAATAGACTCTGTCCCTAAATCTGGGCGAGACCTGCTCTTCTGAAGCTGCCCATTGCCCATGCCAGATGATGTCATGTTTTTTTCTTTGTAGCATTTTCATAATTAAGTCTTTGTTTTCATCTCTAGGACTTGAAGGCAAAGAAACTTTGACTTAAGAGTATAGTATGTATTTAGGTAAAAATAGTTAATCTTGTGCCAATACCAAAGCGTGTTACTGTTTGGTCATCACTGGGATTAACTGATACTGTTCAAAGCTGCCAAAGCTGACCCCATCACCTCATTTCCAGGAGTTGAGAAGTGTTGGGGGGATGTTTGATCATGCTGAAAGGTGATGTCATACTGTGTCCTGTTTCAATTTATTTTTAGACAACCAATTTATTTTATTTTATTTATTTTATTTATTTATTTTTAATTTATTTTTTCATGACACAGAAAGGCAGAGACATAAGCGGAGGGAGAAGCAGGGTCCCTGTGGGGAACCTGTTACAGGATTTGATCTCAGGACCCCGGGATCATGACCTGAACCAAGGGTGACCTCAACCACTGAGCCACCCAGGTGCCCTGACAGCCACATTTTTTATGACAAGTAATACTGTCATTAAAATTTACCTGTATATAAAGATATCTAAGTCAAAGCTGCCAGTTGGCTTATTTTGTGTAGCTGTTACAATAGAGACATTGAAACATGTCCTCTGTTAACATTTTTGTTGAGTGGTGAGACTGGCATTATTGTTTTAAATGTTAGACCCTGGAGAAAGCTGCCAGCCTGCTGCAGAACACGAAAGAAAGAATGAGGTGATACTTAATCAGAAATCAGTTACTCAGATCACTAGAAAGATCTTTTATTCCTGGAAGGGTTTTTCTGAACTCCCCAGGACTTGGGATATCATGCAGTCTGACATTTTGAGCTGAGGCCCTGGCAGGGCACCTCTGCATCTTTAGTGCTTGTCACAGTTACTGTGGCACTGGTGTCAAGTATGGACACCTAGATTACACCTGGAACCCACCAAGTCAGATTCTTTAGGGATGGGGCCTGATAGTCTACTTTGGCTTGGGTTTTCCCCTAGACTACACATGATTCACCTGCACTATTATGCCCCCGGTGCCTAGAACAGAGCCGAGCACAGAGTCTGCACTCAAAATATTTATTGAAAAACAAATAAACCAAAGACTCAGATGCCCCCAAGTGCAGTTAACTAATGGTCAGGAGCATAAGCTGTGGAGTCAGAGAGACCCACCTGCACTTAAGAGCTGGGTGACCTGAAGCCCATTCCTGATTTTTTCTGAGCTTCCACTTTCTCTGGCAAGAATGCTCCAAGAGCAGATTTGGGGGTGCCATTTCTGTGACTATCTGTACCTTCAGACTGAGCCTGTAGGACTCCCTCCACCATCACTCTACCACATGTGTCGAAGTTAGCTAAGATATTCATCTCTTTCCTTTAGGAAATCTGACTACATTTCTCCACTGGATGACTTAGCTTTTGATATGTACCAAGATCCAGAAGTTGCCCAGATTATACGCAAATTAGATGAAAGAAAACGTGAAGCTGTCCAAAAGGAACGTTACGACTATGCCAAGAAGTTAAAACAAGCTATTGCTGATTTGCAAAAGGTACTACTCCTGGAGACAACAGTCCTCCCTCGGTTGTGTGAGAGTGGTCCTGACACATGGTACAGCAAAGATGTAGGCCACTAAAAGCTATGGACACTAGTGTGGGTCCAAGGAGGTAAGCAACATAAAGTTACAGACAGATGAGCAGCCAAGTAAAATGTAAGTGAAGGCACAAACTCAGCCTCTTCAGATGCCATGTTGCTTTCCTAAGGCAGTAGAAAAACATAAGATGCTTACCATCCCATGGATTCATGCAGTTTCTTAGACACTGGCGTGGTGACAGGCAGCACGCCCCATGCAGGCCAGCGTGGCTGTTGTCTAACTGCCCAGGCTTGGTCCCTCCTCCCAGCAAGGTACATGGGGCAGGCAGCACCTCTATCACCTAGCCCTTGCTTTAAAAGTTGTCTTTGCACTGGATGTGGCTGGATGCACATTTGAAGCAGAGTGGCCTTGTGTGCTTCAGGTTGGCGAGCGCCTTGGGAGGTACGAGGTGGAAAAGCGCTGTGCGGTTGAGAAGGAGGACTATGACCTGGCCAAGGAGAAGAAGCAGCAGATGGAGCAGTTTCGCAACCAAGTGTATGAGCAGCTGCAGCTGCACAGCCTCGTGGATGCTGAGCCGGTAGGTGCCTGGGCAGCAGTCCCCAGGGCCAAAGAGATTCAGCCACTGGGCCCGTGTGTCCTCATTATGTATGTGACGTGCACATGGCTCCATAACACACAGGTGACAGTTCAGACAGGTGACGTCAGTTCTAGAGGTGCTGCTGGACACCCACTTGCATGAAGACTCATGGCAGAGGAGAAAGGGGATGAGCTGGAACCGGGGATCTCACCTCTTCTCCCCAGCTCAGCTTCCTCATTTGTAAAATGAACCGATGGCAGCCTTGCCATGAGTAGCCTCAGGAGTGTTGTGCACGCATAATCCTAACGGCCTCAGCTTGTTGAGGCCGTGTTTCCTGGGACACACTGCCACTGATCATTAGAACCCACACAGGCAGCTGGTGTACGTACCACCACATTGCAGAGTCGTGCATGACAGCACAGACTCTGGAGCTGCGCTGCTTGGGCTCAGACCTGGCCCCCTTAGGGCTGTGTGATCTCAGGGTCATTCCTTAGCCACTCTGCCTCAGTTTCCTTATCCCATTTATGGGGTAAAAGTGGTATGCATTAAATGAGATCGTCTGTCTGACCCACCTACCGCCATGGCCGCCACATGCTAACTATGTTGAGATGACACAAAATAGCCCACTTTTGCAGCCACTGGGTTTTAGGTCCCACCCAGGTGCTTCCTACCTACATACCACACCTTTGCTGGCAAGTCTGTGTGTGTGTTTCCATACTGTGGCAACCCAGGCACTGTGCTTATTGTCACTCTAGTGTTCTGGCACACATGTCACTTCTGTAGGGCACATGGCAGCCATGGAGAGATAGCTAAAAGGATGTGACAGGACTGGAGGGCACCAGTCCTGATGCCCTCGTGCAGCTTGATGCAGTCCTTGATGCAGCTTGTCATTCTGCCTTCCTAAACTGTCACATCCTCCTGCCCCACCCCACCCCCCAGTGGTGTGGCAACAGCACTGGGAGTGAAGCATCCTGTTTTTCCCCAGATGCGAAGGCCTTCTGACCTGCCCCTCCAGCCCCTCACTCACTCTGCCAGTCCTCGCCACAAACAGCAAGTGCCATCTCTACCACCGCAAGAAGAAAGTGCACCAGAAAGCCGGTTTGCAGAGCCTTTCCTTCAGGAAAAGCCTCCAGCACATCCCCCAGGCCCTTCTCAGCACTCCACAGCAGACCAGTCGCCACCTGCCACAGACCCTCATCTCAAGACCCATGTAGGTAACTGGTAACAGATTGTGTGCAATTTATTCAACAGATACATAGAGAGGACCCACATGGTGCTAAGGCTTTCCTGGTGCAGGGGATGGATCAGGGCACACAACTACAGAACTCCTTCCTGCCCTATGTTCCCAAAGCCAGAACATGGTGGTACATGCACCCAGCGGGTAATCACACCTTAGTGGGAGACCCTGTTTGCAGTCAGACGCACCAGCCCTCGCACCTGTGTCTGTACCCATCAGCCGGTGCTCTGGGATGCACCATCCTCCTGAGCCTCTCCTTTGCTCTCTGTAAAAATGCACAAACAGCTGCTTAAGGGATTATTTCCAGGAATAAACGAGACCATGTTTGTAAAGCGCCCACTGAGGTCTGACTTCAGTAGAACCTCCACACAAGTCATGCATGGTTAATATACTATCAGGATTTTCTGTGTTGTAACAGACGACCTTGCTCCCACTGGGCGTTTCCTGGCTTTTATAACTCGAGACTTAAGAGGTCATGTGGGTTTCAGGGTTCAGTAGCTTCATAGCATCATCAGTGCCTCTTTTCTCCTGTCAACTCTGTTTCCTGTGGTTCCAAGTCACCCTAGGGCTGGAGCTGTCACGTGGCCCTTAGCTTCAGGTCTGCACGTTGTCCCATCTGAGCAAGAGTCTTCCCGAGTTTAGCAGTCACATACCACCCTCTGAGTGATGGTGAGGACCAGAGGAGGTCTCACTGGAGGTCCTGCTGGCGTGCAAGGCAGCATGGCCAGCGACTCTGGGGAGGAAGACAGGATGTTGGGTGGGCACGGGCAAGTGTCCTCCAGGAAAGCCAGAGGGGACAGCACTCATGCTGGCCTCCCAGGGCACATCTTGAGGGTTCCTGTCATCTCCATCAGGAGCATCTTGTCTGTAACTTTATTGCTTTAAGTCATATCTAATACTTTGATTTAAAATACTCCAATTTCTCCTTTGTTAGAATGTCAACATGTTTTGTGTTACAGCAGAGTAGATTTTAGAATATGAGGAACTCACTCTCATGCGGTTTATACCCAGTTAATATCTCAGTGGGTATTAAGTGTGAATGTCATAGTGACACCTGCCTCAGAAAATTACTCTGGAATCTGTTATTTAATTTCCCAAAACTCTGCTACATATGTACTTGTTTAGGTGTGCATCTCTGTTTCCACATGTGGATGGAAGCTCTGGGAGGTGAAGAGCCCATGTCACCCCATTGTGTGGGCAGGGGGCCCCGATGAGCACCTGCAGGGCTGAGGGGGTGGGCAGCAGACAGCTGCCTGCCCAGAGCTAGAGGAGGCAAAGCCCAGGAAAGCTGTGGAGGTATTGTTAGCTCGGTTGCCTGTTTTTTAGTGGAAATCTCCCAGATAATGAGCACGTTTAAAATGAGGCTTGGTACTTATTTCTAAGTCATAAACTAAGAAAAAATCAGAAGTCTTGTCAGGAAAACATATAACTTTTACTTTGGTAAGCTACGTGTCAGCTGAACTGTAACTATTAGTGGTAAGTAGTAACCGAGGCTAAATCTATATCACTTTTCAATTGGGTCTGAGCTGAGTTTAGAAAAGAATGGAAACTGATCTAATTTTTTTCAGGTGAATCTTATTGTCACATAAATTATTCTTATCTGATAAAACTGCTGCCATGCAGACCAGAAGGGTGCAGAGCAGTAGGCCGGCGGTGTAGAGATGGTGTCGGCAGGTGGGGGGCCTTGGGGAGCTCTACAGCCGCCCTTCTCTCCTGTAGCTCCAGTCTGTGCCCTATGATGAGCGGCCCCTTCCTGCTACACGGAAGCAGCCGGCAGCAGCAGCCCTGGAACCAGAAAAGAGTGACTCTGATGTCGGCGAGGCTCCCAAAAGAGGTGCCGCTGGAGAGCCAGAGCCCTTAACAGAGAAGGCACTGAGAGAGGCCAGCCCCGCCGTGGACGTGCTTGGAGAAAGCCTGGTACATGGAGGGCTGGAGAGCGCCCTTGGCTTAGTTTGTGATACTGTTGGCTTCCCTTGGAATCACTATTCATTTGAAGTCTTCCAATAATTATTAATTATATAAAACAGCAAAAACAGAAACTAGAATTTAAGATCTTAGGAATGTCTGTTCGTACCAGACTGAGTGTTTCTGTCTGGTACTGACAGAGTTGATATTGGAAATCTGCCCCTTCTGGAACACCTGCCCCTTCCAGGAGAAAATGAGGGCAGAGCAAAACAAAAAATGGAAGCATTCCATATGGAAATGAGCCCAGTGGGTTTTCCCCTTCTTCCCAGCTTCACAGTATTGCCCTTGGTCGAACTTCTGGTACTTTCTGTATTTTAACAGGGTCTTCAGTATTCCATGTTAGAAAAATTACTTCCTTAAACACATGTACTTGTTCTGCTCTTACAAGAGATTTTTCTCTGTGTGAAACAAAGGTTCAGGTGGCATGGCTGAGGGGTGGCAGTGGTGTCACTGGTGCACCTGCTCCGAGTCAGCTAGCCTCCAATCTGTGTAGGTTGCGGGGGCCTATTCCAAGACGTGGTCATACCGGGAAGATGCGCTGCTCGCCCTGTATAAGCAGCTGATGGAGACGCCTGCTGGAACTCCGAAGGAAGAGCTGAAGAGCATGCTGCGAGCATCTATCTTCCTTGTTAGAAGAGCCATTAGAGACATAGTGACCCCGGTGAGTCCCCTGTGCCCCAAGGTCCCCCAGGAGGTCCACTGGGCCAGGAGGAAGCACAGTGTATCACTAGGAATTAAGGGTCTCTGGTAAGAAATGTGGTCAGTGAAAAGCTTGCAGAGTCTGTCTTCACTTGGCCGTGCTCCTTGCTCTTGCACGGCATCAGCTTTCTCATGCTCTTGAAAGCCAAGGTTTGCTGAGGTCGGACTCACCATGACTGAGAAAATGCTCAGTTTATGTTTTTATTTTTAATGGAAACTGAGGAGCTTGACGTTATTCCTGGATTCCCCTGACTCTGAGAGTGCCGTAAGAGTGAGCACCACTGCCTTCGTGTTTGCCATTAGGCAGGAATGTTCAGGGTGTGGCATCCAGGGCAACACAGGGCACTTGCTGGCACGTGACATGAGAGCACATGCCTTCCGTACGGGAGGAACTGCATTTAGAAAGTGGTTTTTGGGTCACCTGTTCCAGCCCTTCAGGCAGCACAGAATCCCCAACATCGTGTTCATGTTGGTTCCCGTCAGTAACTGTCATGTTCTCTCTGCTGGAATGCAGTTATGGGAGCTCTTCCATTTTTACCACTGTTTTCTTAGGTTTTTCAGGCTTCTTTGAAATTGTTGAAAATGATAATTACACAATATATTCCCAAACACAAACTGAGTAAGCTTGAAACCGCTCACTGTGTGGAAAGAACCATCCCTGTTCTGCTCACCAGAACTGGAGACTCTTCTGCTCGCCTCCGAGTCATAGCTTCAAATTTTATTCAGGTATGAACTTCATAAAATAATGAGCACGTTACTATATTATCTGACTTCTGAATACCTTACCAGTTTCTGTCTCTCCTAAGAGCATTATTGGTTCTCCTCGTGGGTCCCTGTCATACTTACCGGTGCTCTGAAACCTGAAGGTTGCCTTCGATTAAAGTATAATTTGGCTTGTCTGGTATTTCTTTTCTTCAACATATGCTAGTAACTTCTAGTAAAAATGTATGGAAAACTAAACCATAATAGAAAATTGGGAGTAAAGAGATAATAAATGTGCAATGACCTTAATCTAAATAGTTTTGGGAAAAAAAATAGTTTTGGGCTTTCACTCCAGGCCAAGTATTAGAGAGAGAGAGAGAACTCTAGGAGATCTTTTTTTTTCTTTTTAAAGATTTTATTTATTCATGAGAGGCACAGAGAGGCAGAGACATAGGCAGTAAGAGAAGCAGGCTCTCCACAAGGAGCCCGATGTGGGACTCGAACGCTGGGACTCCAGAATCACACCCTGAACTGATGGCAGATGCTCAGCCACTGAGCCACCCAGGCCACCCCATGCTCTAGGAGTTCTTACCCTGAGGCCTATGCCTGGGCTTCAGCAAGTCTATGAATTTCTCACATTTTATATGACATTCTGTTGGGAAGGACTCCATAGCTTTCATAGTTTCTCAGAGGGGTCATTTTTACAGTATGATGAACCGCTCATCTCATCTCATCTCCTTTAACAAACTTGAGTTCTGGGGGAGAATGAAAAAGGAGAAGTAAGTTATACTAACAAGAAGGTAAAAGTGATGTTCAAGTCCTACAAGATACTCCATCTTCTGTGGCTCAGAATCTGGGGGAGATGGCATCTTTTAAAAGGAACATTGAAAATGTTAGTATGTCCTTCCTTTGTTTAGTCATTTATTTTTTAAGAGAGGGAGAGGAAAGGGTGGGGAGGGGCAGAGGGGGAGAGAGAGAATTCCCAAGCAGACTCCCTGCTGAGTGCAGAGCCCAGCACAGGACTCGCTCTCATGACCCTGAGATCATGACCTAAGCTGAAATCAAAAATCGGATGCTGGGAAACCTGGGTGGTGTCCATGTCTCTGCCTCTGCATTTCTCATGAATAAATAAGTAAAATCTTAAAAAAAAAAAAAAAGATAAAAGAAGTTGAGGCTTAACCGACTGAGCCTCCCAGTTGCTCCCAAAACTGATTTCTTTCTCTATTGCAACCCATATGCTTCAGTATTTTATCATTCCTCTTTCTGTATTTGGCTGTTTAAATGATAAATACATTAATCATAGAAAGACTTGCTCATTGATAGTGGACTTCATGCTTGCCCATAAACCCAGCAGGAGTCACATCAGCCAGAGTACTGTGCACTTTACACTCCCAGCTGACTTTTCATAAATACTAACACAATACTCATTTTGTTTTAGAATGTTAGAAATTAGAAAACCTTTTTCTTAAAGTTGGAAAATCCTGAGAAATCTTAAGTTTTAGATCACATTCTTATAAAGCTTTCATTTATCTGTGAGTGATCATGTTTTTATGTTTTTGTGCTTTAGGATTTTGTTTTTAATCATTATATCTTAAATAGAAATATGAGCTTATTAGAGATAAATTATCTTACTGCCATTTTTCATTCCCTATTTTTCCCTTTGTTGTTTACTTTGAAGATTCTGAGGTATACTAAGTTGCCTCTAGCATTTTCCAGTACAAATTAACATGATCATGTTGGTTTTTATAGGAAATGGCCTTGTTCAAGGAAGTTAGGTCTCTCCAAATTATTCCATCCTACTTGGTACAGCCATTAAAAGCCAACTGTTCGACTCATCTGGCAATGAGTCAGATGAGTCTCCTGGCCCGGCTTCTGAAAGACCTGGGCACCGGGACCACAGGCTTCACCATTGATAACGTGATGAAGGTAAGCGCACCTCTGGTGCCATGGGCCGCAGTCTCCACACTGGAGATGGGCCTGGAGTGTGGTGAGTGTCTCATCAATGTTTCTTGAATGATTGCAAAAAAAAAAAAAAAAGTCACTGTTTTATCTAACAAAGGAATGTACAAAAGGCTCCCCACCCCTTGGTCTGTCACAAGACAGTACATGATGTGTGGACGTTGGTCCGTGGTGGTGGACAGATTATAAAGAGCACGTACCTGTATGAGAGAACTGCCTATCACAGAGGACATGAAGCATATGGAAGTGTAGGTATTTGTTGTGCTTTGGACAACCTGATGAAACTGCATACATTCTGGAAGAGGAACTGTCTGCCAGAGCAAGAATTCCCTCCTCCCTAATTTGAAATGTGTTGGAAGTGAGCTTCGATCATACAGCCACCATCTTGGCCAGACGTGGAGGACGTGGAGAGGCAGAGCTTTCACAGTGGCCCAATCTGGTACAGCCTGCACACGCCTCCTGTCCCTGTGAGAAGGGCAGGGTCTCCCTTCTCTGTGGATTCCAGTGGTGCATTGACTCGGAGACCTGGACCAGGTCTTGATGTCGTTAAATGTATGATCAGGAAAGGCAGGATCCTATCAGGCCACTTTCATTCATGTGTTTTATCATGGATATATGATTTAGACACTGAAGTGAATAAGCCTTGGCTTCTGGAGGTCTAAGCCCCGCGTCCCCCCCACTCTTAGCCTCATCGTCTGGATCCCTTTCCTGGTTCTTTATCCTCCTGATCCCATTGACTTTGGAGTGTCCAGACCTCCTCTTCTGATTTCTGTGCACACACCTTCCCTCAGTGACCTCGCCCATGCCTCTACACCCACCCATGGAAGACACAGTCTCTGCACATGCCCTCCCTGGATGCCTGACTCTTCCCACAAGCTGTGGATGCCCCACATCTGGATGGAGCGCCTGCCATCCTCTCTGGCATGCTCCTTCTCACCCTTCTCTATTTCTGTAAACAGCAACACTGTTCTTCTGTTTGCTCAGCAAGTGCTGTGAGCTCTTGCTCTAAGTACATCCATATACTGACCCGGCCCCCAAACTCTCATGCCGCCCGGCCCGGCCACCCCCAACTCCCCAGCAGACTTTCCTGCTGACTCGTCCTACAGTCTGTTGGCCACCAGCCCTTGGAGGGCTCCCATCACACAAGTCCGCTCAGGCCTGCAATGCCTCCCAGCGCTCTTCTCTGCATGCAGACTGCCTGCTCTTTCCAAGGCTCGTCTCTTTTGTAAAAACGCCAGAGGCAGCAAGCCGCAGCCCCTATACGCCGCTCGCTGCTTCCAGCACTGGCAGCTCCGTAACCACGTGAACCACCACCCTTCTTGACTCCAAGTTCAGTTTCCTTGCTCCCTAGCACAGAACATGGAGCCTGCCCCACACACTTGGATCCCTGCGACATGGCGCCCTGCTTCCAGATGCCAGCGTCAGCATCAGTCACTAAGTTCAGCTGTAGCAACAAGCATAGACATTTCAGTGGAGTAACATGGTAAATGTTGATTGCTCCATCCCTCATGGTCCTGTGCGGTTCAAGATGAGTGGAGGCTCTGCCCCTTGCTGGCCTTCAGGCCTTCACTGCCTTCCAGGAGGATGCCACCAGCTTTTTCACATGACTTGGGGATCACCAAACAGGGAAAATGAGTGGAGGGTGCTGAGGGGGTCTTTTTGGACAGAGCCGCTCCCACACTCCCTTCCTGGGACCTAAGCACATGGGGCAGGGAAGTGTGGCACAACTGTGCACATGGAAGAAGGCAGCTGGCTTGCTGAGTACTTAGCCATATTCGGGTCCACCTGCATGCTGGGAGGATTAATCCAGACAGAGGGAAGGGAAGAAAGACAGGAATAGAAGTTGGAAGGAGGGGTCAGCTACAGGAGGAGAAAGTCCCTGAGTGGCCCAAGATTGGGCTCTGGTGCATATTCACAGGGCTGGCTGCATGTGGAGCAGGGAAAATGTATCCTCTTGATGGACGGAGTCCACTCAGAGCCAGACTGGATAATGGAAATTTTATAGGCCAGAAGGAAGTATGAATTACCCACCTGATATCTCAGACAGTGAGCTGACCAGAAATGCCTCAGATCAGGACACTGTGCACTCCCCTGGGCCCCCATGAGACTAGTCAGCATGCTTCTCAAGTCTGCAGGCAGAGTCCACTTGCCCCGTGACTGCACAGGAAGAAGGGGTCCCAAAAATGACTTGGTGATGGACCATACTATTCAGGCTGGACACTCAGGGCAGGAAAGACTTGAGGGAGGTGAGACGGGTGAAGACAGTGGTGGGTGCCAGAGTGGACCAAAAGCCCTGATGAGACTGAGGAATTGTCAGGGGAGAGAGTAGGAAAAAGTAAGTGAGAAAAGTAGGAGACGATCATCAGAAGGTGGGACCCCTAAAGCCAGGACTCCTAGAGGTGGTGTCACAATTGGGGGTGCCAGGGTCTGGGGTAAAATGAAGAGCCTGTGGCAGGATGAGGCCTTGGCGAAGTGAGGGTCTCCACGCCCATACCCCCCATGAGGAGATGTCGGTTTACTGAGCGTGGTCACATCACAGAGGGGCAGGGTAAATGTATCACGGTGGGTCCTTGTGATGCAACACTGGAGAGCAGCTGAAATGGATCCTGTGAATAATTGTCCTTGACAGGAATGTTGAGTAGGAAGAAAGGCAATTTGAGAAAGATAAGCACAGTCTACCATTAAGAATGTCAAAAAAAACCCACGTGTGTACAAGGCGCAGACACACTAGTAAATATGCACGTCTGGGTGGGAGCACGCAGGCTGGCTATAGGAGAGCCATGCCTCCGAGGAGCATGGGAAGAGTTTGGGGCCAGGGAGGCTTCCTCGGGGACTTACACTGTCACTAGTGTCTTATGTCTTAGGAACAAAGATCCGAGACAAACATGGCAAAAGTTAAATATCGGTTATTATGGATAGTGGATGCATGAAGTTTATTATATTTCCTCTTCTCTGTGATTGGAATATTTTGTGACATTTAATATGATGTTTATAGAAGGATTTAACCTTAAAAATGCTTGTTGGCACATTAAGTGGAAAGAAGCAAAACACAAAGTTCTATATCCAACACGAGCTCCACTATGTGTGAGCAGATACAGTAAGGAAAGCTCTGTGTTGTAATAGCCAGAATTCTGTGGATGGTGGTCTTTTTTTTTTCTTTTTCAAAATTTTATAATGTGCCTATGTTTCTTTAATGCTGGGAAAAATAAACTGTTATCGTGAGAATCAGTAACCACAAGAACTTTATGTTTAGTTTTCAGTGAGTGCCCTGGAGCACAGAGTGTATGAGGTTCGAGAGACAGCGGTTAGAGTTATTTTGGACATGTATAAACAGCACCGGGCTTTTATTCTAGAGTACCTCCCTCCAGACGACAGCACCACGCGCAAGAATGTTCTCTATAAAACAATTTTTGAGGGATTTGCTAAAATAGATGGCAGACCTACAGATGCTGAAATTAGGGTAAGTTAACTATTATGAAGTTATGATTTAACCTTCTATTGAAGTTATTTGGTCCCTGAATAAACTACAGATTACTTGAAGAGCTTCATGTGCAGGAAACCAGGGAAACGTCCCCCTGAGTTCAGATCCTGGCTCCTCCACCTTCTGCATGAGACTGTCAGTTTCCCCATCTGTACATAGGAACAGTGATAGCCGGGAGGACTTTGTGGTTATTCTGTCAGTAAACATGGATCAGATTAACCCGGTGAAGGTAGATTGACTGCAGTTATATTGTTAGTCTCAGTGACCATTATAATGTATAAGAAATGTAGTTCATATGCTGTAATTCATATGTTCTCCCAATTTCTAAGGCTACCCTAAAAAGCTATTCTAATGGGAAAATCATTTCCATACCAGGCACAGAAGAAAGCAGCTACAGAAGAAGCAGAAAAACGAAAGAAAGACGAAATTAAAGCTTTGCAAGGGCAGTTGGCTGCACTCAAGGACATTCAGGCCGAAGCCCAGGTTGGGAATGCTACGGTTTCCTTCACCCCTGTTCATGGGCATCCTGATTCCTCATTCCCCTAGACAGATGCACAGCATGCTTGCTTTCCTTTCACTACATCATGCAGATGGGTATCTGTAGGCTTTGTTGCTTTCTTAAAACTAGTTTGAGGATACATAAAAGGAATCATCCATTGGCTAGTTTGAATTAGGTGCTGATTCCAGGGAGTGGCATGAGCTGCTGGCCATATTTAGAGAGGTGAGTCCAAGGCTAAAGGGAGGCAGTGGAGGACGATTTCCTCTTCAGAGCTCCTAGGCTCCCTCAGGGCAAAGGAGGAAAATAAACTTGTCCGTGAAGATCTGATTCCCATGCATTAAAGGAGGCAAGTTTCAAGGGAATGTTCTGCTGCAGGAAGCTGCTGGGAGACGCAGTCAGCTAGTGCTTGGGTGAGTGTAAACATACTCCTCCTGCTTTGCCCTCCTGGCATTTCACCAGTTTCAGGACATTGATTTTGTAATGTAGTTCCTTAAATTGAAAGAAAATCTCTTCTAGAGAAAGGGAGAGAGAGTAGAGATTAGCTCTTTTTTTTTTATTATTTACTTATGATAGTCACAGAGAGAGAGAGAGAGGCAGAGACACTGGCAGAGGGAGAAGCAGGCTCCATGCACCGGGAGCCTGACGTGGGATTCGATCCCGGGTCTCCAGGATCGTGCCCTAGGCCAAAGGCAGGCGCCAAACCGCTGCGCCACCCAGGGATCCCGAGATTAGCTCTTTGAGGAGCATAAAGTCTCGGGTGCAGGAAGAGAAGGCTCCAGAGTGTGCTGCATGGCACCATCTCTGTTGTTGACAGGACTGCACTGTGCCTGTAGCGGTCTGCTAGGAGGAGGGTAGACCTTGGAGTGAGGGTTCTTTCCACTGCTCAAAAAGAGAAAATGCAACAGAATGTTTGTTGAAGTGCCTGTGGCCCAGAGTCACAGTGATGATTCAGGAGGTGCGGACACCTGGGAATAACAGCACAGGAGAGGAAGGTACATTGAGAAATCCGGATTCCTGGGGACACAGACGCCATGGAGTCAGGGGTGGTTCCTTTTTTTTTTTTTTTTTTTAAGATCTTATTTATTTATTTGAGAGTGAGAGACAGCATGAGCGAGGAAGAGGGACAGAGAGGGAAAAGCAGCTGCCCCCTCCTTGAGCAGGCAGCCCAGCATGGGGCTCTATCCCAGGACCCCAGGATCATGACCTGAACTGAAGGCAGACACTCAACCAACTGAGCCACCCAGGTGCCCCTCAAGGGTGGTTCTTTAAGACATTCGTGTTTGGTCCAATTCTCACCCGCTAAAGCAGGCCCAGCAGGTGCTCATAATTTTTCCTAATGTTATACAAATGGAAAAACAAAATTTTGTTTATTTATTTGTTTGTTTGTTTATATTTTTAGAGAGGAGGAAAGAGCATGAGCTGGGTGAGGGGCAGAAGGACAGAGAGAGAGAGAGTCCCAAGCAGTCTCCACACTCAACACAGAGCCCAACAGGCTTGATCTCACCACCCTCACATCATGACCTGAGCCAAAATCAGGAGTCAGACATTTAACCCGCTGAGCCACCCAGGCACCCCAAGGAGAAACAAAGTTTTAGAACTGAAGTGATTTACTCCAAGCACAGACCTATCAGTGGTGAAGCCAAGACAACCAGGCTGGTGCTGCTAACCCCTTGTCTCCTCCGGAGCTGCCCTGAGCCTTGCCCCAGTGCCCAGCCTCAGAATCTGTGGGCACCACCAAGGCCATGCACCCCCCCCCACCCCGCCATAGATATCTGGGAAAGTATGCTGGGTACCTCGTCCTTCAGCCTTCCCAGAGCACCTTCACCAGCTCATCTCCATTCATTGCATGTTGCTGAGCACCTGCTCTGTGCCAGGCATGGCGCTGGGCTCTGGAAATAAGCAGGAAACAAAACCAAGTCCTGCCCGTCCAGGCCACTGCCCCGAGAGGAAGAGACAGTGAAAGAAAAAGCAACACAGGGTAGACCTCGAGGCAGGGACTGGACATCAGCCTGCTGTCTTAGAGTGGTTGTTGAGGACAATGGAATCTTTTTCTGTGTTTTTATTGTGGTGAAATACTTACAGCATATTTACCATTTTAACCACATTTAAGTGTACAGTTCTGTGCCATTATGTACCTTTGTATGGTTAGCAATATCACCAGCATCCATCTCCAAGACTTCTGTGAATGACAGAATATTTTTAGATTGCCTGAATTTTAGAAAAAGATTTAAAATTACTGATTGGTTTCCTAAGCTATCAAAGCATTGATAAGGTAAAACTTGAAGCTAAAATTCAGCTTTCGACATTTACATTGTCTCCCTGCAAAATACACAAACTCGTCTCTCTTAATAAGAAATGTTGATGCCTGGGGCACCTGGGTGGCTCAGTTGTTGAGCATCTGCCTTTGGCTCAGGTCATGATCCCAAGGTTCCAGGATCAAGTCCTGCAAGGAACTCCCCACAGGGAGCCTGCTTCTCCCTCTGCCTGTGTCTCTGCCTCTCTCCACGTCTCCCATGAGTAAATACATAAAATCTTAAAAAAAAAAAAAAAAAGGAAAGAAAGAAAGAAAGAAAGAAAGAAAGAAAGAAAGAAAGAAAGAAAGATTAAAGCCTAAAATCCAGTCACATGAAGTTTGCTTTCTGTGTAGGCATATAAATCGTGTGATCCGTGTGCCAGCTTCATGTTGGTCTATCCCTTTCCAGCTCTAAGATTGTATTCTTTTGTGTGTGCCTCCTGCTCCGTGGTTGGTTGTGACATAGGTCACATACTATGACATAAAGCTTAATTCTCTACAAATGCAGCAGACAGTACTTTTTTGTAACATGTCACTTAAGTGCTGGGTGTAGGGCCACCTGTTGTCCCTGGTCTCTAACACCCAAAGTCCAAGAAACCCTCAACCCAAGTGAGGCTGGTTGGTCACCAGAGTGCTGTGAGGCATTCACCACAGGGTCAGGCTTTGTAGGAAGGAAAGCAGTGTTCAGAGAGCTGGGAGGAAATGTGCTAAAGGGGCTCCCAGAGTTTGGGGGTTGGGGGCTCTGGGGGCAGCCCAGGAGCTGCAGCAGGAAGGCCTGTGGCCCCACTCAGCTGGCCACCAGCAGTGACACCAGGTGTTCATAAGAAACCCTCTCCCCTCCTTAGCTCCCAGACACAGGAGGGGAGCCTGACTAGAAAAGCAAGGCCCAGTCCATTAGACTAGGGGGTACCCAGTGTCTCCCTCAGCACAAGAATGCTGTCATGCCAGGTTATCTGTTTGAGTCCACAGGCGTAATGGGGACAGTGTGTGCCAGGGACAGTGTGTACTGGAGAACAGAACAGACAAAATTCTCCATCCTCGGGGACCCGTGCCTCCCCTAGCAGCATCCGTCAGTGATCAAGATATACAAGGGAATGCATGAGAGTGTGGCAGGTGGTGGGCTGAGGAGGGGCTCGAGGGGCATGGCTGCTGGCAGACACCGAGTTTGGTGGGGGCCTCTGGGGCAGCTTGTCTTGGGAAAAGTTGGGTGACAAGAGGGGAGAGTCAAAGCTCAAGCACCAGGGCCCTGGCAGGGTGGCCGGAGCCAGGAGACTGGAGCACAAGGCAATGCAGAGATGAGATAAGCACCAGGAGACTTGGGAAGCCGGCTGAGAGTTTCAAGCAGAAGTAAATGAACCTGCGAGACATTCACGGGTACACCAGCCAGTGCTTAGGAGTGCCCCCAGAAACAGGGCCCCTGACCTGGCAAGAGAGGCGCAGAGGGTGCTCCAAGGGCAGCTGAGGATTGGCTGGCGGGCCGATGGAGCCTGAGTGGGCAGAAGGGTAGAAGGCTGCAATCTGTCCCGGTGTGCACCTGTCACTCTGGAGCCTCATCTCAGCAGGGTGGCCTGGGGCAGCAGCTCAGCCTGGTCAGGAGAAGCTGGGTCCTGGGACCTCCAAGGAGAGAAGGTATGCCCAGCATAAGGAGCCAGGAGTGGGGAGGCGGCTGAGGAGGTGGAGCTCAGGAGCACCCTAGGCCTCCATGGAGAAGTGTGCTGGTCATGTGCTGCCCAGAGCCTACGGGAGGGAGGGCGCACGGGGGGCGCACCGTTGGGTGTTAACGGCTCACAAGTAACGGTGCTATGTTACTTTGATAGTCTGAATACAGAAAAGCTTACTTTCAGTGTCAAAATATATCCTGGACAGGCTCTCACCATGCAGCCACCTGTTCCTGATCTTTCTGTTTTTGTGTCTTAGGGAAAAGAAGGCCCCTCAATGGAGGTGGAGAGTCAGGGTAGGTGCTGCGTGTGGGGCTCCCCGCAGGGGCCACCTCATTGGCTGAACAAATACCCGGGGAATGTAAAACTAATACAACCCTTGTCGACTACTATGCTTTTTAATGATTGATTGATTAATTTGAGGGAGAGGGAGGAGGAGGGAGGGAGGGAGGGAGGGAGGGAGCAGGAGTGTGAGCAGAGGGAGGGGGTGCAGAGGGAGAAGCAGACCCCCTTGAGCAGGGAGCCTGACATGGGGCTTGATCCCACGACCCTGAGATCATGACCTGAGCTGAGATCAGAGTTGGAGGCTCAAGTGACTGAGCCCTCCAGGCACCCCTCAGTTTGTGTGTTTTTCAATATATTTCATAGCAAACTGGTTACTAAAAATTTGAAAATAATTTCTACGAAAAGCTATTTTTAAATGCTTTCTCTTCATTTCAGACACACAAGGAGGGAAAGCAGCCGCACCTCCGGCTCCAGAAATCCCAGATAATCACTATTTAGATAAGTAAGTAGAGGTGTCTTTACCCTGGTCTGTGAGGGTTGGAGGGACTAGCTGCATGAACATGCCATGAAGCAAGTATTTTCTGGAGCGCGGTGGGCTTCTGTAAACTGATAGCTCTCAATCATTTGTAAACATTAGGACATGCCCCACCCCCACCCCCCCACACCACACACACTGGACTGATAGGTGCTCACTCTGGTGGAGTCAGGAGGCCTCCCCACTTGACCCTGAGAGAAGGCAACAGCCCATTTGTCAGAAGTGCTGCTAAAGGCACAAAATACTATGACAACACAATACTTTTTCCCATTCGGTCACTGCAGCAAACCTACAGGAATTTCAGTAAAATGTCTTTCTTCTCCTGACTTAACTCGAGTCTGCGCTTGATTATGCTGACTGCTTAGAATCTGAATGACCTGGAGATAATTTGTCACAAACACCTGCTCTTCCTACTGAGCTACTAGTGGGCTGTGCCCCCAGGACCTTCCAGTGAGGCCCGCCTGAGGACAGGGAAGGCAGGCCTGTCTCCAGGTGACACCCAGGCCTTCCTCTCACTTCTGTTTTGTTTCAGTTTGTGTATTTTCTGTGGGGAAAGGAGTGAGTCATTCACGGAGGAGGGCCTGGACCTGCATTACTGGAAGCATTGTCTTATGCTGACGAGGTGCACCCACTGCAAGCAGGTCAGTCCCCTGTGCTCGGGTCTGAGTCACAGAGGTGGCTCCAGCTATAGAGTTTGGAGAGGAAAAGCTGTGGGAAAAATAGCTGCCTGCATAGCTACCCATTTTGTTTGGGGTTGATTTGTTTTCTTTGACGTATGTAGCAGACAACACAGCTTGGAGACACTGTGGGCTCTGCTCCAGCCCCCACAGGAAAACCTGCAATAAAGTGAGTCAAATGATTTTTAGGGCTTCCGGGGACAGACACAAGTTATGTTTACACCATACTATGGTCTGTTAAGTGCGTGATAGCATTGTCTCTGAAAAACAATGTACATACTTTACAATACTTTATTGCTAAAAAATGCTAGCCACCGTCTGAGCTTTCAGCAAGCCATATTCACTGATCATAGGTCACCATAACTGATGTGATAATAATGCAAAAGTTTTAAATACTGTGTGAATTACTGAAATGTGACACAGAGACACAAAGTGAGCAAATGCTGTTGGAAAAAATGGTGCCAACAGGCTCACTCGATGCAGAGTTGCCACAAACCCTCAATTTATAAACAACGCAGCATCTGTGAAGCTTGACAAAATGAGGTGCCCATTTTTAAGTCATGTGTGTTAGCACCCACTGAAGCACCACAGATGGCATGCCTGTGTTACCACTCCCAGGCCCTCTCCCCCCAGGGTCACTACTGCCCTGACCTTTGTGTCCTGTTAGTTTTTCTGCTCCATAGCACTCATGGTTTGAATAGTCCACAGTTTATCCCTCCATCCTGCTGTTTTTGGAAATTGTGTGGTGTCCAGTTCAAGGCTACCATGAATACTGTTACTACAGCATTCTGGTATCTGTGTCCTGGCACACCTGTGGATGCACCCACCCCAAGGGGTGGAGTGACCGGGCGTGCGGCATTGGGCTGCAGGGCTGACACAGGCGGTACTCTAGAGGGGCCACATGTCCACACTGCAGCCCTGGCATGGGGGACTGCTCCACATCCTCACCAGCTCCCTGCTTCTGCCGATGGTGAGGTGCAGCACCTGTCTGGTGTCCATCGGCCCTTCAAGTGCCCTCTTTTCTAAGATACCCCTAGTCTCTTGTTCATGAATACACTGAACTGCCAGTTGCTCTGCTAATCTGTGCCCATCCTTGATGCATCTGGACCAGAACCCTTAGCCAGCTCTGGGTGCCACAGCTACACTCTCCCACTCGGGGTCCTGCATGTACATCATCCTGATGCGTCTTTTAAGTTTACTGTTGTCCACCTTGTCTGTCCGTCTCTTGGTTGACACTTTGTGTATCTTGGTGAAGAAATCTCCTACCCCCCAAGTTTGAATCTCTTCTGAGGTGCAGTAGGCCTTCCTCTTGATAAGGAGAGGGACTTCCTGCCTCTACCTTGGGGCTCTTGCAAGTGCTCAAGTGGGCAGACCCTCCCCACCCTCTGCCTGGCAGTGTGGACTCTGGACCCTAGTGGAGATGGTTGGCTTCTCCACAGGGTACGTGAGTCCATGGCTTGACGATTTATCGGGCATTAAGTCACTCCTGCCCAACATACCAGGGAGGCAAGAGACTCTCCTGACACTCTTTGTGATCCTGTTTCTGTGCACACTCTTACAAGTGTTGGGGAGCTGGGATTCGAACCCAGAGGCCACACGGCTAAGCTGTTCTTAGCTCACTACCAGTGTTGCCCTGGAATTAACCATCGCTCCTCCAACTTCACCCTTAGTAATGGCCTTGATGTGCCACCACAGTCACATGAGGAGGCCACAGGGTCTTTAGCAAAATACTGTGAATGACTGCAGGAGCCATGTGGGCTAGCAGGGTAAGGACTGAGCGAAGGACCCAGCCCCAGCCCCAGCCCCGAAGTATGCTCGGGTCACGCAGGCCAGCGGGGGCAGCACACTCCCCAGTGTTCTTGGCAACATGCCGTGTTCTGCATTTTGGCATTCAGGTTGTGGAGATCTCCAGCCTGACGGAGCACCTGCTGACAGAATGCGACAAGAAAGATGGGTTTGGGAAGTGCTACCGCTGCAGTGAGGCCATTCTGAAGGAAGAGCTGCCCAGACACATAAAAACAAAGGAGTGTAATCGTGAGTGCTTGCTCAGGCCCCTGCCTGGACCCCTCCGTGCCCTCTGTGTCTGTAGTGTCCTGCCAGCGGGGAGGGACACGCTGTGGAGGGGGTGTCCAGGTCTCATAGGAAGAACTAAATCTTGTTTTATTGACACCATTTCAGCTGCCAAACCAGAGAAGCTGGCAAACCGATGCCCTCTGTGCCATGAGAACTTCTCACCTGGAGAAGAGGTAAGGGTCTACCTCAGGCAGTGACCCCACACGGAGTTAGCCACCCCTGGCAGGTGATGATGACCGGGCTGTCAGGGCTGGACCACGGGCAGGGGGCAGTGAGTGTTCTGGGAGCAGCCTGATCCGTTTCAGCTCTGCCCAAATACTTACTCTGTTTACCTACCTGCTCATGTGATCTTTTCCTTCCGTAGCACTGTGGATCCTCTGGGAGGGCTCAGCTCTGAGGGGTGAGCTCTGGCCTCTGTCCAGTCACTGGGCTCCCCTGTGTCCTGGGGCCCCAAATGGCGTCTAGTTCAGACTGCAGCATGCCCATCCTTCTCATTACTGAAACCGAGCTCAGTGCAGTTTGGAAATTCCACCTCATGGGTGATGCAGGTTCTCCCCTCTGCTACCCCGCCCACCCACTCTGCCTCCGGCTTAGGCCTTCCATTCCCCAACCTCCGTCCTGTACCCCGCTCCTCTGACCAAAGGCAGTCTGAGGCTCGTGAGGGTTGTTCAGCTCACATGACCATGGCGATGCCCTCTGTGTGCCAGGCAGTACAGCTTTGGAGACCTGCCTCTGGCTCAGTCGCTTTTGCTCCAGCCTCCTTACCCACTGCTACCTGCCGTCCTCCACTGCGTCCCAACCCCATGGGATGTGGTGCCTGCATGACGGCTCAGATCCAGCTGCACCCTGGAGCTCTTGGCCACAGAAAACTCACATCAGACAGCCCTGCTCGGCCACTCTCAGAAAATGTCAAATATATAACAAAGTACTCAGCAGAGCAAAGGAACCTGCAGGCAGCCTTCACGTCCTGTCACCCGCAGAAATGACTGTGGGCTGGTGTTCCCTCTGTACCCAACCTGTGTGCCCCCTTCTCGTGCTCCCCAGAGGCCCAGCCGGACAGCACATCCCTTGCCCTGTGAGTGCTCCGCCACATTGCTCCACAAACCATGACCGTTGGCTGCTCCCCTCGGGCTCGTGCTGCTGGTCACAGCACAGTGGCAGAAGCACTAGTGTACAGGCTCTAGGTGGGGCTGCACACGAGACCACTCGATATGTTTTTAAGTAGCTTCCTTCTCGAGCTCTTTCCTTACAGTTTGATGAGAAGCCTTTCGCCTAGTAGGGTTTCCTGTGGGCTGGATCTACTCCCGCCTCCCCTCAGCTGGCATGAGTTCTCCTGCCCTGTTCCCGGGGAGTGGAGGCAAGGCCAGGTCAGATCCATCTTTGATTTTTAAAACTATGTGTTTCCTGTGGTTACTTCTTAGATAGTGGTGCATTCTTCTAGGACAAATAGGGAATTTTTACAATGAAGTCCTATGATGACATAAAATACTTGGCTGGTCCCAAAGTCTATGGAATGGGACGTATTCAGGAAAGACCAGAGAGAGAATGGCTGCTGTCCCTGCCCCTGCTCACCACCCCTCTGTCCTCACAGGGCTCGTTTCCTCTTCAACAGCTTATCCGTTTTAAGAGATACATACGTAGTTCTCACACTGTTCTCTCTCCCCGTTTATCTGTAGAATATAGGAGCCTCTGTGTCCCTATTGCTACCATGACACTCATGCTGTCCTGTGATACCCAGTCCCCTCCTCTGGCTGCTGTGTGTCACTGCCTGCTCTGAGCCAAGCAACCCTCAGCCCCTCTTCCCGCGTGCCCTCATGCTCCCAGCTGGGGAGCCGCAGCCCAGCTCACAGCTCACAGCTACAAGGCAGTCAGCAGGCCTCTCGTCCTCATCTGTTTTCTCAGAGTACAGTCATCTGTGCCGTGTCGCAAATCACCACATGCTTGGCAGCTTAAACACCCTTTTATTATCTCGCAGTTTCTGTGGGTCAGGAGTTGTGGGCACAGGTGAAGGCCCCTCTGCGCAGGGTATCCCCAGGCCACCTTCCCATTTGTGGGCTATGCGGGGGAGGGATCTTTCAAGCTCACCCAGCTGCTGGCAGAATTTTTTTCTTTGTCACTATAGGACTGACCCCTGCTTTCTTACTGGCCGTCCACCCAGAGCCACTGTCTACTCCTAGGGGTCAAACACACTAACATAACAAGGCTCAGGAGCCATGGCTGCCCCTGGTTTCAGCTCCAGTGGGAGCTCTGTCGGTTGCCTGGTTGCCTGGTTGCCATACTGTGTGCCTCCTCCTCTGTTTCAGGCGTGGAAAGTTCATCTTATGGGCCCAGCTGGCTGCACGATGAACCTGCGTAAGACCCACGTGCTGCACAAGGTGCCCGCTCCACTGCCAGGTAAGGCCGTGCCTTCCTGCACATCTGTGCCATCGCAGAGGGGTCCCCGCCCCTCTGCAGTGGCTTGGAGACATGTCCCTCCAGTCTGTGTCCTGTCTCTGGGTCTTAACGAGCAGTCTAATTGCGTGACCAGCAACTCTTTTTGTCAGCACCACACTCTTGCCAGAGGTTCTTTCATTATGATCCTGCCCTTTCCCAAGGCTCTACAAGGCATCATCGAGGCAGCAAACCCAGCTCCCTGGGTGTTCTTAGGGTGCAACCCTGGTCTTCGGTGTCTTTCTGTGTCACCAACACAGAGCACTTAGAAACACAAAGTTAAATAGGAGACTCACAGGTAATGCTGCTGCCTGTTTTTTTTTTTATAAAGATACTTATTTATTTCTTTTTAAGTTTTATTTTCTTTAATTTTTATTTATTTATGATAGTCACACACAGAGAGAGAGAGAGAGAGAGAGAGAGAGAGAGAGAGAGGCAGAGACATAGGCAGAGGGAGAAACAGGCTCCATGCACCTCCGGGAGCCCGACGTGGGATTCGATCCTGGGTCTCCAGGATCGTGCCCTGGGCCAAAGGCAGGTGCCAAATTGCTGCACCACCCAGGGATCCCTGCCTGTTTTATAAATTATAATTTTAGTTATTTTATGTTAGATTTAGAATATCTTACAAGAATGTTTATTTTTCATTAGAAAATCATTCCTGACCAAAAACCTGTTGAGTGCACAGCTTGACTTTAGGGACGTATAATAAGTAGGAAAATAACCAAGATGAGTGCCGGGATGCGGGTTCTGGGCGCCCCCCTCGCAGCAGCCTCCTCCACAGACGAGCAATCACGGGCACTCAGAGGCCCTGAGGTGACTCAGCCAGGATGTGAAGCTCTGGTCCCACGGCTGCTCCTTCATTTCTGGAACTGAATTTCTGATGCCAGCAATTGGCAAGCAGCTCCATTCTTTCCCCTCCACCCCTGATGTTGGGTCCCTCCCTCCCGTCCTGTCAGCTCACATGGCACCTCCTCTGTAGCCAGCACTGCCTGTCCTCACTGCCTACTCAGCCTGGCCACCTGAGGACTGAGTGGCCACTGCGCCATCAGTGTGGCCTTATGCTCTGTCCGTAACTTACTCTCCCTCCTAACTCAGTGCCTATGTTTTGTGTGTTTAGCAGGTAGAGGCACAGCCGTGACCAAAACAGGGACCTCAGGATCAAAGGTCGGAAGCAAGATCCCGACCCCAAAGGGACTGAACAAAAGCTCTGGCAGGACGTACACAAAGCGGTGACATGACACACGTTCTGTCTCCCTTAATCCCACAAGGAACTGAGCACGTTTCCTGACTGTGAATCATTTCTCCTAAAATCCGTCCTTGGACACGGTGACCCTGTCTACCGCCCCCACTGTCCCTTGGCCCCCTTTGTCCTTACCTGCCACGCCCTGGGAGCTGACCAAAGAGCCTGCGTCCTGGGGTTAGGACCAGACCCACTGCAGTTACACGCAGCCAGGCCTCTGCCCTCCTAGCCAGTGTGAACAGAAGAGCCAGCAGTCGCTGTGTTTGAGGGGGACTGACACTGTCGCCCGGGCAGGTCAGCAGCTGAGGGCATAGTGCGAGCACAGTGCCCTCTTCTCAAGCACTTGTGGTGATTCCCACAAAGGCTTGCTGTGACCTTTGCATGTCCGGCTCCCACGTGTGGCAGAGTCCCCGCCGGGCCTCAGCTCCCCGGGCAGTGGTGACCAGCAGAAGAGAGACTGCACACACGAGCCTCACCAGGGGCCTTCTCTGCCCAGCACACCTCCTCGCCCATCTCTGCGGAGCCCATGCCCCCCCCCCCACTGTCACAGGCCGCTGAGCATGGGTCCCCTGCGGCACTTTCCCAGCTGGAGGCCCATGAGGAGTGCTGGGCCCGGCAGCCCCCTCTTGCAGCAGCCCCCCAGTGGAGTGGAGGTCGACGCTGCTGTCAGTCAAGTCAGAGCTGTCCTCAGGGTGCTCACATCCCTCCCATGTGTGCCATCCCCAACAGAATTATGAAGTGACTGTCAGTCACCTGATTGTCCTGGGCTCGGGTCGGTCGGAACAACCCTTTCTTAAACCCTTGAGGCAAACATGGCATTATACCTGACTCTGGCGTGGGGTAGCTTCTACATTCTGTAACGTCCCCAAGTGAGCATCCAGCACAGACCAGCAGGCTCCAAGCAGCTGCCCTGGGCCTACCGTGCTCCCCCTCACATGTCCACACCTGGATTGCGACTGTATGTTCACTCTCAGACACGTCCTGTGACACTTAAAACACTTAAAACAGCCAACATCGCTCAAAATGAAGAAGCCAGACCTGGAAATCCAGCCCCCTGACCAGCTCCTGACCAGCCATCGTGTCTGGGAAGTGGTTCCACATGTTTCATATGCAGGTGGTTGTGGGGAAGAGCCAGTGTGTCTGTGAGCTCTGCTAGGAAGGCCCCAGCGTCTCCTCTGGGACCCGCTGCAGCAGCCAGCCCTTCCTGTCCCCCCACACGGCCCAGGCATGCTTCCCCTGTCCTGAGTGCCAGGCAGGCTTTCCGAACACCAGTGAGAAGTGGTAGAGTGAGTCAGATGTGTACTACATAGTGTGTAAGTATTTTTCATTCCCAACCATGTGAAACAACAAAATGGATATTAGAAAACTAACAGCTAAGTTTGAGCAGCGTGCTCCCTGGGTAGAATGTGCACCACTCACTCCATCCTGAATAAACTAATACTTTCTCCTATGCAGCAAGAATAGGACTAAGAGAATCACCTTTAGATAAAATAACTCAAAACAATAATAAAATAATAAAATAACTCAATTAAAAAAGTATATCAGGAGAAATAAACTTTGAGCGGACACGGCTGAGTGCAGATGCCACTGGGATTACAGCACGAGCCTTCCTGGCTCCGTCCTCACCGCACAGACCAGCCACTTCTGTAACTAGAGTAACAGTGACACGAGTTAGGGAAGGAATCCTCCCTTCCCCTCCAATAAAAACCTTTAAATATATATTTTCTATATATTATAAATTTAAAAAAGATATTTGTAAAAATATTTAATTTTAGAGATGACAAAATTGAGGTATTTAAAACCAGTTAGCATTGCTGGTTACAGAAGAATTGTGCATTTATGTTGAGATGATCTCTGGCAGTGATTAGTGGCTACTTAAAGCTTTACAGCATAGTTATATACTATTAAGGAACCACAAATAAAAGATAAAAAATTTGGAAGGAACTGTAAGACCCCTTGGCCATTTATAAATAAATATGTAAATTTGGAACAGGAATTAATAATTGACTTTTCATTCATGAATATGTTGTGGATATTTAACTATTTATTTCTATTATTTTCATATTTCAGAATATTTTATCAAGCTAATTTAAAAGAAATATGTCTATAAATTTGGCATCAGAATACACATGTAAATACTTTTAATGAAAATTTGCAACTTTTTAATATTTTAACATAGTTTTATATTTGCCTTTATTTCAGGTACCAGAATGATAATATCTAACTAATATATTTTTGTTGTTATTTCAGGGCCTAGGGGTCAGTTCACCCTGAGCATATTGACACAATAAAAAGATCACTAAATGTTTTGTCACTTTTATTTCAAGATTACAATTAAAAGGCAAATTGCATATGGCTGGGGGCGGGGGTGTGTGGAGAGGGCAGCTGGCGATCTGCTGCAAGGATGAGGACAGACTGCAGAGCCTGGCCTTCCTCCTGAGCGAGCCGAAGGACTGTAAGCTGCGTTAACCGGAGGAAATCATCACCAGCTCTACCCTGGGGAACAGAGTCAGACTGTCCTCACCTGGTGTCACGGGCCCACTGGACTCGGCAGTGTCCTCCGTGGTCCCCTTGGCCGCAGAACCTTTTACCCTCCAACAAGGCCATTTGGCTTTCAAATAAGTAAAAAGGCAGTATTTTCTCTGTTGATTTGTGGGGTGATTTTAAGCTTTGATTAGTCTGGGGAATTGCAAACTCACTTCCATGTTGAAGTTACAATGCACAGGTTTTTTTCCCCCCCCCCCTTCCACAAATATATATTAACCTTAATGGCTTTACAGTTTCTTTTATTTATTTATTTATTTATTTATTTATTTATTTATTATTTATTTATTTATTTACGATAGTCATACAGAGAGAGAGAGAGAGAGGCAGAGACACAGGCAGAGGGAGAAGCAGGCTCCATGCACAGGGAGCCTGACGTGGGATTCGATCCCGGGACTCCAGGATCACGCCCTGGGCCAAAGGCAGGCGCCAAACCGCTGCGCCACCCAGGGATCCCTGGCTTTACAGTTTCAACAGGAAAATGACTTCTATTGTTTTTGTTTGGTGAACAGGGTGTGTGTGTGCACCGCAGAGCCTGGGACCAAAGGGCGCATGTTCCAAGGGCATGCGCTCCACTCACCCCTGCAGAGGTGCGAGAGGAGGAGACAGCCCTTCTGTGTGCTGCTGGAATGAGATGTTCCTCTGTGCCATTGCCTGTTTGCTCTTAGAAACCGGGTCCATTCTGCAGAGAAGCTGAGCGCTGTCCTGGTGTGTGCCCAGAGCCTTCCTGGCTCTCACCACCCCTGGCCAGCCTCTGCCTACCCTCCCCATCAAGGAAGTCCTGGGCTGCCAGCTGAACACCCTGGATCTGGAACGAAGGCTGCAGGAGAGACTGATCTGTGATTAGGGTGGTGACCCTCCGAGCTGCTCCTTGTGGGGCAGAGGCAGGGAAATCCCCTGGGGATCATCTGGACTCCTCATGGAATCCTCACAAGGACCATGGGATGGGGATGGGGCAGAGGGGCAGTTGAAGTCCTCCTCAATGGCAGATAGGGATACTGGCTCCCTAGAAGGCAGTGGGCCCAGGTGAGAACACTGAATCCTCACAGACCTGGTTTCCCCTCTATGGAGTGAAGCCAAGGAGAAGGTGCTGATGAGGCCCAGCCTGGCCTGTGGGTCTGCAATTTCGGGGAGGGAGCCCGCCCCTAAGCTGCGGGCCACCCCCAGCCCTTTATCCCTCACTAAGTTGTGCCTGCAAGGGGTAGGGGAGCAAGGAGACAGGCATGAACCAGAAGGCCTCAAGACTCCACCAAGCTTCTCAGGCCCCAGGCCCCCCAACCTGAGCCCACTAGTGAGGGTATCACGGGAGGGGCTGGGAGAGTCAGGGGGGTTAAGTCAGATGCCCCATTGGGTAGATTCCCCTGTGCACAAGAGGTCATCAAGCAAAACGCTCTTTTGTAACCCTGGGCCTGCAGCTTGAGGACTCCCTGGGAGAGGCATCTCTGGCACCTCTGTGTCCTGGGACTGTCCAGGAGAGGGAGGGTGTAGTGTCCTGCCTGAAGTGGGGGGGAGGTGTTGCAGGGATCCCCATGGGGTATGGAACAACTCGGGAGTGCTGTCTACCAGATCCCAGGATCCCAGCCTGGGGTGGGAGAGGCAGGAGGCCAAGCCTGCAGGTGTCCAGGCTCTAAGCTTCACCCGGTGGCCAGGCCAGGAGCAGGGCCAGGAACAGAAAGCAATCACTACTTAGGTTCTTACAGTTCAAAGGTTTAACCTACCCAGACCTATTTTGTATTTTCTGCTTCTGAATGAGATGGAGATTTATGAAATGAGACACAAACACAACAGCTAAACAATCGATCATCTGACTCTCTAACAACCTGAGTCTGTGTCAAAAGGCGTGTCAGGACACCTCACAGAAACAGAAAACCAGAAGGACACATTTACAACAGGCCACCCACAGAGAGTTGGCACCGGAAGACCCAGAGAGTTCCTGTATATCGCCAGAAAAGCACTGCGCTGGCCTCCAGCCTCGCTTTGAGTGTCAGGGACCTGCTGTTGCTGGGACAGGTTGTGCACCCTCCCTCATGATCCTGCAGATCACACATCCCCCGTGGTCCCTCGGGTCTACAATCGGGGCTCAGCTGGATGCGTTCCTCCATGGGGGCTCCAGGGAGGATCCACTCCTCACCACCCCGCTTCCAGAGGCACCTGCTTACTCCAGCACAGGGCCCCTCTGATGCGCCGGGGCTGCTCAGCCACCAGCCCCCTGGCTCCCCATCTCGGCCTTGCTCTTATACTTGTAAGGACCCTGTGGCCACCTTGGGCCCTCTCCCCATCTTCAGGTCACCCATCATCACCCATCTTTCCTCTAGGCCATAAAACCTAACACTTGCACAGGTTCTGGGTATTAGAGCCTGGACTTCTCTGGGGGTCTTAATTGTGCCCACCGTTCGGATAAGGACACCATATGCCTAACATCTGCATCACTTTTCACCTGAAAGGTATGTGGAAAACATTTAACAAAGATTAGGAATGGCAATATCAGGAAAAAAAAAAAAAAGAGCAATACTGGGACGCCTAGGTGGCTTAGTTGGTAAAGCGTCTGCCTTCGGCTCAGGTCATGACCCCAGGGTCCTGGGAGAGTCCAAAATGGGTGAGGGAGGTTTCTTGCTCAGTGGGGAGCCTACTTCTCCCTTTACCTCTGCTGCTCCCCGGACTCGTTCTCTCTCTCTCTCTCTCTCGCTCACTGACAGATAAATAAACCTTTTAAAAAACAAAGCAATACTGGCATTTCAATATTTATTTCACATTAAAAACAGTAGTTTCACTAAAAATAGTTTACAATTCATATGATAAAAATACCAAAGTTAATATCCAATGCATTTAAAATAACATGTAAACAAATTATAAAACATTAAATGAACTGTAAACTCCTAAAAGATTGAGTATAATTTATCATTGAATAAACACAGACATTCATAAAAAAATATTAAAAATACACTGAACATGCAAGTGGAAAATGTAATTAGTAATACACATTTTTATTTTTTTAATATTTTGTTTATCTGTAGAGACACACAGAGAGAGAGAGGCAGAGGGAGAAGCAGGCTCCATACAGGAAGCTTGACGTGGGACTCGATCCCGGGTCTCCAGGATCACACCCCAGGCTGCAGGCGGCGCTAAACCGCTGCACCACCGGGGCTGCCCCAGTAATACACATTTTTAAAAGAAACTATTTTCTTTTTAGTATATATGCTGCTGAAGTTAGGACTACTTTCTCTTTTTTATTTTTTTTTAAGAGAGAGAGCAGGGGAGGGGCAAAGGGAGAGGAGAGGGGATCTCACATAGACTCCATGCCCCATGCAGAGGACTCGGAGTTCAAACCTACCACCAAGATCATGACCAAGAGTCAGACACTCAGCTGACGGACTACATCACCCAGGCGCCCCTGGATGATTTTCTATTTTTTAAAGCACCATCGTAGACACAGTATCTCAGGGAGTCACCTCTGGGTCATGGTGCCTTTTGTGATAATTATATTAGGTCCAAAAATGCTCCTTCTCATTCCACGCTAGTGGGGAGCTGATAACTCAGAGGAGACACGAGTACCCTGGGCTTGCGTGTGGAACACCATTCTCTAATGACAGTGAGAAGTGGTCTTGCCCCACAGGAAGTACCTCCAGAGTGTTCCAGCAGGAAGTACCTCCAGAGTGTCCCAGGAGCCCTCAGAGATGCCATTGCTGAGTTATTACCTCACTTTCAAAATCATCCTGTCCATCAAAAGTCTGGCTGAGAGTAAGGATTAATCTTGCAACAGAAGCTGTGCTTTCTTGCTTAGCGCTTTCTTCTCTTGAGGATTAGGCATGTACACAAGCACACTTTCTGAACTAGTGCAGGTCACCTTGTTAGATTAGCAATGCTAATTCAGTGCATAGTTTGAATTTTCAGGATTTTAAAACTAACTAAACAGCAGTAAAACCACTGAAATGATCCAGGCTCCTTCTGCAGCTCTCACTGATTTGGCATTGTCTTTCCTCATGGTCGCAAGATGGCTGCTGCAGCACCAAGCATTACATCCTACACTCCAGTGTGCTATGCCAAAACAAAGGTAGATAGGAGATAAAGGGCTTTCTCCTCCCATGCCTCTCTTTCCTCAGGGAAAATTTCCCAGAAGCCCCCAGCAGACATCCACTTCTATCTGATGGACCAGGTTGAAGTCACAGCCTATCCTTAGAAACACTGTTGGCAAAAAGGGTTTCCAGGGCCAACTCTGACCCTTCCCTTGGGGCAGGTCAGACACACCCAAAAAAAGCCTTCTGGGAGCAGCCCCTGCAGAGCTCAGCCAGGATGGGAAGTGCTGAGGATGCCAGAAAGTGGAGATGCTCCAGTTGACGAGGCAGCTTGAGAGGATTCAAGTCTGACTTCCTTCCAGCCCTAAGCCTGTGACTCTAAAGAATTTTCCCTCAAAGCCGATGGAAGCTTCTAGAACAGATTCACGCTTAGTTGCCTCCTCCTTGTTCTCGCCATGTGAGTGGGAGGCAGGACACACCCCACTGAGTGCAAGCTGGGTGGCAGTCTTCCTTGACCCAGGTACATGAGGGGATGTGACCCACCTAGGCCACATGATGGACATCAAGGTTGTCTCCAGTGTTGGCTACTATAAAACTACTAATACTCTCACAGCCCATCAAGACGGAAGAGATGTTGGACTCGTCCCCAAAAATCTATATGAGAAAAGCAGCAAGAGGACACAGATCCCACATATGTGTATAGGACCCTCCGAGAAATCTCTGCGGATGCTGAAGGCTGTTCGGCATTCAGGTGTGTGGCTCCAGCAGGTCACCGAGGGCAGCTGCAGCCAGCTCAGAAAGGACAGCAGGAGGAAGGCCCCTGCAGTGCCCTGGGGGCATAGGTGTCACCAGCCCCTCGCAGGGGGAGTGATCACCATGGCAACCTAGAGGCCAATCCATTGGGGTGGTGCTGGTGGGGGGGGGGGCTGTCCCTGAGGCCCAAGGACCCTGCTGGAAAGACGGGGCAGATTCCCAATCTACTCCTAACAGCAGACAGTCACGATCCACAGCTGCCTCCCCGACCTGGGTGAACCCACAGGCCCGAGTGGAAGGAAAGCAGCCAGCCACTGAGGAGCCTCCTCTACTATGAGCAGAACCCACCAGAACCAATCTGTGAACTTACCTATGACGCGTGCACACTTTTCTGGGTGTATATCACGCTTCAAAGTTCCAAAATTTCGGGCAGCCCCGGTGGCGCAGCGGTTTAGCGCCACCTGCAGCCCAGGGCGTGACCCTGGAGACCCGGGATCGAGTCCCACGTCGGGCTCCCTGCGTGGAGGCTGCTCCTCCCTCTGCCTGTGTCTCTGCCTCTCTCTGTGTTTGTCTCATGAATACATAATTGAAGCTTTAAAAGAAAAAAAAAGAAAACAGGGGCAGAGAGGGGTGGGGGCCCTGACCCTGGAGAACGGACCCATCCCAAGCGCGGGACCTGGGACCCCCTGGGACCTCGGGGCACCACAGAGATCTGTGCACGACACAGTCACCCTGGTGCCAGTGCAAACCAGGACATGCAATCCCAGACCTCAGGGGGTGACGGGTAGGTGGCCTGGCTGGGGAGGGGTGCGAGCTGGGGCAGGGGGAGAGGATGGGAGCCACCAGTGCTTGGGGTCGAAAGTGGGGCAGGGGTGGGGTGGGGTGGGGTGGTGGCCGCGCGGCTCAGGCTAGGCTGGAGTGTGGTGGGGTCGTAGCTTTGGAGCGTAGCTGAGGTTTGCTGGGGTGAGGTCTAGAGCACGGGACCAAGGGAGAATTCTGAGGCGTCCTTGGTGTGAAACGCTGGTTTGATTAAAGGACGGGACAAGAGCCCTGGGCAGGAAGAGCAGCTGCCCGGCCGACTGTACCCCGCGAGCTGGGGGAGGTAAGGGAGGCTTCAGGGCGTCCGCACACCCTAGAGGCCGGGAGAGGCCGGAGGCGCGGCCAGGAAGGCGTGAGTAGAGGCGGTTGGGCGCTCCCCGAGCAAAGCCACACACGCCCCACCCCGGGCGGGGTCAGCTGTGCAGCGTCCGCGGTCCTGCTCCCGGGAGGGGGCGTCACCACTCGGGGTCCGAGCGGGTGGGGGTGGGGGTGGGGCGCCCATCACTGCTGGGGTCCGGGGGGGCTGGCGGTGGTGACGGCCAGCGGGCGGGGGGGGGGGGCGACCATCGCCGCGCGGCCCTGGCTGGGTCCGGCCGCCGCCCCGCTGCGATACCCCGCCGGGCCGCGCCCCCGAGGCCCGCAGCCGCCCTTCCTCCCTACGAAGCGCCTCCCCGCCGCCCCCCTCCTGGCCGGGTCCCCGCGAGGTCGCCGCTTCCGGCCCAGGCCGGAAGTGACGCGCCGTGCCCCGGAAGCGGTCCCGCAGCGGCGGCGGCGCGATGATGGCGGCGGCGGCGGCGGCCCCCGCGCCCGAGGCCTGGCCGGAGCTGGAGCTGGCGGAGCGCGAGCGGCGGCGGGAGCTGTTGCTGACGGGGCCGGGGCTGGAGCAGCGGGTGCGCGAGGCGGGCGGGCGGCTGCCGCCGCGGCTCTTCACGCTGCCGCTGCTGCACTACCTGGAGGTGAGCGGCTGCGGGAGCCTGCGGGAGCCGGGCCCGGGGCTGGCGCAGGGCCTCCCGCAGCTGCACAGCCTCGTGCTGCGGCGCAACGCGCTGGGGCCCGGCCTGAGCCCCGAGCTCGGCCCGCTGCCCGCGCTGCGCGTGCTCGACCTGTCGGGCAACGCGCTGGAGGCGCTGCCGCCGGGCCAGGGCCTGGGCCCCGCCGAGCCGCCGGGGCTCCCGCAGCTGCAGAGCCTCAACCTCAGCGGCAACCGGCTGCGCGAGCTGCCCGCCGACCTGCCGCGCTGCGCCCCGCGCCTGCAGACGCTCAACCTCACGGGCAACCGCCTCGACTCCTTCCCCGCCGCGCTCTTCCGGCCCGGGGCGCTGCCGCTGCTTAGCGAACTGGCGGCCGCCGACAACTGCCTGCGGGAGCTCAGCCCCGACGTCGCGCACCTGACCTCGCTCAAGGTCGGCGGGGGCCGCGGGCGGGCCGGCGGGGGGTCGGCGGGGGGTCGGCGGGGGCGGGGCGGCCCCGGGGCGGAGAGGCGCCGCGGCGGGGGGGGGGCAGCCGTCCGCCCCCGCCACCCCGACGGCCGCCTCACCGAGGCTGGAAGCGGCTGCCCAGAGTCGTCAACAAATGCTTCGCGTCTGTCTCTAGACCCCACTGTGCGGGAGCCGCCTGCTTACTCTCCCCAGGTCCCCAGCGGGATGCTCTGCGGGGGCAGGTGCCCACTGAGTCCGAGTAGGAGTGGGGAGGATGGGAATCGGCGGCCACGACCCACTCCCCGTCCCACACCCCGTCCGGGGGCGCCGCCTGCCCACCACTGTCTCCCCTGCGTCCTCCCATTTCATCCTTAAAAAGGCAGACTCGTATTGCTTCTTCCTCCTACTTTTCAACCTTTTTATTGCAGACTCTTTAAGCAATAAAATGTGTGGACGCTTGAGGAACTGTTGTATTTCCAGCAGAAATTACGCTAAAGATATAGTCAACCGATCTTACAAATACATGTGTGTACAGACGTAGGTGTGCAAGCAGCTGCGTGCGTGGATGCGCATGCGTGTGTGTGTCCGTAGTTACAAGGAGTGGACGAGGCCGCTCAGCAGACTGACGCCTGCTTGGTGGCAGGACGGGGCTGTCGGGGTGACTGCCGGGGCACTGGGGTCACCGGGGCCTGAGGCCTTCCTTTGTGGCTGAGGTGCGACACCTTGTACAGACAGCGCAGCACTGTTGACCCCGTCTTCAGGTGTGTCGGACCTCTTGGCTTTCCAGAAGACCGATGCACCAGATACACGGCTCAGTACAGGTCTTGAGAGTGCAGACTCAGTTCTTCTCTTCAGATCTAGAATGTTTAAGTTTTGTTTTACATGTTCTGCACCACGTGTGCAGCACGCAACACGTGTAAAGGCATGGGTGACATGGCCTCCCTTGTGTCCCGACACCATCGTTCGGGAAATGTCTCCTCTGCGACCTCCCTCACCTTCTCCGTCCTGGCTGCCAGCTCCAGGCTTCCATCAGATCTCTTCCACGTGAAGAGGCCTGTCTGTGTTGCGCAGAGTGTGGTGCCAGACCTACTTGGAATCCCTTTTGGATTTAGGTGTCCTCAGGGGGCCTTTCTAAAATGATGCCCCTGTGAGGAGCAGTAGGTACTAGAACCGTGCGAGCAGCGTTGCTACACACGTGCTGGGGCTTTGTGTCCTGCCTGGTGCTGTGGGGAGGCAGCTGGTGTGGGGAAAATGAGCGCCAAGGTAGAAGCACAGGTTTCCTCTGTTCCGTGGCAGGACTGCCGGTGTCCTTGGCCATGGGAGACTTGTGGGGACGGCCACAGTGCCATGAACAGGGAGCTGGTGGCACTGAGAGGGCCAACTGTGACTATAGGACCATGTCCGACATCTTGTGGCTGAAAACAGCAACAGTTGTCTGTGGCTGACGGTTCTCCACCCCGGGCTGGCCCAGCTGAGCCCTCACTGTGCTTGCCCGGTCATGAGTGAGCATTCAGCTGGCGGTGAGCTTGGGTTGGGTTCAGCTGGAACGTTGTGATGGCTGCTCTCTCCAGGACATGCTGGCACCTCTCTCTGCCCAGCAGGCTGATCCACTTCTTTACATGGCAGCTCAGGGCTCCTGAGAGCTCGACTGCCGGAGGACTCCTCAAGGGGAAGGCTTGGAACTAGCACCCCGCTAATTAAATGAGTGAAGCCCGGTCCACATTCTTGCGGAGGCTTCACGCAGGTGTGGTTCCCCGGGAGCGGGAGCCACCTGAGTAGCAGCACACAGGCCTCTGCTTGTCCCCCCCTCACTTCCCGAGCAAGGAGACAGGTGCCCCAGTGTGCCCTCCCCCAAGAATCTGCCCCAGGCGGTGGCCCCAGACCCTGCCACCGTGAAGGCCTGACCCTCTCCCCTCTCTGGCCACAGGTGACACAGGACTAGGAGACGGCTGTGTACTCTCCAAGCTGAACCTCACCAACTGGTTAACTGCCTGCCCTGAGCCCGGTTCCGGAGTTTTCCTGGTGTCTGGGCCTTCAGCTTAGCTCCCCACAGGAGACCTCGGAGCATTTAGAAGGGTTTCTCCCCGGGGGCCGTGTCCTTCCATTGGGTTTCTGTCACCTGTGGGGCTCAGCTGCCAAGGCCGTGGTACACCACGTCACTCCTGCCTGTCACAGGTGACTGACTGGGCTCTGTCCAGCCATCTGGGGCTGACAGATATCCCCAGGGTCTCCTCTCACCCCTGCTGGTCCCTGCACCCATTTGGCTATCCGTGCCACTCATGGGTGAGAGTTCCCTGTGGTCAGGCTTCACAGAGACTTTATACTTCAAATGCAACACCTCTGTCCAGCACCCAAAAACACTGAAGTTTAGAAGCCCTTCTTCCGTCTTCGTGTCTTCCTCAGTGGCTGCAGAGGCAGCAGGCCACTTGGTGCCTGGGTGGGGGTCTGGGTCCCCTCGGGCCCTGCACCCCCACCGGAATAAAGATAGTCCTAGCACAGCCTGGAGGTGGCGTGTTTGTCTCAGATTCACAAGGCCAGGGTTGTAGGACCCCTTCCGCGGCAGCGTGGCCCTGCAGCAGTGATGGCTGATGGTCCAGTCCAGGTCACAGATGTTCATGCGACCTGCAGGAAGGGAGTAAATGGGTGTCTACATGTGTCGGTTCTGGGTGACGGGTTCTGGGGCGCCCTTCCATGTGCAGTTACCCTTCAGGGGTTGGCAGACAAAATCCAAACCCAGCCTTGTGGTCAGAGACCTGCCCTCCTGCATGAGTGCAGCTCCTCAGTGACGTTGCCTGTTATCTCAGGGCCTCTCCTGAGGCTCCTCTGTTCGTTAGCATTCCTCTTCTAGACAGAAACCCAACTGAGTCTGCTGTTCTGGGTGCACAGTGCCAACCAACCATAGGTTTGTACAGGAGCAGCGCATACCCTGATCTGCAGGTGACCACGTTTTTATAGGACCCCCAACTTCTAGAACTCCAATCTGCTACCACCTCCTTACTGCTCTGAAATGTCCATAATTTGCTCATTGTTGCCCCTAAAAGAAGCCTCTGCTCCCAGGATGCTTGCGCTGTCAGCCACTGTGGTTGGGGTGGGCAGCCGGTCAGGCACAGTCCCCAGCTGCCTCCTTCCAGCCTCCTCCTTCCTGGTTCTTCCTCTGCTCCCTGCACATTGCATCCACCTGGCCTGCCTGTTTCGTGCAGCAGTGAGGGCTACCTCAGTGTGGAGTTCTCAAGCCTCCAAGGTCCTTTGGTCAATGTGGCAGACCAAAGCTGGTGTGTGCAGGCGTGGCTCCATACAGGCTACCCCAAACCTGACCTCAAAACACCAGCTGCTGGCTGTTATTCACAAGCCTCCAGATGGTGGGGACCTGGAAGGGCCATGATAACACTCCACCTACCCCATCCTCCCAATCCCGCTTGAGTGGAAAGGCCCGGTGAGGCACGAGATGGCCATAGCCCCTTAGGCCGCTCGGTCCCCCGAGGTAACTGAGACAGAAGGCCAGGTCTGGCTTACTTGCTTCTCTTCTTTGTCCCGGGTCCCGAGTGCGAGAAGGAAGCCTGTTCTAGTTGCTCCCTCCCTCCCGAGGCTCTGGCGTAGCCTTTGGAGGCTCCTCAGTGACACCCCTTCTGCGTTCTGGTTGCCCAGCTTCTCAGCAGCCTGGCTCCTTGAGCCACAGGATAGCTTCACTCATGACTGGGGTCTGACTGGTGTCCTCTCTAGCAGCCAAAGCACACGGTGTCTTCTGGATCATCAGAGCCCCTCCCCTCTTCCCAGAAGTTTGTGATAAAATCCATCACCCGTTTTGTTGGGGCCGTTACATCCCAGTCAGGACCAGGCCTGGTCACCAGCCTAGCCCACCAAATGTGAACGCTGGACCTGTGTGTGTGTTGGGGGGCGGGGGGTGCCAACTGGTGTTGCATTGACCAGGTATCATTCACACAGGCCCCCTCTGCTCCAGAGCTCTCCCCGAGCCACTGCCCCTTGCTCCCATTTTCCAAACACCACTGCCCTGTGCTCATTCCAGCTAACCAGATAACAGGCTTTCTTCTAGGCTGCCATACTGAAGCTCTAAGATCTATCTGGTCTTAGCTGTGCCCAGCAAAGCCAGTCCAGAGTTTCCCACTGGCCCAGCAGGAGAACGAGAAAGAGGCCCAGTGCTGTCTGGGCCAAGACTGCTACTAGCATGGTTGTGCTGGGAAGACAGGAGGCAGAGCCTGACCTCTTCGGGCGGGGGGGTGGGGGGGGTGGCTGTCCTCTTCAGCACAGCTCCAAAAGGGGAAGCAGAAGACCTGCCCCAGACCCACCTCCTGTCCTGCCCAGCCCTGGAAGAGGTGACCCCACAAAGTGGCTGTTTGGATGATTTCCATCAATCATCTCAGCGATACTAATGCCAGCCATGCCCTTTTTTCAAAGCCCCCATCCTGACGGCAGGTTCTTTTGCATGAGCCATAGGGTTTCATCTGCCTCTTTATGGTGCAGGCAGCAGAGGCACTACGCCCTCTCCTGGGTCAGGAGGATCAAGCATCCAGGCCAGCGTCACAGCCAGTTTGCCAGTTTGCGTGCAGATGGAGTTGAGTGCTGTGCATTCTGCTGCTGCGGCTTCATATTTCAATATGACTTGTTACCCACCCTGTGTTCTTTGTTTTTAGTTCATTTAGTTAAAAAAAAAAAAATCTCAGCATCATCTTGTGGGGAACTTGTTTCTCATCTCAAGTACTTATCTGTTCATAACTACACATTCCCCTTGTCCTGTGCTCCTTCCTCTGTCACCTTTGTCTGTTGGGATAGTTGTCACCACAAGGAAACTTGCAGGGAGCAGAAAGAGGAAGACTAGTGTTCCGTGGGGGATTGTTGGCAGCCATTGCCCTTGGGTGCAGGGTCGTGGTAGTGGGGGGTCAGTCTGCTCGCAGAGCTGGGGACAGCTCGGGTGGGGTGGAGTGGGGTGGGGCTGCACAACCCACAGCTGTGTGACCATAGGCCCTCTGTCTCCCTCCCAGACGCTGGACCTCTCCAACAACCAGCTCAGCGAGGTCCCGGCAGAGCTGGCTGACTGCCCCAAGCTCAAGGAAGTCAACTTCCGGGGAAACAAGCTGACAGACCGGCGGCTGGAGAAGATGGTGCACGGCTGCCAGACCAAGTCCATCCTGGAGTACCTGCGCAGCGGAGGCCGGGGTGGCGGGCGGGGCAAGGGCAGGGCAGACGGTCCTGAGAAGGAAGAGGCCCGCAGGAGGCGGCGCGAGAGGCGGAGGAGGGAGAGTGGTGAGGGCTGAGGAGGAGGAGGTGGGCAGCACCAGCAGGCTGCTGCTCCGCGTCCTGCATGTGTCTGAGAACCCCACCCCGCTGACCGTGCATGTCAACGCCGCAGTCAAGGATGTCCGGCCATTCATTGTGGGGGCTGTCGTGAGAGGCATGGACCTGCAGGCTGGGAATGCGCTCAGACGGTTCCTCACATCCCAGGTGGGTGTTCGCGGCCCAGGGCGGGGGGGGGGGCGGGGTGAGCAGAGTGAGGGACCGCTGGTTCACTGTCCCACTGCCCACCGCCCCTCCACACCTGGGATGTGGGAGGCCGAGCAGGACCTGGCTCCAGTGCAGGTGTGGGTGGTGCCAGCGGCACGTGTACCCAGTGCAGGTGAGACCTGGGCCTCAGTCCCGGGGCTGCCCATGGGGGTGGGCACCCCTGCAGTCCTGCCTTGTTTCTGAGGTCAGCTTTGTTCCACGAGAGACCAGTGTTTCCCAAGTTGCTGACGTCTTGGGGCATTTTCTGGTTTCCGTAATGAATTAGTTTCTGACAAGGCAGTATTAACATTGCCAGCTCCTGCCAGCTGCTGTCCTGTGACTTCAGTTTCTTGTGGATCTTAGTTCAACGAATCTGGATTCATTTTTCTGTGCAGTCTGCCCGCCTTTTTTTTCTTTTTTTTAAGATTTTATTTATTCATGAGAGAGGCAGAGAGAGAGGCAGAGACACAGGCAGAGGGAGAAGCAGGCTCCATGCAAGGAGCCCGACATGGGACTCGATCCAGGGTCTCCAGGGTCACACCCTGGGCTGAAGGCGGCGCTAAATTGCTGAGCCACAGGGACTGCCCAGTCTGTCCGCTTTTAAAGTAGAAGCCACATCGTTGATGTTTAAAAACCCACCAGTGTGCCCCTGTGGGGACAACGCTGCTTCAGGAAGCAAAGCGCACTCCCAGCCAGGAGTGCTGAACACACTCAAACGTCAGTGTTTTTGAAGAAAAACATGCAGGGGAGATTTTTCTTTTTAAGTCCTGCTTTTGTTTATTCGGTCATAAATTTTAGTTCAGGAAGGGTTCTTTGAAGTCTCAGATCCTCTGTTAGAGAAAGAAATTCTGTCCCTGAACAGATAAGAGAGTTTTCCAGTGGCAGTTCCACAAGATGCATTTTGGGGTGGGGAGGTCGAGGGGGCAGGGTGCGGTGCTTGGGCATGAGCTCCCCAGGTCTCACGTTGCAGACAAAGCTCCACGAGGACATCTGTGAGAAGAGAACAGCGGCCACCATCGCAACCCACGACCTCCGGGCCGTGCGTGGGCCCCTGGTCTACACCGCCCGCCCGCCGCAAGACCTCAAGGTGATGCCGCATACCCCTCCCTCCGTTCGTACCTGTTCTTTTTGCATTCTTCAGCAATGTGCACATGCTGGGGTTGGTGCGCGCTCTCTGAGGCAGCATCTGATGCTGTCCCTGGCAAGAACATCAGGCCAAAAGCCGGTTGTATTCACGGTTCATTTGAAAGTAAATTCGTCAGAGAAGGTGATGATTTGGAAGTGGTTTTCTTCATTTGCTCCCGTTTCACCAAACACTGGTTTATGTCCCAATTGCAAAACCCCTCACTGGAGTTGACGAGCCTGGTTTGTCGAAGTCCCGCCACGGTCTGTTACTCCCTGTGGCCATCGTGTGGAATGCCTGGCTTGACCAGCACTAGCTGCTGGGCCGTCCGGGGGCCACAGGCCTGGGAGCCACCGTTGCCCATGGCGGGTTGAAGATTAGTCAGTTCCCAGAGGACTGGTGTGTGTGGCAGTCAGGACCCTGAGGGGCCTCTGGGGGCCTCATGTGCTCATACCACTGTCACAGGGATTGGGTGGGACACCATGTTGGTGGCCAGATGAGCAGTGGACCAGCATGTCCTGGCTGCAGCCCTAACGGAAACTTGTTTCCATCACCCCCTAGATTGTCCCCTTGGGGCGCAAAGAAGTCAAGGCCAAGGACCTGGTGCGGCAGTTGCAGCTAGAGGCTGAGGAGCATAGGAAGCAGAAGAAAAGACAGAACGTCTCAGGCCTCCACAGGTTGGGGGCCTCCTCTCTGGCTGCTGCACTCACCCCACGGCGGGAGGCCTGCCTACCAGCCTCCGTTTACCCACCGGCTGCCATAACTTGAAAACATTTCCCTATGAGTGTTTGAAACATCTCCCAGACTTCATTCCCTATGCTGTCAGGGAGTCTCAGGTGGAATAAAAGGAACTGAGCCACACGGGCTTTGCTCTTGGTGGAGCCGGGGCTCAGAAACTGCTTTGGGGAGAACAGGCTTTCTTAGGCACATAGGCCCTTGATCAGGAGGGACAGTCATCCCTCTGCCCACACCATGTGCACAGGGAGAGGGCGGGGGGGCGGGCAGTGTGGTCACCCTGATGACAGGAAAGCCGTCAGGGCCACAGCGTTTTGTCCCCATCACCAGCGGCTCAGGTGGGGTTCAGGTGCCCTGCCACGCTGCCAGGCCCACATAAGCACAGGCTTTAGTACATCTTCTTGCCGAGCTCATGGACATGCCCTGATCTTCCACTCATTTGTCCTGTTAACCCATAGGCCTATCTTCCCATAGTTAGGCCTCTCCTGTTTCTTCCCGCACAGGTATCTGCACTTACTGGATGGGAAGGAGAATTACCCCTGCCTCGTGGATGCTGATGGTGACGTGATTTCTTTCCCACCGATAACCAACAGCGAGAAGACAAAGGTAGGGCAGAGCCTATGCATGTCCCTGTGTCTGGGGCTGTTCCACCTGCTGAGTGAACACAGCATCTACCCCATTATGACATACATACATCTTGTCCGCATGCCTGAGGTGCGGTCCCCGAGCCCTTGTGGCTCACAGGCTCCCAGTCTCCGGAGTTCCTGTTCCTGTCATATGCGGTGCTGTACCGTGTGTCACTGCATGTGCATTCCAGCCTCTGCCTCAGTTGGGGAAGGGGACAGTCTTGGTTTGCAGGGTACCGTTTTATAGGTTTCTCCTCAGAACACTTGTTGATGTTTTCAGTAATTTTATTCTTCTCTGAAACCCTCTTTCTTTAAGATTAAGAAAACAACTTCTGATCTGTTTTTGGAAGTAACAAGTGCTACAAGTCTACAGACCTGTAAAGAGATAATGGATGCCCTCGTGCTGGTGAGTCAGCCTCTACCTCTCGCCCAGTCAGTGCTCCGGCCATGCGGGACGGACACGCCCCCCTGCTGCCCCTTGCAGGCTGCCTTTGTCTTCCCCAGTTGCCCCTAAAACCATATTGTTCATTTGCAGAAAATGGCAGAAATCAACAAGTACACTCTAGAAAATAAAGAGGACGGATCCCTTTCAGATCCTGAAGCTGATGCAGTTTCTGGACCACCTCTGGGTCCCAGCACAAGCCCAAGTGCCGAAAAGGACGGCAGTGCCCCGCTGGTGGTGGAGCAGGTCCGGGTGCTGGATGAGGACGGGCACCTGAGAGTGGTGTACCCCTCCAAGACGGACTTGGGCTGTGCTGCTCCCCACATGACCGTGATCCGCTGAGCCCCAGGCAGCATGTCCGCCACTGCCACGCGTGTCCTCAGCTGTGCCTCTTGTGGTGACATCAAGTTACGCATCACATTTTCACCCCGGTGGTTCTCAAGGTGCACGCGTTGGCTCTTTGATCGTCCAGACAGTTCTCTCCCGTTGCAGTGACACCACATTATCCTGGGCTTGAATCATTTTCCCTTTCCAGCACCAAATTGATTACTAACGCTTTACGAAATTATTCAAATACCGGAATTAACTGTTCAAAACGTTCTGAGATGATGTGGATATAGCAAATACCTTTATTCAGGGGAAAAAACACTAATTGGCTTGGATAGTCAGCTGTACCCTGGGAAGCTAAAGAACACACATTTCGCTGAGCTATACCATTACTTTTCTACAATACGGCATCTTTTAAAACCACACCACACCAGTGGTACAGCCTACAGATGTGGAGTGATGTCATGTTCCTACCTTGCCGCAAATCGTCATCTTTTTATGAAAAGAATATTTTTTAGGTGACTTTAAAATTGGTGGAAGCATTTTTTTTTCCTTAATATTACGGTTGGATATGTTAGGGGTAGAGCCACAGCATCCCCTCCTTGGGCCCCAGGGGAGGAGCAGGGCTGTGCTCGTGTACACTGGCACCGTGGGGAGGAGCAGACAGCAGAACACGCAGCTCAGGCCAAGCCCATGGTTCCCTGTTGCAGAACGGGCTTCCACGCACAAGCCAGACTGTTCTGTCAGCATCTGGCTAAAGGACAGATGGGCAGGGGCTGTGGGAGGCCAAGTTTGGAGCTGGCGACCACAAAGCGGGTGCCAGGTGAACGGTTCTTGAGCATTTTGTGTTTTAGGTTACTTCCGGTTTTGAATGTCTCGGACAAGCTGTGTGTATCCGTCTGTGTGAGTCTGCACGTGCTTGCATACAGGCACCGGCCAGCCAGCCACTCAGGTGGTTTTTACGGACTCACAGACTTTTTATTTAATGTCTCCGTCTTTGTCACCTTCTGTGACCTGCGAAAGTCAGGCTGTGTGTTCTGTGGATTTGGGGAGCATTTGCAAGCGGCCACTGAACCCACGCTTTTAGCCACTGAAACCAGACATATGGGGGCTCACTGACAAAGGCACATGGTTCTCCCAGAGCTCAGCCAACCCGCTCTGTAGGACACTGCACGGCTGCCTTGAGACCCCAACCTCGCTCTCTGGACATCCCCAGGCCTTCCCCTCTGTCCCTGAAGGTGGTGGCTGGGCTGAAGTACGTGAACCAGATGGTGGCTTTTCCTCGTTCTGTTAACCACAACCCTACTGAACATCTGGCTGGTGCCTCTGGCTTGTCCTCTCATGAGCCCCGGGCACTCGGTGCTGACTGCTGTGGGTGCTGTGGCTGGAGCCCTGTAGCCAGACGGCTCAACCCTGTGTTGAACCCTGTGTGCGGTGCACAGATGTGTTGAACTTACCTTGGGAAACCAGACATCCTTGGTCTCTGCTGCCAGCCATCCCTTTGATAAACCCTGACATTCTTGCCGGCCTGACCTTCTAATAAAAGTCATTTCATAAGAACATTTCCACTCCTCCCTGGTGAATCCCCTCCTGCCATTATTTCAGGGTAGTCTATGGGAAAACAAAGGACCTGAACGAACCCTCTTCCCAACCCAGATCTTGTCGGCAAAAAGCAAGAGGCACTGAACTATCACACAGGCTGGGCCCAGAGAGGCTGCAGGACCCTCCAGGCCTGGTGCGGGAGGTGGATCCCCTCCCAGAGACACCTGCCCCTAGCAGGTCTCATTCCTGAGTCTTCTGTGGGAAGGGAGGCTGCCCCACATCTCAGCAGGGTGCCGTCCCACTTCCTGGCCAGGGCCTGGGGGCCACATCTGGTGGAGGCAGCTCACAAGGAGGTGGTGTGTACCCCCAGGGCCTCTGCCCACAGCCTCCCCACACAGGCTGAGCTGCTGGCAGAGCCCACGGATGGGGACAAGGCACATCCACGACGACTGGGCTGGTGCAGCCAACTCCATCCGGACACTGGCTGGACATCGGCGCGCAGAACCTGAAGGCCAGACCCAGATCCCCTTGTCTGCTGTTCCCGTGGGACATGCTGTTCCCATGCTGTTCCTCCCTGCCCCAACCCAGGGAGGATGGGTGGGTGAGGGCCTGCAGGGATTACTGAGCAGTGCTGTACTGAGCCAAAGGGTCTCTGAGGACACCACATGCCCTCCTCAGGCTGGCTGCCCACCCCCCACCCCACCCCCCAGCTCCCCAGAGTACTCCTCCTGCAGGGGCCACACCTGCTCTCTGCCCGCCCCCAGCTCCCCAGGGTGCTCCTCCATGGGTCACACCTGCTGGCTGCCCCCCACCCACACTCCCCTGAGTGCTCCTCCTGCATGGGCCACACGTGCTGGCTGCACCAGCCCCCCTCTCCCTCTGCCTCTTCACCTTGCCTCCAGCCATTCCCATCTGACCTTCCATCAGTGGACTTACTCCATCCTGCCCAGGGGCTGCTCAGGGACTGTGACCCTGAAGCCCGCGAGGCATTCTGGAAGTCAGGGAGGCCAGAATAGCCTGAGAGAGAAGTGGTGTGCAGGCAGCAGCCAGGGGCCCTCTTTTCTGCACAGCGCCCTGACCCGGCTCTTGGCAGAGGCCGCACCCAGTCTTGATGAGGCCCAGGCCCTGCACCTCAGGAGTAGACGCCAACGTCCTAGAGTCCGTGGAGGCCCCCCACCCAGCACCCGCCCTGTGTTGGCTCCAGCAGGGCACCAAGCTAAGGCCGGCCACACGTGGGTCGGCCAGCACCCCTCCCTCCTGGAGGATGGCCACTCGGGGCTAGGAGGTAGGTCTTTTTGGAGACAGGCACTGAGGCCCAGAGACTAGGGCTAGCCGGGCCAAACCCTCTGCCAATGCCCCTTAACTGGCTTCCCTCGTCCCCACCCCACAGCAGACCCTAACCCAGGACAGGCCCACCAGGTGCCACTCCTGCCCCGTGGACAGAGCGAGGAATCACCTGGGTGGTGCAGCCCTCTCTACCGGGCAGGCCAGCCTTGTGGGGTCTCTCTCCTCCCCTGCCAGCTTGGCCTCTGATATGCAGGTCTGCCACATGACCTCCGATCCCAGGCCCCATGAGGACAGTGATTGTCCCTCAGCTCCTGCCCTCAGTCCTAGGGGAGAAAGCCCTCTGCTAAGTGTTTCTGGCAAGGGTCTACGGGGCCTGAGATGTGAGCTTGTGGTGGGTAGGTGGGGGTGTGCATGCGGCCCAGGAGGGCCTGCAGCCCTGAGCCCGGAGGCCCTGTCCAGGTCAGGGGAGACACGAACAGGTCCCACCACCTGCCAGTCCTCAGGCCTGCCCCCAGGGGCTCCCTTCCCACAAGAGGGCCCAGCCAGGCAGAAACACATTCCAAGGCGCAGAGCCAAGTGGGAGGGAGGACAGGCCCTTCCCAGCAGCCTCCCATGCCCGCCAACTGCCCCACCTTGGGCCTTGCACGGGGCAGGCACCTGGGGGCCCCGTGGAAGAGGCCTCACCCATCTTTCAATCAACAGACTTTTAATGGCTGCCTTGGCACACAGACTCCCTCAGGGCATAGTGGGGGACCAGCTGCCTCGAGGGGGCACCTCAGGAACAACCGTACCCCCCTTCACTGCAAGGAAGATGTGGTGGTGAGTCCCAGACAGGGCCAAGGTCCCACTCCCCACCCTGCCCAGGATGGGTGGACAGAGGGACACGCGCAACCTTTCCCCAGAGTCATCCTTGCAGGAGCCAGAGAGCCCAGAAAGGGTAGGGACCCAGCCAGGGCCACGCAGGGAGGACCCCCCACCTGGAGCTGCCAGGCCTGGGCCTTCTCAGCAGGGTCTCTAGGGGCCCTGAGTCCAGCCTGGAGTGTCCTGCAGCCCTGGCTCAGGCTGGCCCAAGTCTCCCGGCCATGTGTCCCCCCAGCTGGCTGCCTGTGCCAGGCATGTGCCCATGTGTCCCTGCGGTGGCCAGAGTGTGCTGTCTGCCCCTGGGGTCTCTATGTGTAGTCGGGGTTGAGTCTGTGTGTACAGAGAAGAGTCTTGTGTACACGAGGATCCATGTATATGAGGTTCTGTGTATACAAAGGGGGTTCTGGTGTACGGAGTGTCCGTCCAAGCCCACGTCCCCAAGCACAGGCAGCCAGCCCCGAGCGTGCGTGCCGGCGGCCTTATTTGCACTTGTGCACGTAGTAGCCGGTGATATAGCCCAGGATGAAGACGACCCAGAAGAGGGCCAGTCCGCCCAGCACCTTCATGCTGATACCCAGCTTGCCTGAGCACAGCTTCCGGGAGATCCTAGAGAGAGAACCGCCGGCACATGAGCCCCAGGTGGACCGGGGGCTAGGCTGGAGGGGAGCGGGGCCCAGGGCAGGTGGACCCAGAGGAGGGAAGACGCACAGAGGTGGCAGCCCCGGGTTTGCTGGGGGGACTGGGGTGGGGGGACCCGCAGCATGGAAACCGCCAGGAGGGACAAGGCGGTGGAGGGCTCCTCCCACGGATCTGGGGGCTCTCACCTCTCCCAGCTCGAGGCCTCCCCTGTGCTGGCCACAGCCGCCACATGGACTGCATCCCGGCTGCCGTCATCCCACCGGCTGTACTGGATGCCGCTGTCCTGGGGCTGCATGCTGCAGGAGCTACAGCGAGAGGCAGAAGGTGTGCTGCGGCACCCACGGGCAGGGACACTGAGGCAGGCGACCTGGCCCGGGTGGGCGGTTGGGGCTCCGCGTGGGGTTGCCTGGGGGTCGCAGCAGGGGCGGGATGGGTGCCACAGTGGGCTGGCTCCTCTCCTTGCATCTTCTACCTGGCTTACAGGGGACCAGGATGCCACATGGTCACGCCACTTGCCTCAGGTCACACTGGGAGAGGCAGAGCAGGAATTCCAACCTAGGGAGGCTGCGAGCCCGCCAGCCCTGCCCTCAGGAATGTGAGAGACTGCTTCCAGCTGGCCAGGACACAGACACCAGGGCACTGTGAGTCCCTGACCTGATAACTGACTTCCTTCCCTCCCATTCCTGACAGATAAGGCCCAGAGCTTCTCCAGAGGCTGGGACGGCAAGGGATGGGGCAGTGGCTGGTACGGCCTGTCTGGCTGGTCAGGGAGGCCTGGGGGAGGCAGCCCCTCCCCCCCAGGCCTGTAGGAGAAGCTGCAGCCTGCGGGCACCTGGGTCTGCTGGGAGTCCAGGGGTCTCTCATCTAGGGACCCCCTCCCACAGAATCGTGGAGAGGCTTAAAGGCGCGGCGGGCCACTAAACAGCAAGAGACCAATCCAGAAACTCATGAGACCTGGCAGTTCTTAAACTCCTGCCGTGCCCCCATGTCTGTCTCTTTCCCAATGTCAGGCCAAGGGAGGCAGGAAGGGAGCTTGGCTCAGAGCCACAAGGCCTGCCTGGCAGGTGGGAGCACCTGCTTTACAGCAGCCACTCAGGTCAGTGGCTGTGCACAGGCCCCAGGGAGGCCGAGCGTCCGCTGAGTGTGGGCTGTGCTTTCCCAGGTATCTGGGAGAGGGGCTCTGGGCCAACTCTGTTGGCTGTCTACCTAACATGCCCCTCTGCTGCCTGTGGGCACAATCCCCATCCTGTTCCAGGCTGCAATGTCCCACCCCGAGCAAGGCAAGCGTCACACCCTGGCCCCTGCCTTCCCATGTCAGCCCGGTGAGGGCAAAGTGCTGGGGTGTAGTAGGAGCTGGGGCTTTCTTCTTTTCACCAAAGAAATTGTAGCCACCTCTTTCTTCCTGCCCTGGTGCGATGGCGGGAACTGCAGCAGCCACCTTGCAACCGGGATATCCATGCAACACCTGCCCTCATGGTGTTACGTCTCTAAATCCACACCAATTACCCAGCCCTGGGCTTCTTGGTGAGAAGAGTCAGCCCCCCACCTGTTCAAGCTTGGGTTCCTGTCCCGCACGGCTGTAAGCATTCCTAACTGATGGAGACTAGCTTGTGGCTCTCAGGCCATCCTGGTTGGACAGAGCCACTGGAAACTGGGGAGGGGCCCAGCACTGAGCTCCTGAGGGCCTCACTCTCCAGGCCCCCACCGCAGGGTCACAGCCTGTAGCAGGAGCCGGGGCTGCGCTGCCCGGAGACACTCGCCAAGGTGGGGACCCTCGGGGGTGCCACTGCGTACCTTAGACTCCTCCGCCCCCATAGCACCGTCGGGGAGCCCACAACTTACAAAGGGAGAGTCCTGGCGTGGACGCCCAGACTCCAGCACCCAGGAAGGTGGTCAGGTGGTCAGAGCCTGGCCACTGTGTTTTGCCTCCTCCCAGGCCCCAGGTCAAGGTCCGAGGAGTGGCCGATGCCTCCAACCTGAAAAAAAAATGGCAAAGAAAAGGTGGGGAGGGGCGGCCCCGGAGGAGCTGGGTGTCTCCCCTCACCCCTCCGGCGGCCAGCAGGAGGCGAGCGGACAGCTCCCGCACGTGGCCGGGTCACCCCCCCGCCCCCGCCGGCCCCGCGGCTCCGCTCTCCCGGGCGGCGGCTCGCAGGGCAGGGAGGCCGCGGCCAGGCCCACCTCCTCCGTCCGCCCGCCCGAGGAGGCTGCCCCCGGCGCCAGTCCACCGGCCTCTGCCTGCCGCCCTCCGCGCAGCGCGGACGTGTCCCCGGCCGGGGGGGCGGGGCCTCCGGGCGAGGCGTCCTGGAGGGACCTCGGGGCGGGGCATCCAGGGGCGGGGCCTCGGAGGGGGCGGGGCCTCGGATCGGGGCGTCCTGGGGGGGCCTCGGGGCGGGGCATCCAGGGGCGGGGCCTCGGAGGGGGCGGGGCATTCGGGGGGCGGGGCGTCCTGGGGGACCTCGGGGCGGGGCATCCAGAGGCGGGGCCTCGGAGGGGGCGGGGCATTCGGGGGCGGGGCGTCCTGGGGGACCTCGGGGCGGGACATCCAGAGGCGGGGGCTCGGAGGGGGCGGGGCATTCGGGGGCGGGGCGTCCTGGGGGGACCTCGGGGCGGGGCATCCAGGGGCGGGGCCTCGGAGGGGGCGGGGCATTCGGGGGCGGGGCGTCCTGAGGGACCTCGGGGCGGGGCCTCGGAGGGGGCGGGGGCCTCGGGGCGGGGCGTCCTGGGGGGGACCTCGGGGCGGGGCATCCAGGGGCGGGGCCTCGGAGGGGGCGGGGCCCCGGGGCGGGGCGTCCTGGGGGACCTCGGGGCGGGGCATCCAGGGGCGGGGCCTCGGAGGGGGCGGTGCATCCAGGGGCGGGGCCTCGGGGGCGGGGCGGCCTGGGGGCGGGGCGGGGAGGCACCGGGCTCGCTGCAGCGCTGACCCCAGGCCCAGGTGTTCCGGAGGGCGCCGCCGGAGGGCGTGCGTGCTGCAGGGGACAGGGATGTAGGGGCTGCAGGGGGAGAGGGGCCCCCAGGGGAGGGCGACCTCAGAGGAGTGGGTCTGCAGGGGAGGGGGACACCAGGGCGAGGGACCGTAGAGGAAAGAGGGCCTCCGGGGCATCAGGGCCCTCGGGGGTCGCAGGGGTGAGGGGGCCAGGTCCACTCCTAGAGGGCGCAGGTGCCGGCCGGGCCCTGGAGCCTCGGGGCGCGCCTGGGTCTGAACAGAGAGGCCGAGGCGAGGTGGCCCAAGGGGGGCGCCCCTCGGGAGCTTGAGCGGAGTTCCTGGCTCAGCTCCTCCAGCGCCCTCCGTGGGGGGGTGGAGGTGCCGAGCGCGGCGCAGGAGAGTCCAGCTGCGCGCACAGGTGGAGGGTGGAGGGCGAAGTCAGGACGCCTTGACGGGTGCCTGCAATTCAGCCTGCGAGCTGCGGGACCGGGGTAGGCTGCGCAGATGAGGGGTCCTGCCCGCTGGAGCTTTCACTCTGCAGCCATGGCGGGAACAGTAGAAAACTGCCTCCACCTTCTTCCAAAGGGGTCGCAGCAAGAAAGCAGCGCCCCAGCCAGGGGAGCCCCCACCTCCCAGGTTTGTGCAGCAGGTGGAAGGAAGGGCCAGGGCGGGCTGAACAGGAGTGTATGGGCACCCAGGCTCCAGCCTCCCAGCCTGGCAGCCGTGCTCCGTGTGGGGGTCTCCCCAGGAAGGAGCCAGGGGTGCAGGCGGAGGCTGTGGTTGTAGCCCAAGGCCCACGAGTCCCGGGGAAGGAAAAGCTGAGCCCATGGCCAACAGCAGAGTTTAATTCTAACACACAGGGGGTGGCTCCCTGAGCTGGGTGCCGGCCTCCACTGGGCCGCGGTTCCGGGGGCACCGTTGGGGTCTACTTGGAGGGTAGCTTCTTGGACTTGCTTGAGGAAGATAAAGCCTCGGCCTGCTGCAGCGGAGGCACTCGGACACCTTTCTGTTTCAGCTGATTATAGTAGTCGGCTCTTTCTGTAATGATCCTCTGGAACAGAAGCCTGTGGCTGTGGGGACCTCTCCTCCCCCAGAGGGTGCTGGCAGCAGGGTGTGCGGTGAATGGGCTGAGGTGGGGTGGGCTGGGGTAGCTCTGGGCTGGAAACACCCCCAGCACTGCTGACCCAGCCCGGGAGGTGAAGCCACAGGCCACGGGACGCAGAGTTGGGAAGAGATGCCCGCCACATCTCAGAGATACACCTGTCCCCTGAAGCAGCACTAACTACATCTCTTATGTCCTCTGAGAATTTCAAGCAACCCAGGCCAAGAGACCTCAGAAGCCATCCAGTCTGTCCCTCAAGTCCCTTCTGTCCTGCACACAGGCAGGTGGCCTGCCACCTCCCTCACCTCTCCTGCTTTGGCACATCACTGTCTTGTGTGCTGCACTGGCCCAGGAGAGGGGCTCCTTCCTGGCTCCTGAGTGGTATTGATGACCTCTCCCATCCCCCTTCCCATTCCTCCCTCCTTCCTCTCCCCCACACCCAGCAACAGGAACTAGGCTGCAGAGACATCTCCCCAGGCTCTCCTGCAGCCCACCCTCCAGGACTGTTGCCACCCTCCAGGGGCACTACTGACCCGGGACCCCCCACAACATAGAGGAAAGAAATCAGGTCTTTGGGACATGTGGACACTGCAAGGTCACAGGCAGCTGCTGGGGCGGAGGGCCATGCACAGGAGGCTTGGGGCATGGGGACAGAAACAGCCCCTAGTGAGAAGCCCATATGGCCTTGCATAGAGCAGGGACAGTCAGGAGCTCTTATCCCAGCCCTGTTGCCACCATGTCTGTGTGCAGAGAGGCTTGCGGCTCAGTGAACTCAAGTGACCAGCCTGTAGCTTCTCAGCCAAGGCCCACAGGGATAACGACATGACCCTGCCAGCCCAAAGCCTGCACTATTTCTCCCGCACCCCCGTCCCTGGGATGCCTCTGCTTGAGGTCAGCAAGATGACAAGTCACACCAAAGCACCAAGAAGCATCCCCAAAGAGGCTGAGCTGGACAGAGTCTGGGGGTGTCTCCTGCTGCTGGACAATCTCCAGGACCCCAACAGCACCCTAGAGATGAATGCTGAGAGCAGCCTAGCCTTGCCAGGTGTCCAGCATCACCACCTTTTCGGGACATCTGGCCCCCTCTGCCTGAGCAGAGAGCAAGGATGATTCCAGGGTCCCAGTGGAAGAGTGACACAGCCAGGACAAGAATGGGGATCCCCAGCATCCATGCAGCTCCCCACCACCCAGCCCCTGGGCTGCACATCAGCATACTCTGACCTAGAGACACAGCCTTAGGGACGAGGAGGCATCCCAGCACCGGAGATACCTGCAAGGCTTCTAGAATGTCGTTGTCCGAGATCTCAGTGGCAAAGGACTTGCCCCCGGAGGTGCTGAAGGTAGCCTGGATGATCTTGTTTCTCAGTCTTTCAAGCTGTGAGCAAAGGGAAGGAGGGGGTACATCACACCCACCCCTGAGTGGAGCTTTCCGGAAGGTAGGTCTGTCCTCACATTTCACAGCTTTAGGAACTGGACGTGGTTGAAGAGGCCAGCTGGTCTGCCTGTGAGCTAGAAGGTGCCAGATCAAAACCCAGGCCCAGGGCGGCCTGACACCCAGGCTTTAAGTCGCTCCACTCTTTTTTTTTTTTAATTGGAAAAGTAAAACCTGCATGCACATGGTTTAAGAAAGGAAAAATAGTACAAGGGCTCCAAACAATCCCACAGGCTATTCCCCCTTCCCCAAGGTCCCCTCCTGACTCCAGGGGAGACTTCCAATGCCCGAGGAGCACCCTGCATGCTTCTCTGCCCCTCTGGTTAGCACTGGGGGGAACACCTGCAGGCCCCAGCCCTTCTTCCTTTTCTTGTAATGGCTGTTTGCATGAACCAGGTGTTAACTAGGATGGAGTTCAGGCTGTCTAGTCTTGCTGTCATCGGCATCATTGTGTGTGTGTGTGTGTGTGTGTGTGTGTGTGTGTGTGCAGGACCCCAGGAGCACTCAGACGGGTCCCCCCAGTCATGGTGGCTGCTCAGCACCAGCTCCTCACCCTGTGTCCAGGAGCCCTGATGATGCAGGAGTACCGGGTGAGAGCCAGCCGAAAGAGAGTTTGCATCGCCTAAAAAGGGCTGCAGGCTTGTCTACTTTGCCTCTGAGATAGTGTTTAAGTGACAGAGGGGATGTTAGGAGCTCTTGACCTTGGGTGGGGAGGGGGCTTCCTTTCTTTCCCATGTGGATTGATGCCAGCTCTTTGCCAGATACCGTACTGGGTATGGGGGTCACTGAGGGAACAGATGGTGAGGGGGGGCTCGCCCCCCCTGGAGGTGGTCCTGGAAGTGACCCCTGCTGGGTAAGGGATGGCGATCACCTGGGGAGTCTGGCCACAGGGCCCCACACCCCGGCTGACTCAGACATCACTCAAGGCGCTCGGCACCTCTTCCTGCGGACCCCAGACCCTCCCAGACTTTCCCAGTACAGCATTCCAGACAAGAGTCACCCAGCTACCGATATACCATCACCGGCTAACGCTCCAGCTGCGTGTATTGCGGGATCTGAAACACAGCTTTATGCAAGAGAACAGGTGAAGGGCCCTCGGCGACACTGCTGAGCTATCCAGCAGGAGGCTGGCACCCGGGGGGAGGAGAACACACCTGGACACAGCAGGGCTCTGGGTGGGTGGGGAAGGTGCTCTGTCAAAAGCCTACATGCACAGGACCTTTCTTTTTGCTGGTTTTGGGATTTGGAATCAGGATGGCTCTTTGCTGATTTCCTTTCTGGCCTGTGTACCTCAGCAGAGGGCACCTCGGCCTCCCCCTGGGCCATAGCTCACATGCAGCATGAGGGGGTCAGATGTGGGATCCAGCTTTTCACATCCCAGCACCAGCCCTACAAAGCTCTGCAGCCTCAGGCAGGTTATTTCGCTCCCTTGGGCTGCAGGCGCTTTATGTGTCCAGTGAGGATGCTAAGAACACCTGCTTCGTAGCTTTGTTCAGGATGTTAGGGGACTTCACTGAGCAGTTTAGAACGGTGCTGGACCCACGCAAGCACCCGAAAATTATAAATGGATGGCACTCTTACTGTCATACCCCCGGCCTGGAGCTCTCCTTCCTGGCCGGCTGTCCAAAGCCTTGTGCCCTTCACAGCACAAGCCATACATGGAGCCAACGAGGCCACTCCGCCCTGGGGGCTCCCTCCTGCCACCCTGGCCATTACACCTTTGCCCTCTCTGCCACTGTTTCTGGAGCGTCAACTCTGTGCCAGGGGCAGGGATACCAGGGAAATGAGCCTCAGACCCTGTCCGCCTCCGTCGGCCATGGGCGAGGGCGCTGGCGCTCTGCACCTGGGGCCTACCCGGGACTGGGCGCTCTCCAGGGCCACGCGCGCCTGCTGCTCCGCCTGCTGGATCATCTCATTCTTGCTCAACATCTCCTCCTGCAGCCACTTGCGTCTCTGCAGGTGGTTCTGATTCTGGCTCACCTGGGCCTGCAGCTCGCTGACTTTGGCGTCGAACTCCGAGATGGTGTGCTCCTGCTTCGCGAGTTTGCTCTGCAGCTCCGACACTTGCTGCAGGGGAACCGGGGAGGGTAGGCGAGTAGGCCCACCTGGCCCAAACGGGTTGCCTCGCTCCCTGCCCCTTCTCCCCTCCTGAAGTCAGCCAACTCTCATGGGGTCGAGTCTGATCGCCAACAATGGCACGAGGCCTCTGTGTGCAGGCGCTCCTGCAATTGGTGGACAGGGTGCTGCCTGAGGTAGGGGAGCCTGACTCACTGTGGAGGGGTTCTCCAGCTCATCTTCCCCACACTGTCAGGACTTAGAGCAAGAACAGCCATCTGGCTGACAGTTTAACCATGCCTGGCGGTCACCTGGCGGAGAAGAAGATTGTCCTTCTCAATGACGCCCATCATCTCTTCATGCTTCTTGTCTTCCCTGAGGTTCGAGAACTGGAAGGCAGACAGGCAGTTGGCTCAGGAGGTCGGGGGCAAGAGGACAGACCGAGCACGTGCGTCCAGCTCTTCCACCTGAACCTCAGTAAGATGAAAGCAGTGGGACTTCTGCAGAGGACAAGAAGGGGGAAGGCGGCACCCCCGTGGGGCACTGGAAAGCAGGGCCAGCAACAGGGGCATGGAGAACAAGCCCAGCTCACTCTTCAGAGTCCCTAAATCTCAGAAATTGGTGCTGTGGGTTCTTCTGGATCTGGAGCCTGATGTGGGAAGGATCGGCGGAGGATTTCTGAGACTGAGAGCCGCAGACCAGTCCTCACCCTCAAGCAGCCAGGACCCTGCTCCTTGTCCACCTGCCCAGACTGGATGTCAGGGACACTGCAGAGGATCTCTGGCTGGGGATGTGCCAGGCGCAGTGGAGTGGGGAGATCCCAGGCTCCAGATGCAGGATGCGGGTCCCCAACGGGGATGCCCCAACTGTCTTCCCAGCTTGGCTCCCAGAACACAGTCAGCAAGGCCTAAGAAACTTTTAGGTTCCCAGATTCCAGGGCAATCTGACCTAACACGAGGGCCTCCAAACACTCAAGTGCTCGCTTCAGCAGCACATATACTAAAAACACTCAGCTAAAGTACCCACACATGCCCCATGTGCTCAGAGCCGTGCTTGGCTCTCATGCTGGAGCGAAACTCTCTTGTGACAGAGACTAAAACAAAGGGACCCAGGGCCCTTGCAGGAGATCACAAAGGTGTAGGAAGTTAAGCCCAGAGATGGTAAGTGTTCCATGGGGTAGGCAAGACACTGAACCGTGAAATAAAAGACAAAAGGACGTTCAGAGAATAAGAGTGATCGCGGAAGCCATAGCGTGACAAAGGCAGAGGCAGGAGGTGGCTGTGGCTAACGTGCCGGCATGTGGACAGTAGAGCAAAACTACAGGGAGATGGCGAGCAGGGGAGTGCACAGCAAGAGGAGGAGGAACAGGGGCCTGGTGACGCCAGGGGGAGAATTCAGGAAACAAGATGAAGGACACATATCCCCAGTTGGGCCCTCAGAGCCCAGGACAGGCAATAGTCCTGAACTAGCACCACTCTGCAAACACCGGGAACACAGGGTACAAAGACGGCACTCGGCGGTTTTCCAAAGAGGCAGCAGTGCACCCAGACCCGGATCCCAGGCAGGCGAGAGCTGGGAATGTGCAGGGCTTCCCTCCAGCAGCCTTGGCCACTTGGGTCCATGGCAGCGCCCTCACTGTTCTCCTGGCTGCGGTTTGGCTCCAACGAAGTTCTTTTTTTTTTTTTTTTTTAAGATTTTATTTATTTGACAGAGAGAGAGAGAGAGAGTGAGCACAAGCAGGGGGAGGGGCAGAGGGAGAGGAAGAAGCAGACTCCCCGCTGAGCAGACAGCCCGACCTGTGACTCTATCCCAGGACCCTAAGATCATGGCCTGAGCCAAATACAGATGCTTCACTGGCTGAGCTGCCCAGGCACCCTGTTCCACACAAATTCTATCGAGATGTAGAATTAGGACATTAGCAGAATACAATGTCCCCCCAAATTTACACCCACTCATTTTTTTATCAGAAGACTACTGCAGGATGCACTCCAGTGAAAACACGGGAGTGGATCAGAAAAGAGAATGAATCTTAATCCTTTTGGCAAAAACCCATGTTTGAGTCCCCGGTGGGCATAAGCTGCTGATAACTATAGCCTGACCACCTCATTGTGGTGGGATGGTGCTGGCAGGAGGTGGACATCCTGTGCTGGGGGCCCCAAGCCGAGGGTGGGAGGGTGTGAAAGAGGGAAGTGCTAGCTAATGAGACGATGGAGAAAAATCCAGAACAGTCGTTAGGAGCCTGCCATCTGGAGACCTGCAGAGTGATTCCCAAAGAAGAGTCGAAAGAGGTTGCCCTGGGAGCCGGGCACACATGTAGGAGGAGAGTGGGACATGCCCCTGTTTGCAACAAGCCTGTGGGACTATTTGGTTCTTTAGGCTATGTGCGTGAAAATCTTAGCAAGAGGTGGGCTCGGCGGACTGGTGGCCTCCCTAAGTGTGTGTGCTCAGCCCTGGGACCTGAGGACCCAGGGATGCTGGAGAAGTGGCCAGGAGCCATGCAGCTCCAGGAGGATGGTGAGGGCCAGCAGGCAGTGCAGGGCTGAGGGGCATGCTGCGACCCGGGACGCCCCCTGGGCTCCCGGCTCCCACTCCGCGTGCCCAGCAGTGGGACAGGAGGGGCTGCTGGCACCCGCCGCGTGACAGGGGCACGGTCACCTTGTTGGACATGGCCTGTAACTGGTCCTTCCGCTCCCGGAGCTCCTTCTGCAAGGTGTTGTTCTCCGTGTTCACCTGCTGCAGTTGGGACTCCTGGAAATCCACTTGGCGTTGTAAAGACGTGATGGTCCCTGTGTGAGCACGGGAAGGGGGGAGTGGGCAGTGCACTGGGAGGCCAGGACAAGGGACTCTGTGGCCCCAGCTGCAGGCTGCAGCCTCCTGCCCCGAGTCCCTTGGTCCCCTGGGCCACCTGTTCTCCTGTGGCTCCTGGGCCCCCAGCGCCCCACCTGTTGCAAGCGAGTATCTGGTCCTGGTGATCTCCAGCTCTGTCTGGAACTCTTGGAACACTTGCTCGTACTCCTCCAGCTGTGCTATCAGCTCCTGCTCGAAGGCCTCTTCCAGGGAGCGGGAACTCCTCCTGCACTGGTCCTCGTCCTCCTGTACCTCCTTCTCCTCCTCCTGCTCTACCTCCCCCTCCTTCTCTTCCTCCTCCTCCTCTGGCAGCTCCTGCTCCTCACCCCCCATCCTGTCTGCTGGGCCCTTCCCTTCCTTGTCCACAGCCTCCTCAGCCTCCCTGTGCGCAGCCTCTTCTTCACCGCCAACGCCTTCCAGGTCTTTGCCTCTGCTGATCATGGTATACTCCTCCTGGAGCTGGGAGAGGGTTGGGGTCCTGGGCGGGAGTGCAGGAGGAGGAAACACACTAGCAGTGGGGACACTGCCCCTAGCAGCTGTGACAGCCCCCAGCCTCACAGGTCTCAGGAGACCACAACTGCCTGGCACCCCTGGGACGGTGGAGTGGGAGTCACTTCTCCAGGAGCTGCCCTGCCACCCTGCACCTGCTCCTCTGAAATCCTGTAGGATGGAAGGGAGGCTCCAGAGTTGGAGTTGAGAGCGTACAGCTTGGGAAAGGCCACCAGGGCAGGGCTGCAGGTAGGACACCATGGCCTGGGCAGTACCCGGCAGCCCTGGAGAGGGGGAGCCCAGGGCCAAGCCTGCCCGCTCAGGGTCCCGGCCAGCCCGCACCTGCCTCCAGCGCTGCAGCTCCTCCTCATCTCTGAAGAAGGTTTTCAGGATGCTCATCCTCCCCAGGGGCTTTGGCACAGGCTCCTGTAAGTGGGCCACTCCTGTAAGCCTCAGGGATTCAGACTGCACCCTCAGCTGCCCCCAGAGATGTGCTGAGACCTGCCCTTCTGGAAGGGGACAGCCACCTCTCCATGTTGCAGGGGATAGGGGTACCCAGTGTCTTCCTGCCAAGGATGCCGTGTTGGTGAGAAGGGGGCAGTGACCTGCAGATGGGTGGCCCTGGGGGGATGGTGACCTGCACAGGGCAGCCCTGGGAATAGCGTGGTTTCGGACTCTCCTGGCCCAGGCCCAGCAAGTGGCCTTGCAGCAATGGGCACACCTGCTTTGTTCCAAGAATGGAGGACCAGCCTGCCATGCCTACGGTGATGTCACTGCAGGCCCACTGTGGGCCCACAAATCTCTAACAGCCCCTGGGAGGCCAGGAATAGGGAAGGCAAGCTGATGCCCCCAGGCTTCTTCAGATTCCCTCTGCCCCTGCCTGCTGGCACCGCAATATCCATTTCTAGGCAGTGTTCTCTGGTGGCATCTTGGGGCCACACCTGTGCCCTACCAGGACCAGCCTCATTCAATCCTCTGCCCAGACCTGGGGAGGGGCAGCATTCCCCTCCTGGCTTTATAGGGAAGGACACTGAACATCCTGTGGCCAGAAAGATCAGGCTAATCCAAGCCACCATGCCCACTGGGCCCATAGTGAGGCCAGGTCTGGAGCCTCCCTTCCATCCTATAGGATTTCAGAGGAGCTGGCCCTCATCTTCCAGGTAAGGACACTGAGTCCAGAGTATGACATGACCTGTCCCAGGTGGGAAAGCAAGCCAGCAGCAAAGCACAGGGGTCTAGGTGTCCAGCTCACGGCTCTTTTTCTGGGCTGAGGTCCCACGAGGATGTGGATGATGGGGCATTTGTCAGGGGCCCGAGGGCCACCTGGAACTTTGGACGCATTGGATGCAGAGCCTGTGACAAGGGCCCCACTCACCTTCATGCCCTGGCTCACCCACATCTCTGGGCCTTTGCTCTTGAGTAGGTACTTTAGCTGCTTCTTCAAGGCCTCCTTCTCCTCCTGGAGGGCCAGGACCTCCTCATCTCTCTTCTGAAGTAGCACCTCCAGCTCCGACAGGCGCTGCACTTCCTCCCCCAGCATGAGCAGGCAGTGATCCTGGGCACAAAAGCACGGGCGGCCCCTGGGTGCCATGCAGGCTCCTTCCTGACCCACCCTCTCCACCTGGTGCCTGTGGAGCGGGGGCTTGAAGCCCCAGAGGAGCAGACTAGCTGTCCTGGGACCCTGAAATCCCAGCCACTCCCACCAGAGGGCAGGCCCCAAATCCTTACTGGGGAGGTTCCTGGCAGCCTCCCCATCAGGCCCAGTTCTGGCTGGCGCCCCCACACCCGCCAGCTGCAGCAAGGCACACCATCATTCCATGCTGCCCCACAACGAACCAGCAGCACGCCCCAAGAGCCACCCCAGAGCTTGTCAGGGAGCCAAGCCCTCTGCCCCTCCACCATCCATGCTCAAACTCTCTGTGCCCTCGCTTCCTCAGAGTTGGAGACGAATACCCATGTTCTTGGATAAATGGAAACCGAAGACCTTGCCCTGAACAGCTCTGAATTGGGAGCAGCAGTAAAGGAAGCCCTAGGGACCCAGGGGCCTGGGGGGAGGGGTCCCAGCGCAATCCCAGGGAGAAAGGAACATAAGTAGGATGTTTTCCAAATATTTAGAATTTAAGTGCCAGGCCTCTGCGTAGCCCATAAAACAAAGAAGCAGAAGGCACAAAGGAAGTTAAAAAACATTTTAAGCGGAATGATAATGAACTTTATCAAGACATCAGGACTTGTAGGGGTGAAGCCGAAGCTGTGGTGGGGACAGATGCACAGCCTCCCGTGCACGGACTGGAGCTGGAGCGAGCAAGGAAGCCAGCATCTAGACAACCATAGAAGGGCTCCAGGAAAGAGCTGCAGGCTACAGTGGGAGGAGGGAATGACAAGGATGAAAGGATGAGAATGTGGAGGACCAGCCGGAAACAGGGGAGAGGAAGGGGAAGGTGCAGCGTGGGGAGGCAGGGCAGTTCTCAAGGGTCCCTGTCACTGCAGATGGTCCTCCTGCTTCCAGGGGAGAAGCTCTCCCTATGCCAGCTCAGACCAGGTGGAGATGAGACAAGGAGAACCCTAAGGACACCTTCCAAGCCCCTGGAGCCAGCCAAGCCTGCAGCCCTTCCTCTGGCCACTTCACACATGAGTGCTTTCTCCTTCCCACGGTTGGCATAAATGAAAACACTGCAGAGAACATCCTTTTACACAGATCTGTGTGGCTCTACCTGACTGCATCCTCAGGCTTTCCCTGACGTGGAACTGCTTTCCCTAAAGTGGTCACAGGATATTGACACATTTAAAATTGTGAAAATGTGGAGGCAGAGTGTCAGGAGGTAAAAGTAAAACGAAGATTCGTGCAGCCACGCTATCAGGGTTTTGTGTTCCCACTAGCTGCCCAACACTTTATGGTGCTCATTTCCATGACTGTCATTAAAGACTCACCACCAACAACCGAAGGTGATTCTAGGAAAAGAGGAGAGGGAGGGAGGGAGAGAGAGAGAGAGAGAGAGAGAGAGAGAGAGAGAGAGAAGGTACAAGGAAGCACTGTCCAGAATGGAAGGGAGGCTCTCGCTCCTGCGGAATCTCCTGCAGAAATTAGAGGGGGATTCGGAGACCATTAAGCACAGGATCAGGCTAACAAATCTGAAAATGTACATGAAGCAGAGGCATTCCTCGCAAAACATAGCCTATCCAAACTGACACAAGAGGGAGGAGAAAATCGGATTATCTTTCAAGGAAGCAAATTTCCTATTTGGAAAACCTCCCCCGTGAGGACTCTCTGGACACACAACTTCCTTCTGTGAGGAATTCTTCACCAGTCTCATGCAGACTCTTCCAGAGAACAGAAGAGCAGAGAGAAAAATGCCTCTCAACTTTTTGATTGTTTGTTTTGAGGCCAGAATTACTCTGACCCCAAAAGCAAACAAGGGAATTACAGACAGGTAAACTCTCACAAACAAAGATGCACAGAGTGACATCGTAAGGAATCAGCTCGTAGGTAGGCCCTTACACACCAAGCTGATTATTGCTATTGTTTTTTAGAGATTTTATGTATTTATTTGTCAGAGAGAGTGTGGGAGCAGAGCAGAGGGAGCAGAGGGAGAGGGAGATGCAGACTCCCCACTGAGCAGGGAACCCGATGCAGGACTCAATCCCAGGACCCCGAGATCCTGAGCCAAAGGTGCTTAAACAACTGAGCCACTCAGATGCCCCTGATTATTACTATTTTTTTAAAGATTTTATTTATGTATTCATGAGAGACAGACAGAGAGAGAGAGAAAGGGAAAGAGGCAGAGACACAGGCAGAGGGAGAAGCAGGCTCCATGCAGGGAGCCCGACATGGGACTCGATCCCAAGTCTCCAGGATCAGGCCCTGGGCTGAAGGCAGCGCTAAACTGCTGAGCCACCTAGGCTGCCCTGATTATTACTATTTTTAAGAATATATTCTCTCAAGTGGGAATAGTGGTATGTGGATGGTTAAGGTTATGATATGTGTGATGAGCTGCAAGCCAGGGAAGCAATGCCAGCTTAAACCACCAGCCACTGGGATGCAGATGCACAGGGGTAAGAAATTCTTGAAAGCTCTGATTTATGGAGGAAGCCCAAGGAGGGTTCTCGGGGTCAGTTTTGGTCGCATCTGGGGATCTGCTTGGATGGCTAACCAGATGCCCGACAAGAGCCCCCGGGGCTGGCCTGGCCCTCCTCTGGGGCTGGATGCAGAGCTGGGTGTCAGGTCCAGGCTTTCTGCCCAGGGCTCCGTGCACACACATGGCCGTACCTTCTCATGAATGACCGAGATGTACCAGGGTAGCCGTTTGTTCGGGTGGCTCTGCGCCAGGACTGGGCTGCTGGAGACCGGGCTTATGGTCTGGGATTCACTCCTCTTCCACAAGTAGTTGAACTCACAGGCACTCTTACTAAATGGAAGGGGGCACCCTGTGGAGATGCAGCGGGGAGTCAGACTCATCTCAAGTGCTGGGCCGCCCTGGGGCCTTCCATAAGAGTGTCACCTTGTAGGGACCCCCTTTGCTGCCCAGCCACGCTCCTCCAAGCCGCCTAGCTCTAACCGCCATTGGCCATCCCTCCCCACCTGCCAGCGTGTGTGTTGAAGAAATGGAGGAAAATCATCATAGTAGCCCTTGGAGATTCCCAGACACCAGGTGGCACGGATACCACCATGCACCAGGTGGCCCGGACATCTGCGAGGGGTTTCCTCGTGTCCAGACAAAGGAGATCTCTGTATGCAGAGATCAACTTTAGATAAACCTAAGTTAGTATATTCATGCGTGGGAACAGGGTGTTCTGCCCAAGGAGGGATCTGTCCCGTGTAAGGGGCAGAGGGCCGGGCGGGTGGTCCTGGGAAGGGGGGTCTCATGAAGCATGATCGAGGAGCCCTGGGCGGGGGGGGAAGGGGCCCCAGCAGGTGAAGGCAGAGGCCTCAGAGCTGGGGTGCCAGGGAGAGGACCCCAGGGGTATCTTACCCCCGTGCCAGCCGGCCTTGCCCTCACTGTCCACCTTCATGTCCGAGCCCTGCTGGACAACGCACAAGTCCTCGGGCAACTCGGCTGAGGTGGCTGAGCCTGCAGGATGTTAAAAACGTCAGCTGATGACAGCTAAGGCCACATCTTCCCAAGACCTCCCTGCATTGATGGGACTATCATTTCATTTCATTTTTTTTAAGATTTAATTTATTTATTCATGAGAGACACAGAGAGAGAGAGGCAGAAACACAGGCAGAGGGAGAAGCAGGCTCTATGTAGGGAGCCCGACGTGGGACTCAATCCCAGGTCTCCAGGATCACACTCTGAGCCAAAGGCAAATGCTCAACCACTGAGCCATCCAGGTGTCCCTCATTTCTTTTCAAACTTCAGGTCGGGGCAGCCCGGATGGCTCAGGGGTTTAGCGCCGCCACCTTCGGCCCAGGATTGTGTCCCACGTCGGGCTCCCTGCATGGATCCTGCTTCTCCCTCTGCCTGTGTCTCTGCCTCTCTCTCTCTCTCTCTCTGGGTCTCTTATGAATAAATAAAATCTTTATAAAAAATAAACTTCAGGTCGGATTAAAGGTGACTTTTGTCATATGGATGTGTGGGATCAAACCTGGGACCAAATTGAAACACATGTCTCATCCCCTGCTGGCCCATTGGTGTGCCCACCCGGAACAGACCAGGTGCAAGTCCATCTCTGCATAGTGGTGCATTCCCTTTCCTGGAAGGACACATCCCCATCTGTAAAAACGGCTCAGCCTTAAGTCTCCAAGAGACCCCTCTGCCCCAAGGGGCAGATCCTGTTCCCCCTAAGTCGTCAGGAATCAGGCCAGTGGCGGGAGCTCTGTGAGCAGAATGCAGGATGCAGTGTGGCCCCCCCGGGCCCATCTCAGCCCTGCCCAGAATTCACGGACCTGGAGCACTGGCTGCTCTCTGAGGGGACCTTAGAACCTACTGGGTGGGGGCTCCTGCTTCTGATGTGAACAAGGCCCCCATTGCTAGCCACAAGCACGAAGCTTCCATCTCCCTGTCTCTAAGGACAGCATCACATGTGGGGACATGGAGGTGGAGTAAGCCCAGCAATTGCAAGATCTAGGGCACAGCCTGGTCTGGCTAGGGGCCCCCGGGGACCGCTGAGTGACTGACTGGCTGCCCTCTCCAAGCCTCCTGCTCTCCTGGGTCAGAACAAAAATGGTTCCTACCTTTGGCCTTATGACCTCTTTCCTGCAGCTTTCAGAATTTTGAACCTTTTCTCCGGCCCCTGCCCCTAACCCTACAGAGTCAGGTGGATGAGACAAGAGAAAAGCAAGAAGGCTTTTCCTTGCCTCCCTCCCAGCTGGCCCTGCTATGAGTTCGAGCAGGTGCTCCTGCCCACACACCGTGCACGGCCCACACTGGCATCACTCCAGCTGACAGGTGCTGGGAAGGTGGCCCCACTCCTCCAGGCCAGGAGGTGGTTTTCACACGGGGCCCCCCTCATGGTTGGCTCTCACCATAATGAGACATGGACGTGGCCTTGGTGCTGAACTGAGGGCAGCCGGGGCGCGAGAGACACATCTTTCTGAGCTCCTCCAGTTCGGCCATGAAGCTGGTGTCCCCAGGGCTAATGTCTTGCTTGGACTCACCCTGGTGCAGTGGACACAACAGGACACTGAGGGAAGAGCCCCTGGAAGCCACGTGCCCCAGCCCCAAAAACCTCGAGCTTTAGGACAGTTGTGGGCACCAATGGGAGCAGACACTGGCGTCCACTTGGGCAGCCTCTGGGGAGCTGCACTCAGCTCTCCTGGCTCCCTGAGCCCCTGGTAGATTCAGGAACCTTCCAGCTGCGCTCTGCCTTCCTCCTCCCCTCCTCCCCCCACTCTGCTCCTTTCCTAGACACCCTCCCCACCACAGGGAGGCCTAGAGCTGATGGCCATGTCCCTCCCAGACTCCAGGGCTGCCAGTTCTCGGTGCTCCCAGCATCAGCCCGTCTTTGGCCATCACCAGAGCGTATTTGAAGGCTGCGTCGACCGAGCAGACCTTGAGGCCTTCTGCCAACGGGGAGACGTGGGCCACCCCAAGTCATCCCTGTCTGGCTCCCGGGCCCTGGCACCTTCTGTCTATAGAAGTGGCTGATGGCCTGTGCTGACTTGCTGAGGCAGCGCTGCCTCCGGCGCAGTTTCCACTCCGGGACCTGGTTGTCCCGGCCAGCCATGTTCTGCAGGAGCATCAGCCCCTTCTCCATCAATTTGGGTGCCACGCTGCACTTCCTGGGCGAGCTGTCATCAACCGGCATCATCTGCAGGTTCGGCAGAGGGGCCTGGGCCGCCAGGTGAAGGATGCCTTGGACAGATGGCCGCCGTGGGCCTCTCTGTCTGGAGCAAGCTGCCGAGGGCGACAGGCACTCATGTGGGGACCTGCTGCCTGACCAAGCCCTGGACACAGCCAGCCCGGAAGCTCCACATCCTGTGGGATCCTGGGAGTGTGTATGGCATCACATATGTCTCCATAGAAACCGGGCATGTATTTCCAGATGCCAATTGTACATTCCAGCATGACACATTCCTCTATGTGGTAGGAATTTAAAAAATAATCAAATGGAAAGGCTTGTCCCCCAAAAGCTAATCCGACACACGGCCTAGTGCTAGTTCACTGGGAAGAACTCTTGAGTCTCCAGGTCCACTCAGCCTTCCGACCCCGTGAGGTAGCTCTTCCCTCTGCAGCAGTGCACAGCCCATCCACGCACCTGTGGCACTGGTTTCCCTTGGGGTCAGCCATCTGCTGACCCCGGCAGTCTTGGGACTTCTGTCTTCTAAGTATTTGTCCACCTTGTTTCTTCATATCCATCCCTGATGCAATTGTCACCACTTGAATTTGTCACCCTTCCCTTGTAAGAAGCTCTCCCTGAATTTTTGTGACACACTCTTAATTGATATTCACACCCTCTAAATGCGTTTCAGCCCCGTGCCCAGCAGCCCACCCACTCCCTCATCTGTACCTCTTCTTGTCCCAAAGCTGGGCTCCGTTATCACTGCCTGAAATAAGGGGTGATATTATTATATCTGGGCAAGCTGAGCACTGATATATTACCTGGTTGATCAAGGTGCCCCCACAGGTTCCCATAAGACCCCTGTCATGGGTGTTGTTGCACTCACCCACTCACATGGCCACGCTCTGCACCTCCACATCATACGGTCCTTGATAACAGGATTTCTGCAATCCACCATGTCCCGGCAAACATGTGAATTTGCCACCATGTAGTAAAAATTTGCTGTGGGTGCTGCCCTGGTCCTCCCCATAGATGGCCTCTGCCTGCAGTCCCACTCACATGCACGGGTGTGCACACACATATATGTGCACATGCAAAGTCCAGCCAGTTTTGGATGTGAAGCCACATTGGATTAGGACTGGACAGGAACGAGGAGGTGGGAGGGCAGCTGGAGCCCAACCACCTGAGCCCAGAGCCCAGCTCCAGCATATTGGTATCTGTGTGTCCTCGGCTCAGCCCTTACCCTCTCTGCGCTCATTTGCTCATCTCTACAATGGGGATAGAGACCATACCCGTTTCCTGGAGTTGTCGTAAGGATTCAATTAGGAAATAGGATGAGCTTCGAGCCACAGGCAGCATCAAGTCAGGAAAGCCCCCAGTTGTTACCGGTGGTCACTGCACTGTCCTCACCCCACCTTCAGCATCACTTCTGTGCCTGTCTTGGTGGACAGGGAGAATCCGTGTAGTTAAGAATGAGAACAGAGGGGACAAGTGATAAAAAATAAATTGTGCTGACCTCTGCTTTTACCCATATTCATTGTTGGCAATCTGGATGGTGCCGAGGCCGCAGAGCAGATTCCTTCTACCTTTGCCTTTCTTTCTGTCATTTTGGCATACATACTAGGGCAGCCAGATGCTGCCCTAGGCCGGCATCACAGAGTCCACCAGGTGGCCCTCATGGCCCAGTGACTCTGAGGCCTATCCTTGCAGGGGTGCCACTGGCTCTATGTAAGAAAAATTGCTCTGACCCTTGTTAGAATGGAAAGGAAGACTTGATTCGAAGATTGCAAAAGCAGGGAAATTGAAACTCAACTCTGAATAGGGCGGGCGAGCGGGGCTTCAGCCCAGGACCAGTGAGGGGGGTACGGATGGAAATTGCTAAGAGGGGACAGATGGCGGATTCTCCCTCAGGGCAGGCTGAGCACTTAGAGCAGGGCCTGGCCATCATGGGTGTGGAAGAGGAAACTGGTCCCATGTCAAGTGTCCGGGGGTCCTTGCTGGATTGGGGCTTGGCATGGAAGAACAGGGATGGCTCACAGACGCCTGATTAAGGTTTGGCCAAGGACTACCTCTGTCAGTGGCAGTGGGTCAGGGATCCAGGCTGACAAGGCTCCACCCCAATGACAAGCGTCTAGGTTTGGTTCATGGAGTCGAGGGAGGGAGCTTTGAGGGCCCCTGGTTAGCAGTGCCTAGAAGTGAGGCCCTCCCTTCCACTTGCATTTTACCCCAAAGCAGACCACCTGGCTGCTGAATTACCAAGTGGTGGGGAAACGCAGGCCATTCTGATGGTGCATCGTAAATCCCCCGCCCCCTCAGGAAAGGTGTGTTGAAGTCCTAACCCCAGGACTTCAGAATGTGGCCCTATTTAGAAATACAGGTCTTGGAGGTCATTAGAGTGGGGTCTGATCCATACAACAGGTGTCCTTATAAAAAGGGGAAACTGACACAGGCATTCACGGAGGGAAGAGGTCTCGCCAGGGCAGATGACTGGAGCAATGCATCTAGAGGTCAAGGAACTGCCACAGAGGCCAGGACAGCAGAGGAAGGACCCTGGCCTGCAGGTTTCCAGGGGGGCAAGACTCTGCTGACACCAAGACTTTGAACTTCTGGCCTCTTGACTGTGAGAGCCTGGATTCCTGTTGTTTAAGCCCCCAGGCTGTGGTGCTTTCTTCCACTGTCCTAGGAAGCTAGTACACTCACCATGTGCCTGCCCTGAAAATCAGCAGTCGTGGGAGCTACACAGATGATCACTGTGAGCCGGAGACAGGCCCCAGGGCTGGTCTCATGGGCCTCACAGGGCGTGCAAAGTGCCCAGGTCAGGATGGGCCTTGAGGTCATGCACATGCCTGGGAGGGACAACCCACAGTCTTTGCAGGAAGCAGGAGGACCCTGAAAAGCTTCCTTTGGGAAGCAAGTCAAAGCCGAGTCCTGAAAGTTGGGTGGGCTTAGGCCAGCGGTGCATGAACTTTTGGGCAGAAGTGTTGAAACTGCAGAGCTGAACCACCTTCCAACCTCCACTGGCTCCAGGCAGCTTAGGGCACCTGGGGTTTAGATAGACCGAGATGGCAGCTTCTCAAACTGTGTCATGCATGGGAGATGCCTGGGGAGCTTGTTAAAATGCCGATTCCCATTCACCAGGCCTCAGCAGCTTCTCACTGCCTGCCTCCATGGGCTTTCTCTCCACCCTGGCACTGAATGCCCCTGGGGTGGCACCAGGGCCCTGGTGTTGCTGGAAGCCTACCTTTGGCCCCTGGCAGCTGTCCATGACTCTTGTGCCTGTTCAGCCTCCCGTGAGAAGGGCTGCCTGTCTTTCCAAAGGGCCTCTGGAAGTGTTATTCATACACGCTGCATGGGCTACATTTCAAGTCAACTTATCCTACATGTGACTCTCAAATTTACTGAGGAAGCATGATGTTTTCACAAGATGCAGTGATAAACAATTTCATTTTCACGGCGTCAAACCAAAAATCCACCAATAAAGCATGCAACACCAGTGAAGTGCTTAACACTACAATTTTCCTAGTCTATGCGAGTCCTCAACAGGCTTTGTTTCATCCTTCCTTTCCCCTGACAAACAAATGTCTCCCATGAGCTTCTCATGTGCCCGGCTCAGTGCTCCCAGCTGTGAGATGGTGAAAAATCTGATCTGCTGGGTCCCTTCTCTCATGAGGCCTGCAACCCTGAAATCCTATGAGAAGATGAACAAAACAATTGGCTCCTTGATAGCATAGAGTTCCAATAGAATCATAATTGCTCTGGTTGTGGATTAAAAAGGTAGAGGAGCTGTTTTCATACCCACGTTCACGGCAGAAGCAACCCAACTGTCCGTTGGCTGGTGAATGGAGAAACAAAATAGAGTAGGTCCCCAGAGTGGAATATTACTAAGCCTTGAAAAAGAAGGACATTCTGAAGCATGCCACAACTTGGAGGAGTCTTGAGGACACCATGCTAAGTGAAATAAGCCAGCCACAAAAGGACAGATACTGCATGATTCCACATGTATGAAGTACCTAGAGCAGTCTAAACTCACAGAGAGAAGGTGGGAGTGTGGGTGCCAGGGTCTGGAAGGGGCATGGGAGTTCATGTTTCCTAGGTGGAGTTTCAGTCTTGATGAAAAGAGTTCTGGAGGTGGATGCTGGTGATAGACACACAAAAATGTGAATATCCTTAATGTCACTGAGCCGTATGTATAAAATGGTCATTTTTGTGTTACTTATATTTTGCCACAATTTTATTTAATGAATAACTTTTTTTTAAAGGTGTAGAAGAGTCCTTTTTTTCTCCTCTGACCTCTCCTCCTTCTCCAGCAGATGGAGAGGTGACAGGGTCAGGAGAGGTTGGGAAGGACCCAGATGAACTCTTGGGGTTGTCCCAGACTGCACACAGGCAGCTCGTGTTCTAAGGTCCTCATTGGCACCTGCTGGAGGCAGCCAGAGGACAGTTGCACCACATGGCTCCCTGTGTGGTTTGAGCATCTCCTGTGAGTTGGATGCTCTTCCTGGCATTGGGATGGAAAGATGGTAACCTAGTCCTTGCTCTCATGTTTCTTCTGTTCCAGTGGAGGAGACACAAAAACTGAGGTCAGACACACAGAAGCTTTTTTGGTTTGTGGTAAGGGCTCCAGAGGAGAGACATACAGGGGGTCGAGGCGGAGAGTACTGGCAGATGCCGTGGGCAGGCTGGAGAAGGTGAGCTTTCACGGCGACGTCAGGGCTCAGATCTGATGCCAAGGAGTCCAGCACAGGAAAATCAGGAAGAAGAGCATCGCTAGCACAGGGCAACTCATCAGCTGCAGGTGGGAGTGAACTAGGCTTGTTCCAAGAGCAGCAGAGGCCCTGCAGGGTCTTGGGACCTGGAATCCTCATGATGGGGGACAGCTACGTGGAGGGGGAAAGGGTCATGGGGATACAGTCAGAATCCCCAAGGGTGACTTCTCTACTGGTTTCTGGGGTTGTCAGACATAATACCGTAGACTGGACTCACACAATACAGAGTTGTTCTCTCGCACTTCTAGAAGCCCAGATGAA